TGGTCTGATGAGTCCAAACTACATTACATACATAATTTACATGCATACATACAGTGCATTCGGAACGTATTCAGACCCCTTGACTTTTTCCATATTTTGTTACGTTACAGCATTATTCTAAAATGGTTTAGGTGCCTTTTGGCAAACTCCAAGTGGGCTGTCACGTGCCTTTTACTGAGGAGTGGCTTCCATCTGGTCACTCTACCATAACGGCCTGATTGGTGGAGTGCTACAGAGATGGTTGTCCTTATGGAAGGTTCTCCTATCTCCACAGAGGAACTCTGGAGCTCTATCAGGATGACCATCGGGTCACCTCCCTGACAAAGGCCGGGCTGCCAGCTCTAGGAAGAGTCTTGGTGGTTCCAAACTTCTTCCATTTAAGAATGATGGAGGCCACTCTGTTCTTGGGGACCTTCAATGCTGCAGATATTTTTTGGTACCCTTCCCTGGATCTGTGCCTCGATACAATCCTGTCTCGGAGCTCTACAGACAATTCCTTCGACCTCATGGCTTGGTTTTTGCTCTGACATGCACGGTCAACTGTGGGACGTTATATAGACAGGTGTGTGCCTTTCCAAATAATGTCAAATCAATTGAATTTACCACAGGTAGAAACATCTCAAGGATGATCAATGGAAACAGGATGCACCTGAGTTCAATTTCGAGTCTCATAGCAAAGGGTCTGAATACTTGTGTAAATAAGGTATGATTTGTATTTTTAATACATTTTCAAAAATGTCTAAAAAAAAAAATCAAGGGGTCTGAATACTTACCGAATGCACAGTACATGCACACACACACACACACACACACACATATATATCCCCTCCATTCCCATCATCCCATCATGTTTCTCAATTGAGCCATGTCAAAAGCTTTAGGAAAATCCTCCTGACAGACAGACTTACAAGTCAAAGCCCTAAATCTGACAGGCAACATTCTAGCGGGGAGGGATAGCAATTGTTGGGAGGGATAGCACTGCAGACCAACTCAACGGCTAGAACACCCCGGCCCGGTCCTAATCCCCGCTGCTCTTTGGGCGGTCGGAAGAAAGCGCCTGACAGAGCCGGTGGAGTCGGGCCGCCCACACCCCTGCCTGCGCTACAGACACCAAGTAATGAGGCCAGCGGATCGATACCCAAACAAAGTGAGCAAGGGTTTGACCTCTCACTTGTTTTATTTATCGCCCCGTGCCGCCTGTGGAGCCACACAAAGCATGGTGCACAGACTGGAAAGTAACCCAACACTCATAGCGGATTCATATCCAGCCAGGTTTCTCAAGATTCACTTCAAAATTTGACGTCCATCCATGTCCCGTGGTCGTCGGGAGATGCCTTCAAAACCCGTCACTAGGGGCAGCTGATTAAAATAATCAACTAATCATCAAGCTTTGATCATTTGAATCAGCTGTGTAGTGTTAGGGCACGCTCCTCCCTTGATTGATGAATTAAGGTCACTAATTAGTAAAGAACTCCCCTCACCTGGTTGTCTAGGTCTTAATTGAAAGGAAAAAGGAAATACCTGCAGACACTAGGCCTTCTATGGAATGAGTTAGCGGGAGAATTTTAAAAAAAACGTGCACCCCTTGGGATCCCGAGGACCAAGTTTGGGAAACTCTGTGCTAGGGTGTTGTGGATAGGGATGGTGGATGGGCGTAAGCCGCGTGCTCTGGCCCCGAGGGTCACGTGTTCCATCCCAGTGCTAGACACACTTTTTATTTTACCCTATCCCAAACCTTACCCCTTAATTTAACAATTTGTAATGAAGTCTTCAACTTATCCGTGGAGTTATTTAACCCTAACCTAACCATTTGGAATTAACGCCCAAATTTAACCTTTGGACAGCAGCAGCAGCAGGTGGCTCAACTGATCACCATGGCAACCCAGGGTGTCATAAACAACTTCGAAATGTGATGTTTCGAGCAACAACATTTGATGTTTGGGGAAACCTCTGAATCTGCAGTCAAACCGTGAGATCTTATTGTTCATTTCAATGTATATAGGGACTTATTTGCTATCATCAGTGGCGGGGAGCAGCTCTCCAAAGTTCTCATGAATAACATTAGACTTAATGGTTATTGCACGTGTGCTGTATACCTAATATTGCACTTGAATATGATGTATGAGTGATATTAGTGTAGGCTATATTACCAGGTCATAACAATGCCTCATTTTAAAACAATGTGCAATTCAAAGACATGAATAACCATACAGGGTGTTTCATTGTGTTGAACAATGATCTCATGATGTCTATAGTCGGTAATGTATCTCACTAATTGGCATAAGTGATACAAAGAGGGTAGTTAGCAGCCAGAACATTCAACAGCAGTGCTAACTTAATCTACCGGTAGTATAAAGATAACACTGTCTGTCTCATACACAAATATAGCCCATCTGTTTCACTCAATAGGCATGTGAGAATATTCTCACCCTGGCATTACTGCGAAAAGCACAGAGGCGTGGTTTGCTAGAGCATGAAATAACATGCCACTAATCACTCATATTTGCAATGCCAACAAGCTCTCACAGTCTCACTGCAGAATTAGACGTTTATCCACGTTTCTCCAAACGACAAATTTCAAATTGTTTGACACCTTAGATTGCTCCTTCTGCTCTGTATAGTTCCATTGGGTTTAGGGTTAAATTTAGGCTTTATATTAAAGGGTTAGGTTAAGGGAAGCTAACATGCTAAGTAGTTGCAAAGTAGCAAGTAGTTGAAAAGTTTGTAATTAGCTAAAATTTTCCGTGATGAGATTCAAACTCACTACATTTGGGTTTCTATTTGTTCACGTTATGTACAGAATAATACGAAATGCTCTGAGACCAGGTTGCGTGGCTGGTTTTGAAGGCATTTCCGGATGTCCTCAGGACTTGGATACACGTCCAATTTCAAAGTCAATCTTGAATGATCTCCCTGGGCAATGTGTGGTTAAGATGTACGCAGCACAGCACATACCCACTGTATGAGTTTACATGATTAGGCTATCCCTCTCTTGCGCCACATGTGGATAAATCATATTTTTAATTGCGCAACTTGGAGATCATGTAAAGAGCCATTAGAAAAGAACACACCATCAAAATATAACTAGTGTCACAGCTTGCCTCTTGAAATAACCCTCCACAAGTTCGCCATTATTGGGTATAAAGAAAAAAGTGAGGTAATGAAGCCAAGAGCCGTCCAAACCACGAGAAATCAGTCTTGCATGAAGGTTTATCAAATTAATATCGCAGACCATGCATTACATCACAAGTGCATAACCCTACACTCTGTTGTAGCCAGAGATGTCTTACCTTCAGAGTTTGGAGAGTCCCATCACACGAAATGTCTGCCCAGTTATGCGCTGAAACTAAAATAATGTCAGCCTGTGTAGGTTGGTTGGCTATGGTCTAGATCACGTTAATCTAACTACGGGTATGGTCTTTTGGATAGCATCTAGACCAAACGATAAAGCCTATGCATGTACTTGCAAGTCCTTGGAAAAAGACACAGTAAATAATGAGAAAATGAAGTCACAAGTTTCAGATATGAGATCCGTTGGAGTTGATGCTACACAGCTACAGGTCTCAAATGCACGTCTGCCCATGCGCTTATGCAATGAACTACTGCCAGCTGCCAGCACTTAGTGCCAAGTTAAAATAGATGCCTGTTGCGGTTTTACCCTCATTACTGTAGATCGCTAGAGCCGTACATAAGTAATATGCCGTGCTGTGAGGTTCACACTGCAGTGGTTCAGCTCAATCTACTGTCTCACAGTCCCGCCTATTTGCGATGCCTCATTTTAGCACCCCACCCGCAATAAATGTGCATGAATGATCACGGTATTTATTTATATATCTGGGGCATATAGGCTATTAGGCCTGGTAATGTTTTTCTTAGGCAATCTGTTTGAATTGTGTTTCACAATTGATAGGTAGATGTAGACATTGGTTACATTTTACAGCTTTTTCAGGAAGAATTTAGGCTAATATAGGCCTAACACACAGGCACACTGTGTCTGTTTGACATATCAGTGTTCAACATGCAAAACATCTAGGCTACATATCCTCTAAGCCTTCTGACATTGCGAGACTATGGAGAACATGCGTGGCATGTTGTTGTCCAAGATTTTAGCAGCCTCCTGATTCATTATGTTTTACGTTGATTTGTTATTCAATCTATTTTACAACAGTAAGCTATTCATTATTATCAATAAACACACAGGAGGCTCAAGTCACAGAGAGAGAGAGAGATTCGCAATGCCCGTGTGTTTTTAAACTAGCGATACCCACGTTATGTCAATCAATCTTAAATTCAGAATTTAAACCAATGAAATTGCAGTACTCACACATGCCCATCCTCCAAAGTTCCAAAGTTCTGCCCAACCAGGAAGTTAGAAGCCGACAGTGTCAGAGGTAGGTTTTAGCTTTATGGAAATGTCACATCGTATCTTTTGTATATGATCAGCAAAAATATACTGATGACACTTCACTTCTATTCTTCTCTGCCATAGGTAATTTATAAGATGGGGCAAATAGAAGCCGATACATGTTTACTTTCACGCGGACTATTGCCTTTCTCTGGTTGACTGCATGCTTTACCAACAGTCACTGTTCAGGTATAGTTGAGCAGCTAATCAGTGTGGTCATTTAGTGGACACGTCATATCATCCTTATCATAAGTACTGTATTACTTACCCTACTGAAGCCTACAATTCTCTGCATTTCTGTCAATAGCTTACTATAGAACAGACTGTGAAAGGAAATATAGGTAGCCTATTCTGTGTCAATAACCGGTTTATTTTTGTCTCATCTCATACCAGACCATTGGCTAAGCTAAATAAGCAGACAGTTTCCTTCAGTGGAAACTGCAACACACTCAGCTTCTCACAGGTCTTGGAGCGGGGCCCTGGGACATGGGCACCTGTTTATTATCATACACTGATATTCTGTTGAATACACATCAGATTCATTATATACACTCCAGAGGACCAAAGAGAGGTTACTAGAGGAGTAAAAGGCACCATGGACAGCCAGGAGGTGGGAGCCATGCTGGAGGAGTGTCACAGGGCTGTGTCTGCAGCAGGACTGGTGCTGGAGCCCAAAGAGGAAGCCAAGCTCAACTTCCAAAGACACAGAGGTACGCCAGCAGAGGGTGCTATTTGCCTAGTTATAAAACTATGCCTGGGACAAGTTTGTAGCTTTGCGGGGCCATAATGTGTCGTGTCAGGCGTTTAAATCTATTGTAGAATAGGATTGAATACAAGTAAAATAACTTAATTTGCCTTCCGAGTGGTGCAGCGGGCTAATGCACTGCATCGCAGTGTTGCGATGTCACTACAGCCTGGGGTTCGATCCAAGGCTGTGTCACTACCGGCTGTGACCGGGAGTCCCATAGGGCAACGCACAATTGGTCCAGCGTCGTCCGGGTTAGGGGAGGGTTTGGCCGGAGGAGCTTTACTTGGCTCATCGCGCTCAAGCGACTCCTTGTGGTGGGCCAGGCGCCTGCAGGCTGACTTCAGTCGTCAGTTGAACAGTGTTTCCTCCGTCACATTGGTGCAGCTGGCTTCCGGGTTAAGTGAGTGGGTGTTGAGAAGCACGGCTTGGCGGGTCATGTTTCGGAGGACGCATGACTCAACCTTCGCCTCTCCCAAGCCCGTTGGGTCGTTGCAGCGATGAGACAAGATCGTAATCACGAAATTGGGGAGAAAAAGGGGGTAAAAATTACACACACAAAAATACATATACTTAATTTATTGTGAATTACCTTATCACTTACTGTATAAGGAACCCATAGATCTCAAATAGACCCATTCAACTTTAGAGTAGCGTTTAGGTATTCTCAAAGCATTATATTTAAGTAAACTTGTTTTATTTACTTTTCTCTATAGTTTTTCGCTTCACCATATTCTGTCCCCTTATTTCCAGAGTCCCTGTCAGTTGAACTGAGCATGCTCCTGCAGGAGGCAGTGATGATGAGGTGGCCCTTTGTACCAGAGAAGTGGCAGTACAAGCAGTCAGTCACTTCCCAGGACAAAGTCAACTTGAAGGACTTAATTAGTCAGCATCTACCACAGCTACTGGTAATATGATCCTGCATGGCTGCCACTTATATCAAAGCAAAATAAAACAAAGCACTCCCTGATGAAGGCATGTGTTTTCGAAATGTGTCAATGGTAGACTAGGGTACCATGTGGGAAGCAGGCTAAGACAGTTCTAAAAAGATTGGATTTATTTATATATCAAAAAATAGTATTTTGACTATGAATGTACTGATACAAGATGCCATAAAAAACCATAACCATTTATCACAAAAAGTCTTAAAGTCTTAAACTTTTTATTGATTTTGATGTGTCAGGCTCTGCTGAAGGTGTCCATCTTAGCCAGGGAACCTCAGTGGGCGGCGGGTGTGGTCTTCCTGATGGATCGGTTCCTGTATTGGACAGATGAGTCCAGCCGGCTGCTGAAGATCACAAAGCTCCTCCACAGACACTACCCAGGAACCCCCATCGCCCCCCAGCTGGTCATACGACAGGCCAGGGTCTACCTCAATGATGGTGAGGGAGGTCATCATTCTGCGACTCAAGACTATATTTCTCACAGATTGGTTATTTGTTGTTTACTGACTATGTTAGAGTTCAGCGCTTTATCATTATGTGTCTCCATGCTGTGTATTGCAATACTAGTTATCTGTTTTTTATTTTATTTACCACACTATCAAGATGAAGCTCCTTAGCCTTAATGGACAATTCCACCGAAAAACTATATTTTGGTGTATTTTTCGTTCGTCCATTGTTGACATAGTCCCAAACTATTTTGCTTGTCAGCGATCACGTTTTCAAGATATCTAACTTTCAAAATACAGAAATGGCAAAACACAGCATCATATAATGCAAAACGCATGCTACGGATAAGATTTCTGTATTTTGAAAGTTACATATCTTGAAAACGTGATTGCTGACAAGCAAAATATTTTGGGACTATGTCACCAATGGACTAATGAAACAAATACCAAAATATTGTTTTTGGGGTGGAATTTTCCTTTAAGTAGGATGCTTTGTACCATTTGTCATACTTGTTGTCTCACCCACAGGTAAACTCCAGAAGGCAGAGTACATACTGAGCAGTCTCATCAACACTAGTGGAGCAACGGGTAGGCTTACAAAATGCAATTCTCGTACCAATTAATGTTCCCCACGAGGGTCTGTGTTAACAAGTGGGTTTGAAATCTGCAGGTTGCTGGATATATCAGTCTGACAGTGATAGGACTCTTATCCAGGCGGTCAGTGTGCAAGTGCGTGGACAGGTTCTGCAGAAACTGGGTAAGGAGAGAGAGAGAGAGAGAGAGGGGATGTATAGCATTATGTGTATGTATCCTTTTTCCCATCTCTGAATTGGATGTTTCGTCTCAGGACTGTGGCTGGAGGCTGCTGAGCTGATCTGGACCTCCCTGGTTGGCTATTACGCTCTTCCTCAACCTGATAAAAAGGTGGAGCCAAAACATCCAGTACACCCCAATGAATAACTGAATACTAAATCACACAACAAATCTGTGAACTGCTCATATTGTCCTCCAGTGGTGTTATAACTACTGTATAAGGTTTAATATGTGTTTTGATTTTTAGGGCATTGGAACATCCCTTGGGATTCTGGCCAACATATTGGTTTCTATGAATGATAGAGACTTCCATGCATTTAAGACCAATCCGGGCATTGACTTGGTGAGCACTCAGTCTTCCCCAATGAAATCACTTGTGTTCTAAAGATACACATTGACATCAGCATACGTTTTATGATTTATTATGCTTTTCTAATATCTCTGACCGCTGCATGACCTCGGTGTATGTCTTTATGTCTGGAGTAGTGTTTCCTTGGGAACAATGGCCATCGTCTCCTCTCAGCAGCTGAGGCAGCTAAAATGGCGGTGGTGTACAGCCAGTATGCCTCGCTGTACGTGTTAACCAACGTGGTGAGTCCTCTCTTTCTCTGTTTTGTGTTTTTTGGGGGGGCGGTCGTAGTGGATAAGAGTGAAGTCTTCTAGAGAGGCTGGAGCTTACTGCTAGGTGAGCACTGTAGCACAACTGCCTATTAACATAATACTAGATATTATGCTATGTCATTCTCTTTCTTTCTTTCTCATCCCCCTCTCTCTCCAGGTCACCCAAGGCACCTGTCTGTTGTCCTACAGTTTCTCAGTAGAATGCCCCCCCTCGGACAAACACTCCTTCCTCCTCCAGGCCAAGGAAGCCTTTGAGATTGGCCTACTTACCAAAACAGGGGGGGACATGGTCACTAGCAAACAGGAGCTCCACACATTCCTCAAGGCAGCCTACTCTCTGACTGTCAGTCACAAGTGGCTGGGCACCCCTCAGAAGACAGTGGACCAGGCCAGATTGGTATGCCGGGAGGCTTTGGAGAAGTTCTATGCCTACTGCCATGCAGACAGCCAAGAGAGAGATGCCCTCTGCACTGGAGTTATGAGTCTGATAACCCAAGTGAAGAATCTACTAAGGGTCAATCCATTCCTGAACTCAGACAAGGGGTCGTTCATCCCGGATAGCTACAGAGACGTGGTGGAAGAGAGAGCGGTGCGGTTCACTCTGGATGGTTTCTCCCAGGTGATGGGGAGGTTCAGGCAGTACCACACCTCGGTATGTGAGGCCTCTGAGGCAAGCTGTAGGAGGAAACATGAAGGCCCCCAGTCTGGACTCTGTATAACAGCACTGGGGACCACAGCAACGGCCCCTAACACAGAGTGTACCACTGAGAACCACAATCCCCAAAAAGCCACACATAAAGAAGAGTTACACAGAGACAAAGCACCCAATGCCTCTTGTTTAGCTCCAAAGTTACCTCAGGAACAGGAGCTCTGTACAACTATGGGTAGCACTGAAGAGCTACCAAGCAATAGCTATAATAAAATGGCTCTCAAATCACTCAGTAGCAGCCTTGGGTCCTCATTTGAAAAAGTGTCTTTGAACAGCACTGGGTCTCCCCTCGGCAGTAGTGGCAACAAAGATAGCAGTGTTCCAGATAAGGTAAACATGGAGTATCTGTGCGGTCCAAACTGTCTCACCAAGGTTAGTGAAGATGGGTTAGAAAATGGGTCCGAATCTAAAAGCAAGACCAGGAAAAGAGATGGTCTCAGTGCTCAGGCAGGATCCAACTCTTCCACCCGGGTCACTTCCTCATCCTCCACCAACAGTGATGTTGAGCAGTTTGAAATGATTGACGAACAGAGTCTAATAGAGACTGTGGAGACTGAGGAGTGTCACAGCGGTGGTGCGTCAGTGTCGGTGAAACCTACAGGAGACCGAGTAGTGATGCATCCAGGGTACCAAAACAAGTCGAGGACTTCCTCCTTTAACTCCATTGGCGACAGCCTCGACTCCCAGTCATCATGGCAGAAACTATCTCTGTCTGACACATCCCATGAGGCAGCTGCAGTACCACAAATACGTTCTGCAGCCCCAGCAGCTGTAAATGAACACAGAGGTCCAACCTTCAATGTGGATCAAGAAGCAGAAACGGAGGAAGACACTGAATCCCCTCACCCCATTGGACCTAACAGTGCTGCAGCCTATCACAAAATACCTCCACAACTAGGATCTGAGGGCCTCATCCCAGAGCAGTGTCTCTCTACAGAGATAGACAGCTCCTATGAGATGGTGGAGAAAGAGATAGGACACATAGTCAACAACACTGAACCCTGTGCTGGAGAGAAGCAGATTCCCTCTCACCCTAACTCCTCATGCTATACCTGTCTAAAGCACAGCATCATGGGTGGTCTAGTGCCTGAGAACCAGTACGTTTTGACAGAGGAGGACTACAACTCCCTCCTGGCTGGGATGTGTCATGGCTGTCTGTTAAAGAGACTGCAGAGTGACATGAAATTCAAGCTTGGGAAACAGAAAAGTGCCTACAGTGAGTTCCTATTGCCTCGTGGTGCTATAGAAAATGTAAAGTCATGGTTGTTTTGTGTTTTTCAAGATAAAATGCAACTTGAAATACTTGAAATAATTATTAAGTACTAATAAGATACTAATAAGATTAGATATACAAATGTAATGTTTACATATAGTACAATGCTTTCAAAAGGTTTAATGCACCAACGCCCACTTCAGATAGAGGTTATTTAACATTGAGAATATGTTACATAAAATGCACATCTTTCTTGAACATGTACTCGATTATCCTTAAACTGTGATGGAAATGACTCGGTACTGAACATATACACTATTTCCAGCATACACAGTGGTTTATAGTGAACTTGACATCGGTTGCACTGAAGTTTACAAAACAGAAATTACCAGTTATTTATATTACATGGTAAAATGGTATTTTGCGTAGTAATAACCTCTAAATGACCTGTTATTTTCTCCAGGTGCTCTCCTTCTGAAGTACTCCAGGGCCTCTGGACTGTGGACGTCCAGAGAGACCTATGTGTACATCGGAGAGCCAATAGGGAAGCAAGGCCAGCAGAGAATGGCATTATGGGTACAGTTTCTACACCAGGAGGAGAGGCTGAGCAGGTTAGTAGGGATAAATAAAGTTTTATTTTAATTGAAATGAGCTTCGACTATCACATAGTGACACAATGATACACAGAAATGTCTGAATCCGAACTTGAGAGATACTCACATTTTCGCACAATCTCCCATCAACATCAATGCATGATTTGTGTTTTGCAAAAGTACACATTATGTGTGCCTGTCTCAAGTTAGGATTGGGCCTAACGTGAACATGTTCTCCTACTGTTCTCCACGTTCTCCTTTCCCCCTTCAGTTACGTGGGGAAGGAGTACCTAGAACCCAAAGGCATCCAGTTCCATCTGAGTGACGTGGAGAGGCAGATGACGGCCCAGTACTACGTGACAGAGTTTAACAAGAGACTCTACAAGGAGAAAGTGACCGCTCAGATCTTCTTCATCCCTTCAGAAGTGCTACTGGTAAGACATTAACTAACATCCCACTGATCATTGATTCATTGGTGATTCTAAGGTCCCAGATCTGTTTGAGCAACTCCATAGGAGTTGGCTATACAGCACAAACAGAGCTGTTCCCAGGCTAGTACTCTGTGGCTTAGCTTCCTAATGTATTATGCAATGGGGTGATTGACATTTTAATAACACAGTTCAAAATGAAATATTGCCATACTTTTCCAGACACCACCACCACCCACACACATACACACAACTAATCCTTTGAATCATTTGATTTGGGACCTGTTGTGCCAAAGCCACACTTCACCAAATCAAATGGATTTGTATTTAAAGCACACTCATACACAGTGAGTGTGCTTTACCCTAAGAAGAAAGAAACCAATCATAAGAAAGAAACAAACTTCACCATGGTCATATTGAAAGATGGGATTTTTTTTTTAACGGTTCTTCTTACTAGCACTGATTTTGCTGATAGCTGCTTTATAAAGGACCGTTTTTAACTTACTATGACTGTGATATGTGGTTGTTTTATCTACCTTAGTTGAATGCATTGACTGTAAGTCGCTCTGGGAAAGATGGTATGCTAAATTACCAACAATGTTATGTAAAATGTAATGTTTACACATCTTCAGAACAAGTGAACCTTCCTCCTGTTTAGACAGCTGGTTGTTTTGTTTCAGATCTTGGACGGGGATGAGGTGGTGGACTGTGTGACAGTGGAGCCCTACATGCTGGGGGACTTTGTGAAGCTCACCAACAACACTACTAAAGTGGACAAGAGGTTCAAGGCCTCAGAATACGGCATCGCTTTCGGACATTTCACCTACCAGTTCTCTGGATGCCAAGAGGTTGTCGTCGACCTACAAGGTGTGTGCGTGCGTATGTGTGTCTGTCTGTGTATGTCTCAGGTGACTATTAAGTTAATTATTTAGTTCATTTGTTGAATCTGTTCTATTTCAGCATTTACATTTAATGTTCTAAATGTTTTTCTCTCTTTTTTTTCCCTCTCTCTTTTCTCTTTTTTCCTCTTTCTTTCCCCAGGGTGGGTGACCGCCAATGGGAAGGGGCTGACGTACCTGACAGACCCCCAGATCCACTCTCTCAGGACCCCTAAAGGTGCCACTAACTTCGCTGAGAGGGGGGTCAGGTATTTCCTAAAGGACCAGCATGGACCAGAATGCAACAGTATCTGTGACCTACTGTCACTGGACAAACTGCAGTAACATACGTCTTGAAAACAGTGATGTCTACTGCAGATGGAGATAGGTGTGTGTTTGCTGAGGCTCCTTGACAACTCTCGAACAACATATTGTTTTGGCCTAAAATATGTGCATTGCGATCCCCTACTACAATGCACAATGCACATTCTGATCTATTAGACATGGGCTGATCCTGTGGTGAAAACAGCAGTCTAGTGAAACACATTCAGTAGCATGTGATTTCATTTCTAGAAGTGAGAATTGTCTGCCCCTTTACCAACCTCAACCAATTCTGTTGAAAATCGGCCTGTACTGTATTTTCAATGTACTGTAAGTGTTTTTGTGACCCTTGAATCCACTCTCATTTATGACTAGGAATCTCATGTTTTATTACATTGACATTGATCTGTTTTATTTGCTTTTGAATTGATTAAATCAGATCACAAAAATGAAAGATGAACCTGCTACTGTGTGTCCGTTCACCTGTCTCTAAACCAAACACTGGATGTGTTGTAGCTCGACTGATTCGACCAAACAAGGAAGTAACATCCATTGGTCTGGTTAGATTAGCCAGGATAGCACCTGACACTCACAACAAACCAATGAGGCTCCAAATGATTTGTTAATTCAATGGTACTTTATCACATCTCGCTGAGTGAACCAGGGCTGTATTCATTAGGCACCAAATGGAAGAAAACTTGAAACGGGGAGAGACTACTTAGATTTGTCCAATAAGAAATGCTAAATTTGTTTTCCGTTATAAAACATTTAAAAACATTTATAGTTGTGTGCCCTAATGGATACAACTCAGGATGACATATACAATATTCACTAGGCGTAAGTTCAGGCGCTCTAGTTCTTTGCATCAGGTGACTCGCCCACCCCCTGGATCATATGACTATGATGTCACAGATGTTGCTAATAGCGCTTGTGACCTGTTTTATTCCATTACAGGTTTTACTAGCGTCCTCCTTCAACATTGGTTATTTACAGATTATTGTCCTCTCCCCATGACCTTGATAAACTGCATTCATTTTCTCATGGGGGGGGGGGTACCGATCAAGTACAGTTAAACAATATAGAAAACTACCTATGACAGCAAAGAAATCCATACAAAATGCCATATTTAGACCGATCACACCTCATATATCCAATATCAAATCAAATTTTATTTGAAACTTTATTTATCACATGCATGTGTGTGTGTGTGTGTGGGGGGGGGGGGGCAATGTAAATAGTCCAGGAGGCCATTTGATTAATTGTTCAGCAGTCTTATGACTTGGGGCAGTTGCCATACCAGGCGGTGATGCAACCGGTCAGTATGCTGTCGATGGTGCAGTTGTAGAACTTTTTGAGGATCTGGATTAATTCAGATCAGACAGCTATATCCTGAAGTTATATTGCTCAGGTACAGTCACATAACGCATTATTATATGGCTCTTATCAAGTTAAGATAACAGCCTTTAAAGTTCATTATCTTAGTCTGGCCCATGGAAACATACTTTGGTTTCTAGGACAGGGGTGAGAATGAAAACCTGGAATCTGTAATGATCTGGGATTTGGAGCCTCAGTGTCGTACTGTTTATAAGGAAGTGACTTTGCACTCCTGCAGCAGTCAGTCTGCTTGTTGGTGTGAGTGTGAGTGTGTGTGACATTTGGAAGCATGAGGACCTTCGTGTTGTTGATGTGCCTTGCAGTGGGCTGCCTGGCTCAGGCTCCTCATCCGTGCAGTAAGTAAAAGAGAGAGAAATTGTATTGTAAATTGAGTTGTAAACCTAAGAGATGTAGTGTTATGAATGCCTGAACCCCAGTCAAAGATTAGCTCCTGCGTACAGCATAGCCCTGATTTAACACCTTTGCATTGTACTGTAGACAGAGCAGAGCTGTAAAAGTAATGTGATGGCAATTTCGGTGGATGTTTACTTCTATGTTTATAATGTATAGTCCACTTTTATGGCTAAATTGTCCATTTAGCACAACAGAATGGATAAATGTTTCACTTGTTAGCAATAAAACACCTTTCCCTCGCTCAGGGTCTCCCCCTCTTCTGACCGGAGCCATGTCTGTGGTAAGTCTGTTTGTTTCTCCATAGTAGGTGGGAATATGGGAGTTCCCATAGTGACAACATCAGACGGAACATTTTGACAAATACGGTCAATATTTTGAAAATCTTGATATCCTGCCTTATATACTGAACAAAAATATAAACGCAACATGTAAAGTGTTGATCCCATGTTTCATGAGCTTAAATAAAAGATCCCAGGAATGTTCCATACGCACAAAAAGCTTATTTCTCTCAAATTTTGTGCACAAATTTGTTTACATCCCTGTTAGTGAGCATTTCTCCTTTGCCAAGATAATCCATCTGACAGGTATGGCATATCAAGAAGCTGATTAAACAGCATGATCATTACACAGGTGCACCTTGTGCTGGGGACAATAAAAGGCCACTCTAAAATGTGCAGTTTTGTGTCACAACACAATGCCACAGGCGTCTCAAGTTTTCAGGGAGCGTGCAATTGGCATGCTAACTGCAGGAATGTCCACCAGAGCTGTTGCCAGATAATTTAATGTATAATGCCTCCAATATAGTTTTAGGCCTCACAACCGCAGACCATGTGTATGGCGTTGTGTGGGCAAGTGGTTTGCTGATGTCAACGTTGTGAACAGGGCACCCCATGGTGGTGGTGGGGTTATGGTATGGGCATGCATAAGCTACGGACAATGAACATAATTGTATTTTATCGATGGCAATTTGAATGCACAGAGATACCGTGACGAGATCCTGAGGCCCATTGTCATGCCATTCAGCTGCCGCCATTACTTCATGTTTCAACACGATAATGTATGGCCCCAGGTCGCAAGGATCTGTACACAATTCCTGGAAGCTGAAAATGTCCCAGTTCTTCCATGGCCTGCATACTCACCAGACATAGTGGCGGCAGGTAGCTTAGTGGTTAAGAGCGTTGTGCCAGTAACCGAAAGGTCGCTGGTTCTAATCCCCGAGCCGACTAGGTGAAAAATCTGTCTGTGCCCTTGAGCAAGGCACTTAACCCTAATTGCTCCTGTAAGTCGCTCTGGATAAGAGTGTCTGCTAAATGTCTAAAAAACTAAACAAAAAAAATTCACCTATTGAGCATGTTTGGGATGCTCTGGATCGACGTGTAGAACAGCGTGTTCCAGTTCCCGCCAATATCCAGCAACTTCGCACAGCCATTGAAGAGGAGTGGGATAACATTCCACAGGCCACAATCAACAGCCTGATCAACTCTATGCGAAGGAGATGTGTCGCGCTGCATGAGGCAAATGGTGGTCACACCAGACACTGGTTTTCTGATCCACACCCCTACCTTTTTTTTAAAGGTATCTGTATTCCCAGTCATGTGAAATCCATAGATTAGAGCCTAATGAATGTATTTCAATTGACTGATTTCATTGTATAAACTGTAACTCAGTCAAATCTTTGCAATTGTTGCATGTTGAGTTTATATTTTTGTTCAGTGGATATATACAGTGCATTCGGAAAGTATTCAGACCCCTTCCCTTTTTCCACATTTTGTTACATTACAGCCTTATTCTAAAATTGATTAAATTGTTTTTTCCCCCCTCATCAATCTATACACAATACCCCATAATGACAAAGCAAAAACAGGTTTTTAGAAATGTTTGCTAATTTATAAAGAATAAGAAACAGAAATAACTTATTTACATAAGTATTCAGACCCTTTGCTGTGAGACTCGAAATTGAGCTCAGGTGCATCCTGTTTCCATTGATAATCCTTGATGTTTCTACAACTTGATTGGAGTCCACCTGTGGTAAATTCAATTGATTGGACATGATTTGGAAAGGCACACACCTGTCTATATAAGGTCCCACAGTTGACAGTGCATGTCAGAGCAAAAACCAAGCCATGAGGTCGAAGGAATTGTCCGTAGAGCTCCGAGACAGGATTGTGTCGAGGCACAGATCTGGGGAAGGGTACTAAAACCTTTCTGCAGCATTGAAGGTCCCCAAGAACACAGTGGCCTCTATCTTTCTTAAATGGAAGAAGTTTAGAACCACCAAGACTCTTCCTAGAGCTGGGCGCCCGGCCAAACTAAGCAATCGGGGGAGAAGGGCCTTGGTCAGGGAGGTGACCAAGAACCTGGTGGTCACTCTGACAGAGCTCCAGAGTTCCTCTGTGGATATGGAAGAACCTTCCAGAAGGACAACCATCTCTGCAGCACTCCACCAATCAGGCCTTTACGGTAGAGAGGCCAGACGGAAGCCACTCCTCAGTAAAAAGCACATGACAGCACGCTTGGAGTTTACCAAAAGGCACCTAAAGGACTCTCTGACGATGATTAACAAGATTCTCTGGTCTGATGAAACCAAGATTGAACTCTTTGGCCTGAATGCCAAGCGTCACATCTGGAGGAAACCTGGCACCATCCCTACGGTGAAGCATGGTGGTGGCAGCATCATGCTGTGGGGATGTTTTCCAGCGGAAGGGATTGGGAGACTAGTCAGGATCGAGGCAAAGATGAACGGAGCAAAGTACATCGAGAGTCTTGATGAAAACCTGCTCCAGAGCGCTTAGGAGCTCAGACTGGGGCGAAGGTTCACCTTCCAACAGGACAGCGACCCTAAGCACACAGCAAAGAAACGCAGGAGCGGCTTCGGGACAAGTCTCTGAATGTCCTTGAGTGGCCCAGCCAGAGCCCGGACTTGAACCCAATCTAACATATCTGGAGAGACCTGAGAATAGCTGTGCATCGACACTCCCCATCCAACCTGGCAGAGCTTGAGAGGATCTGCAGAGACGAATGGGAGAAACTCCCCAAATACAGGGATGGCAAGCTTGTAGAGTGCACAACATTCTAAAAACCTGTTTTTGCTTTGTAATTATGGGGTATTGTGTGTAGATTGACGAGGGAGAAAAACTATTTAATCAATTTTAGAATAAGGCTGTAACGTAACAAAATCAGGAAAAAGTCAAAGGGTCTGAATACTTTCTGAATGCACAGTATATGAAAAAAAAGGTAGAATACAAATAATTAAAAATATAATGCTAATTAAAAAGAAAATAGAATAGTATTGATATGGCTATAATTATATAGTCTGCTATATTAATCCCTCTCACATTCCTGTCCTTTCAGGCAAATGAGAAGTTTAATGCATATGCAAAATACGACTATGACGCATTAGGCGAGCGTATCCGCTTCAAGGAGATGGGATCTTATGAGAACAAGACATTCGGCCTGGACGCCCTTCTGCTCTTCAGAGAGGTAACAAGCACTTATTCACAACAACAACCATGTATTCACAATAACAACAATTTATTAAATACAACATACTGGTACACACAAATCACTGTCATGCACATTCAGTTTATTCATATAAAAACAGAGATGCATTGTTAGAAAAACAATGGTTTCCTACAACAACAAAAACAATATGCCTGCCATGAAACAGATGCTTATCTTCCCCCAACATCTTCCAGGGTGTCATGTATACGATTAACCACAAGAACCGCACATGTAAGAAGGAGAGGCTGAAGAAGGAGGACTTCCACCCCATGGAGATCCCCGCAGATGCTGCTCTGCTGGGGCAGGTGATCCTAGGGAGCTCCTCTGGTCCAGGACAGGGTCTGCTAGTCAACACCTGGTATGGAGAACGTGCAACCACAACTGGTGGTAAGGGACATGGCATGGCATGCAGTTGGTTACATTTTTGCTTTTTAATAGTGACCTTCCTCATTTTGAGGAACACCAAAATCAAATGTAATTTGTCACATACGCCTAATACAACAGGTGTAGTCCTTACCGTGAAATTCTTACTTACGAGCCCTTAACCAACAATGCAGAGTTTTTAAAAAGTAAGTAAGAAACATTTGCTAAATGAACTAAAGGCAAAATAGTAAAACAATAATGAGGCTATATAAATTACAAGGGGTACCGGTACCGAGTCAATGTGCAGGGGTACGGGTTAGTCGAGGTAATTGAGGTAATATGTACATGTAGGGTAAAGTGACTATGCGTAGATAATAAACAGAGTAGCAGCAGCATATGTGAAGAGTGTGAAGGAATGTGTGTGTGTGTGTGTGTGTGTGTGTTGGCGTGTCAGTTTAAGTGTGTGGTTAGAGTCCAGTGAGTGTACATCGAGCCTGAGAATAAATAACAATAAAATAAGGGGATCAATGCAAATAGTCTGGGTAGCCATTTGGTTAACTGTTCAGCAGACTTATGGCTTGGGGGAAGAAGCTGTTAAGGAGATTTGGCGCTCTCATACCACTTGCAGAGAGAACAGTCTATGACTTGGGTGGCTGAAGTCTTTGACAATTGTTTGGGCCTTCCTCTGACACCATCTGGTATAGAGGTCCTGGATGGCAGGAAGCTCGGCCTCAGTGATGTACTGGGCACTACCCTCTAGCACCTTGCGGTCGGATGCCGAGCAGTTGCCATACCAAGTGGTGATGCAACCAGTCAGGATGCTCTCGGTGGTGCAGCTGTAGAACTTTTTGAGGATCTGAGGACCCATGCTAAATATTTTCAGCCTCCTGAGGGGGAATAGGTGTTGTTGTGCCCTCTTCACGACTGTCTTGGTGTGTTTGGACCATGATAGGTCCTTAGTGATGTGGACACCAAGGACCTTGAAGCTCTCGACCCGCTCCACTACAGCCCTGTCGATTTGAATGGGTGTGTGCTTGGCCCTCCTTTTCCTGTAGTCCACGATCCGCTCCTTTTTCTTGCTCACGTTGAGGGAGAGGTTGTTGTCCTGGCACCACACTGCCAGGTCTCTGACCTCCTCCCTATAGGCTGTCTCATCGTCGGTGATCAGGCCTACCACCATTGTGTCGTCGGCAAACTTAATGATGGTGTTGGAGTCGTGTGTGGCCATGCAGCCGTGGGTGAACAGGGAGTATAGGAGGGGACTAAGCACGCACCCCTGAGGGGCCCACGTGTTGAGGGTCAGCGTGGTGGATGTGTTGTTGCCTACCCTCAACACCTGGGGGCGGCCTGTCAGGAAGTCCAGGATCCAGTTGCAGAGGGAGGTGTTCAGTCCCAGGGTCCTTACCTTAGTGATGAGCTTGGAGGACACTATGGTGTTGAACACTGAGCTGTATTCAATGAACAGCATTCTCACGTAGGTGTTCCTTTTGTCCAGGTGAGAAAGGGCAGTGTGGAGTGCAATAGAGATTGCGTCATCTGTGGATCTGTTGGGGAAATATGCAAATTGGAGTGGGTCCAGGGTTCTGGGATGATGGTGTTGATATGAGCTATGACCAGCCTTTCTAAGCATTTCATGGCTACAGATTTGAGTGCTACGGGGTGATAAGTCATTTAGGCAGGTTACCTTGGCGTTCTTGGGCGCAGGGTCTATGGTGGTCTGCTTAAAACATGTAGGTATTACAGACTGGGTCAGGGAGAGGTTGAAAATGTCAGTGAAGACACAAAATAATTCCTAGCAACTGTTTTTTGCATGGCAATGACGTTTTGTGATTTTCTGCTCCCTGATTTTGTTCATCTGATTGGTCAATTTCATCTTCAGGTAAAGACAAGTGGATGAGCACTTTCACTGAGTTTGGGTGCATACCTGTCAGCACTACGTACTACACGGACAAGACCGGCTGGGTGCTTACAACGTAAGTGTGTATATTATTGGGCAGTGTATGAAATATGACTGATTTTTATTTTTAAATTGCTGAATCTTTGCTCTACTGACAACGCTATGAGTAGTATTTGACATCAATATATGGTCTTGTAGGTCTACAGTTGAAGTCGTAAGTTTACATACACTTACGTTGGAGTCATTAAAACTCATTTTTCAACCACTCCACACATTTCTTGTTAACAAACTATAGTTTTGGCAAGTTGGTTAGGACATCTACTTTGTGCATGACACAAGTAATTTTTCAAACAATTGTTTACAGACAGATTATTTCACTTATAATTCACTGTATCACAATTCCAGTGGGTCAGAAGTTGACTGTGCCTTTAAACAGCTTGGAAAATTCCAGAAAATCATGTCATGGCTTTAGAAGCTTCTGATAGGCTAATTGACATCATTTGAGTCAATTGGAGGTGTACCTGTGGATGTATTTCAAGGCCTACCTTCAAACTCAGTGCCTCTTTGCTTGACATCATAGGAAAATCTAAAGAAATCAGCCAAGACCTCAGAAAAAAGTCTGGTTCATCCTTGGGAGCAATTTCCAAACGCCTGAAGGTACCACGTTCATCTGTACAAACAATAGTACGCAAGTATAAACACCATGGGACCACGCAGCCATCATACCGCTCAGGAAGGAGACGCGTTCTGTCTCCTAGAGATGAACGTACTTTGGTGTGAAAAGTGCAAATCAATTCCAGAACAGCAAAGGACCTTGTGAAGATGCTGGAGGAAACCGGTACAAAAGTATCTATATCCACAGTAAAACGAGTCCTATATCGACATAACCTGAAAGGCCGCTCAGCAAGGAAGAAGCCACTGCTCCAAAACCGCCATAAAAAAGCCAGACTATGGTTTGCAACTGCACATGGGGACAAAGATTGTACTTTTTGGAGAAATGTCCTCTGGTCTGATGAAACAAAAATAGAACTGTTTGGCCATAATGACCATCGTTATGTTTGGAGGAAAAAGGGGGCTCGCTTGCAAGCTGAAGAACACCATCCCAACCGTGAAGCACGGGGGTGGCAGCATCATGCTGTGGGGGTGCTTTGCTGCAGTAGGGACTGGTGTACTTCACAAAATAGATGGCATCATGAGGAAGGAAAATTATGTGGATATATTGAAGCAACATCTCAAGACATCAGTCAGGAAGTTAAAGCTTGGTCGCAAATGGGTCTTCCAAATGGACAATGCATACTTCCAAAGTTGTGGCAAAATGGCTTAAGGACAACAAAGTCAAGGTATTGGAGTGGCCATCACAAAGCCCTGACCTCAATCCTATAGAAAATGTGTGGGCAGAACTGAAAAAGCGTGTGCAAGCAAGGAGGCCTACGAACCTGACTCCGTTACATCAGCTCTGTCAGGAGGAATGGGACAGAATTCACCCAACCTATTGTGGGAAGCTTGTGGAAGGCTACCTGAAATGTTTGACCCAAGTTAAACAATTTAAAGGCAATGCTACCACATACTAATTGAGTGCATGTAAACTTCTGACCCACTGGGAATGTGATGAAAGAAATAAAAGCTGAAATAAATCATTCTCTCTACTATTATTCTGACATTTCACATTCTTAAAATAAAGTGGTGATCCTAACTGACCTAAAACAGGACATTTTTACTAGGATTAAATATCAGGAATTGTGAAAAACTGAGTTTAAATGTATTTGGCTAAGGTGTATGTAAACTTCCGACCTCAACTGTATGTAGTGTTTTTTTTTCATTTCCTCATTCTGAGGAAGTTCCTCAGTCCATTTTGTGTTCCAAAACATTCAAAAGAATGTCTTCATTAGCTAGTTTGATACTTCTGGAAACATCAAAATCCATAATTTCATTATAAAAGTAGTATAAACTATTAATGATTAATACTTTCATAACATTTTACATTTTAGTCATTTAGCAGACGCTCTTATCCAGAGCGACTTACAGTTAGTGAATACTTTTTTTTTTTTTTATCGAACCCACAACCCTGGCGTTGCAAACGCCATGCTCTATCAACTGAGCTACATCCCTGCCGGCCATTCCCTCCCCTACCCTGGACGACGCTGGGCCAATTGTGCGCCGCCCATGAGTCTCCCGGTCGCGGCCGGCGGCGACAGAGCCTGGATTCGAACCAGGATCTCTAGTGGCACAGTTAGCACTGCGATGCAGTGCCTTAGACCACTGCGCCACTCAGGAGCCAAGCATGGATTTGACTTTCGTTAAATCTACAGATAAGATAGCATAATGGATATGTTATTTTTTCACTTCCAGCTTCTTCAACATTGTCGTTGGGATCGATGACCCCCAGCAGTTCTTCCCTCCTAAGTTCTGTCAGGGCGCTAAAGTGGATGAGACGGCAGAAGCAGCCAACTTCTACAGCATTTTAAAAAACATTAAAAACTAAAGGACCGGGTCCTTCATTCTCTTTTCTTATGAGAACTTCACACAACTATTGCTTATTTTTAACCTGTGATAACAAATGTTTTTCATGAATTTATAAATCATTATAAAAAGGGATAACTCATTAATGTATTAGTATAAGAAAAAGGGTTAAACCATGAGTTAGAAAAAAAATTCCAGTACTGATCATGTAACATATCAGTTGCACTGAGCATTATATGTAAACATTTTACCTTCGACAAATGTTAATTGCTTTCCTTACTACATATGGGCCTTGGGAATATATACTTACACTGTGAGCTGTCCTTCTGAATAAAATTTCTAAAATGTCAAGTCTACAGTAATTGTTCTATAGTATAGTTGGATAGTTCTTCACAAGACCTCTTTTCATATTGTGTAGACAAAGAAAAATGTCTATACATATTTTATCTAGATAAGAGTCGTCAGTTGTATCAAGAAATTATTTATTACAGTCACATCTCATTCATGTCAAAAAGACGTTTCACTCCCTGACTTGGGTGCATTATGGAGCAACGCAGACATACAAAAACAACTGACTACCTACTGTGCTACAGGACGAGAGGTAACTTGGTAGCAGTAATAAGTCACTCCCCTTAGCTCCCCCACCTCCTGCACCCCCACATCGGCAGCCATCAACCCTGGCTCCCGGCCCTCTTTCTCCAGCCACAACATCCTGGCATCAGGGTCCTCATCTGAGAACTGAAGGAGAGACCCAGAGTCCCTCAACACCTTTAGGCACTGCTTAAGCACCTGGCTGGCCTTGGCTCCCCCTTCCCTCGACCTTAACAAGGCATCTATGGTGCCCTTGTCTAGAATGAGGTCCAGGCTCTCAGAACCAAATTGTTTGTGGAGATGAGTGCAGTCCAGTTCTAAGAAGTCCAGCTTAGAGGAAGGGTTCTGAGGTTGCACGGCTTTGGCTTCTGTTTGTTCCTGCATAAGGCGCACAGCAATAGCGGAGATGTCAGCGCAGGTCACCTGCACTGGCCAGGGAGAGTCTCTGTATATGCAGGATCCTAGGGCAGAGGTACCACAGCCCATGTCCAGAACATGTAGGGCATCAGAGTTGGGCTGTGAATGCAGCATGGGCAGGATGAAGTCCCGGATTGCGTCGAAACCGAAGAACCACTCAAAATTTTTGAAGTTGGTTGCCTTGCTGTTGTTTTCTGTGTAGAACCGGTCCCATGTTGCTTTTTTGTCCATGTTGTTGATAAGTTCAGCTAGTAGGGACAGAACGAGGGTGAATGTCAGTTCATGTTTATGGGTTTCCTTAAACTAACAGTTCATAGAACAAATGAGAGCGCCTGAAATGCGCTAACGTTAGCTCGATACTAACTGAATAAGTATCTAGCTAGCTAACTAACACTTAGCTGTGGAGATTAGCACAAACAAGCTAACTTGACCAGCCTGTGCCCAAATTACATTTATCATTGAACGTGGGATATTTATAAACAGAAATGCCTTTGAATCAATAGAAAGCAAGCCACTGGCTAGCTGTATATATAGCAAGTAAGCTAGCTAGTTAGCTTGCAGCCATAGAGGTCAACTGTTAGCTAGATTGCATAGAAAGCCATGTGTTAGCTTCTAGTTAGCATTAACTCATTTTACAAGTTCACCAATAAATTGAGACATACTTGTTAGACTGGAGTGGTGCCTTACACGTGTATTTGTAATTAACATCCCTAACCTCCTTGGCGACATTGTCAGTATGTTTAAAATCACCGCCATGATTTCTGTCTCTCCTTGAAATCCTCCCTCACGCACTGCTGCGAGCAGCAAGCTACTTGCTGTGTGCGCAGTTGTGGACAACTGCGTATGCGTCAATAACGTAAACAAGTATGCAGAATAACAGTAGAAGCACTGTTATGTTCACGGTTTTCCTTTGTATGAAAGAAAAGCAAACCAAATTCAGGACATGGACAGAGACAAGAACATTACATACACGCAAGTATGTAAATACTGCATTGCATATTGCTGTTATGACAGTTGAAATGTAGATACCAGAAGAGAGCACAAACAAGACATTTACATACAAATCAAATAAGATGTAAATACCTTTAATAAAACGCAGTGTAACAAAGGAAAACAATCCAACAAAAAAAAGCAATTTGATAACATTTACAACCACAAAAGAAAGAAAAAACTGTACAACTAAACATCTGGAGTCACTGCTATTTTTTTGTAAATTTTTGTTTTTTTATTTCACTGTTCTGTGATGAGGGGAATATATGGAGTGAAGGGGAGGGAGAAGGTGGCTGTATAATGTGATTGTTTTTTTTTCTCAGATACCATAGTGTAATCTTCGTACACACATGTATGCATCAATGTGGCGGTTGAAATATTTCTCCACTGCCACTACAGCAGTAGAAAAGGACATGGGGGGGATTTTCTAAACAGCAGGTAGTTATTTGTACAAGATGTCGTAGTGGCCGGGTCTATAGAGAAGGAAGACACGAGGCTCGCTGCCTTCAGGAAAGACGTGGTGGTTGACGGTGCCCCCCATCACCCCGGTCCATATACTCCACTAGAATGGACACGTTCAAGGCCTGGGCCAAGGCGATGATGTGGATATGGTCACTTTCTTTAGACATGGGCTCCACCTCCTGGATAGTAAACACACAGAGGACAATCGAAGTGTTTGAGTTTGGGGACTTGTTATGCAAGACAAAAAAAACTCAGGATGATACTGGAATGTGCATTTGCAAGAAAAATCAAGAGTACAAGACGATAGCATACATTTTCCAGCTCATTCGGACTAATTCAAAAGCAATTATACGATCAGACTTGTTCTAAACCATATGTAATCAAATACTTGAGCTCTTGCCTGGAACCCGAAGTCGATTTGCATCGAATTCTACATCAGGCAGAAATTAGCATTTGAATTAGGAAAGTTTCCTCTCACGACCTCTACAAGCCAGAATGTTGAATAGAATTATATTTTCAAGTACTTTACCGGTTGTCCGTGCGGTTGGTCCTTTTGGCGGTAGGAATGTGAGACTATATCCACAGGAAAGTAGAATTACATAAACTTTTCAAAGCGCTGGTAGTGTGTTCAGAATTCTATCACCTGAAGCAATTCTACTTTCCTGTGGATATAGTGTCTTATTCCTACCGCCAAAAGGACCAACCGCACGGACAACCGGTAAAGTACTTGAAAATATAATTATATTCAACATTCTGGCTTGTATAGGTCGAGGGAGGAAACTTTCCTGATTCAAACGCTAATTTCTGCCTGACATAGAATTCAATGCAATTCAAAGTCAGGTTTCCAGGCAACTTGAGCTCTAGTTTATTGCCTTTAACATCCTCAGCAATACAGTGCCTTCAGAAAGTATTCACACCCCTCAACTTTTTCAACATTTTGTTGTGTTACAGCCTGAATTTAAAATGGATTAAATTGATAGTGTCACTGGCCTACACATAATACCCTATGTCAAAGTGGAATTATGTTTTAGAAATGTTTATAAATTAATAAAATATGAAAAGCTGAAATGTCTTAAGTCAATAAGTATTGTACCCATTTGTTATGGCAAGCCTAAATACTTTCAGGAGTAAAAATGTGCTTAACAAGTCACATAGTAAGTGTGCATTTTTGAATGACTACCTCATCTCTGTACTCCACACATACAATTATCTGTAAGGTCCCTCAGTCGTGCAGTGATTTTCAAACACAGATTCAACAACAAAGACCAAAGAGGTTTACCAATGCCTCGCAAAGAAGGGCACCCATTGGTAGATGGGCAAAAACTTAAAAAAGCAGACATTGAATATCCCTTTGAGCGTAGTGAAGTTAGTAATTACACTTTGGATGGTGTATCAGTACACCCAGTCACTACAAAGATACAGGTGTCCTTCCTAACTCAGTTGCCGGAGAGGAAGAAACCCACTCAGGGATTTCACCATGAAGCCAATGGCTGTGATAGGAGAAAACTGAGGATGGATCAATAACATTGGAGTTACTCCACAATCCTAACCTAAATGACAGAGTGAAAAGAAGGAAGCCTGTAGAGAATAAAAATATTCCTAAACATGCATCCTTTTTGCAATAAAGGCACTGAAGTAAACTGAAAAATGTTGGTAAAGAAATTAACTTTATGTCTTGAATACAAAGCATTGTGTTTGGGGCAAATCCAACACAACATTACTGAGTACTGCTTCATATTTTCAAGCATGGTGGTGGCTTCATCATGTTATGGGTATGCTTGTCATTGGCAAGGACTAGGAATTTATTTGGATAAAAAGAAACACAATAGAGCTAAGCACAGGCAAAATCCTATAGGAAAACCTGATTTAGTCTGCTTTCCAACAGACACTAGGAGACAAATTCACCTTTCAGCAGGACAAAAGCCTAACACACAAGGCCAAATATACACTGGTTACCAAGACAACATTGAATGTTCCTGAATGGCCTAGTTATAGTTTTGACTTAAATCTGCTTGAAAATGGCTGTCTAGTAATGAACAACAACCAACTTGACAGAGCTTGAGGAATTTTTAAAAGAATAATGTGAAAATATTGTACAATCCAGGTGTGCAAAGCTCTTAGAGACTTAACCAGAAAGACTCACAGCTGTAATCGCTGCCAAAGGTGATTCTAATATACACTGACTCAGGGATGTGAACACTTATGTAAATTAGATATTTCTGTATTTAATTTAATAAATTAGCAACATTTTCTAACAACATGTTTTCACTTTGTCATTATGGGCTACTGTGTGTATATTTAATCAATTTTGAATTCAGGCTGTAACAACAAAAATGTGGAAAATGTCAAGGGGTATGCATACTTTCTGAAGGCACTGTATATCTCCCTTATTCTCTGATCTTCCATAATAAGGAACCCACCTGCTGACAGAACTCCCTGACAGAGCGTCCCCCCTCGATGAAGTGCTGGAAGAAACCGTGCTCCCTCTGCAAGTAGCCTGAAGTGAGCAACCGCAGGTACACCACAATGTAGTCTGACACGCTCTGGTCTCTGAAGGAGCCCAGCAGCTCACTGAGGCCTGGCTGCTTCTCACACAGCTCCAACAGGTCCATGAACTATGGGAAGAATAAACAATAATGGTCAGTTTGGTGATGCCTTTATGTGAAGTGACTTAAAGTTGTTCAATACAGTGCATTCGGAAAGTATTCAGACCCCTTTCCTTTTTCCACATTTTGTTACGTTACAGCCTTATTCTAAAATTGATTAAATAAAACACAATACAACATAATGACAAAGCGAAAACAGGTTTAGACATTTTTGACAATGTATTATTTTTTTAAAATACAGAAATACCTTATTTACATAAGTATTCAGACCCTTTGCTATGGGACTCTAAATTGAGCTCAGGTGCATCCTGTTTTCATTGATCATCCTTGAGATGTTTCTACAACTTGATTGGAGTCCACCTGTGGTAAATTAAATTGATTTGACATGATTTGGAAAGGCACAAACATGTCTATATAAGGTCCCACAGTTGAGAGTGCATGTCAGAGCAAAAAAAAAAAAAAAAAAGGTTGAAGGAATTGTCCGTAGAGCTCAGAGACAGGATTTTGTCGAGGCACAGATTTGGGGAAGGGTACCAAAAACTTTCTGCAGCATTGAAGGTCCCCAAGAACACAGTGGCCTCCATCGTTCTTAAATGGAAGAAGTTTGGAACCACCAAGACTCTTCCTAGAGCTGTCCTCCCGGCCAAACTGAGCAATCGGGGGAGAAGGGCCTTGGTCAGGGAGGTGACCAAGAACCCGATGGTCACTCTGACAGAGCTTCAGAGTTCCTCTGTGGAGATGGGAGAACCTTCCAGAAGGAGAACCATCTCTGCAGCACTCCACCAATCAGGGCTTTATGGTAGAGTGGCCAGACGGAAGCCACTCCTCAGTAAAAGGCACCTAAAGGACTCTCAGACCATGAGAAAAAAGATTATCTGGTCTGATGAAACCAAGATTGAACTCTCTGGCCTGAATGCCAAGCGTCACATCTGGAGGAAACCTGGCACCATCCCTACAGTGAAGCATGGTGGTGGCAGCATCATGCTGTGGGGATGTTTTTCAGCGGCAGGGACTGGGAGACTAGTCAGGATCGAGGGAAAGATGAACAGAGAAAAGTACAGAGAGATCCTTGATGAAAACCTGCTCCAGAGCGCTTAGGAGCTCAGAATGGGGCAAAGGTTCACCTTCCAACAGGACAACAACCCTAAGTACACAGCCAAGACAACGCAGGAGTGGCTTCGGGACAAGTTACTGAATGTCCTTGAGTGGCCCAGCCAGAGCCCAGACTTGAACCCAATCGAACATCTCTGGAGAGACTTGAAAATAGCTGTTCGTCAACACTCCCCATCCAACCTGATAATTTTAATCAATTTTAGAATAATGCTGTAACATAACAAAATGTGGAAAAAGTCAAGGGGTCTGAATACTTTCTGAATGCACTGTATACACAGAGTGTACAAAACATTAAGAACACCTTCCTAATATTGAGTTGCGCACACCCCCCTCATCCTGGTCTAAGAGCATTTCATAGTATTCTGTAAGTAAATCCGTGACACTATTTAGTATGCTTTGTTACGTTTCGTATGGTATGTATTAAATTTGTGGACGTCCATCATCCATTTTGTATGATATGTTACGAATTGCAATTCGTACAATATGATACGAATTTGCAAAACATATGATACGAATTCCAATTTGTTAGTGTTAGCTAAAAGGGTTAAGATTAGGGGTAGCTAACATGCTAAGTAGTTGCAAAGTAGCAAGTAGTAGTTCCAAAGTTGCTAAAATGCTAAAGTTGTCCGTGATGAGATTTGAACACGCAACCTTTGGGTTGCTAGACTTACGCGTTATATGCCCACCCATCCACCCTACTTTCGTTTTTGCACAAGTACCCTTCTCTCTTATGTAACCATACCAAACGTAACATGTCATACTAATTTGAGGGTCCCAGATTAGACATTTACTATGTTACGTCTAGTCTATGTGACCAGGTTGCCCCCAGACCAGCCTCAATTCCTTGGGGCATGGACTCTGCAATTGGTCGAAAGCCTTCCACAGGGATGCTGGCCCATGTTGACTCAAATGCTTCCCACAGTTGTGTCAAGTTGGCTGGATGCCCTTTGGGTGGTGGACCATTCTTGATACACACGGAAAACTGTTGAGGGTGAAAAACCCAGCAGCGTTGCAGTTCTTGACACAAACCGGTGCGCCTGGCACCTACTACCGTACCCCGTTCAAAAGGCACTTAAATATTTTGTCTTGCCCATTCACCCTCAATGGCACACATCTCAATCGTCTCAAGGCTTAAAATTCTTTCTTTAACCTGTCTCCTCCCCTTCATCTACAATGATTGAAGTGGATTTAACAAGTGACATCAATAAGGGATCATAGCTTTCACATGGTCAGTCTATGTCATGGAAAGAGCAGGTGTTCATAATGTCTTGTACACTCAGTGTATGTGTCATGTGTGTGAGCTGTCACTGTTGTTCATATGGTGTACAATAAGAGGGAAGCAACTCACAGTATTGTGGAAGTCTTCAATGGTGAACTCAGTGAAACCCTGGTTTACCAGGTCCAGTTTGCTCTTTGCTGCCACTGCTTTGAACCTATAGAGACATAAAACATTGCATCGGTATTCAGTGCCTATTAATGCAGCAACACTAATCATATTACATCCATCTATCATATTACATAGTCTGCTTTACTGACCGTCAATGAGCTATATGTACTATGGTTATGTTACCTCTGCAGCTCTTTGCTGTCTTCTAGCAGTGATTCGAGATGTGAAAAGCCAAAAGCTCTGTAGAAACAGTTCCCGTCTGGTCGCGTCTTACGAATATACGAGTATTTTTTGTGTAAATCCTAAGGAAAGAACAGGGAAATATTCAAAGTAAATACAATCATTATGTGACCATTTCTAACCTTCATTGGTTTTGTGGTCGTAAGGAACCCTTTCGCCTTAAACCAGTATGAAGTGATGCAGATTCAAATCCTGTAATTCAAGAATTGTGTGGTTTTACTGACCTTGATCTTGAGCTGATAAATGGTGTCTTCTGCAGCATACTCTCTCTGCAATACTGACAGCTCCTGTCGGTCTGACACTAAAAGGATGCTAGTAGCGATCTAGACACACACACACGTTAATGCACAGACGTTTCATACTCATGGATTTATAGAAACCAATATAAAACAAAAAACACAGGGTGATCAAAATCATGTGATGCAAAGGAATGCAGTTCCAGTGCAGTTCAACCTTCTCCACAGCAGACTTATGTCAGTCTAATTCAAAACCTTAGCCTACATATGATCAATGCCTATTCAAGTGTAAACTCACCTCCTGCTGAATTCTGTCCTGCTGAGCCATAATGGCCTCATCATAAGCAAGACAGTTTACTCCTCCCGCTAGAGAGAAGAAATCAACAACATAGAAGTTTGTAAACAATTAACATGACAGTTCATTCACAGAGAGTGAAGTGCTATGGTGCTGTAAAAAAAAGTGAACCCGAATTCTGAATTTAATGTGGGAACTAGCTATATTACATAATGGTTATTGGAGTAGCTATGTGTCAACACAACATAGCGATTGGAAGCTTGTTTGCAAAATCACACTTTTTAGGAAAAATTGCTGGTTACGTAATTTATACCACAACATGAGATTGATGACAACATCCATGTATTTTAAGCAAATTCTGTCATCACATATCCGTCTACCATTGCCAATCAAAAGTTTTAAACCTGGTTCACTTGGGGTGCAAGTGCAACCATGTTGTCAGCATCTGACCATATTTTTAAACAACTAGTTAGAATTGATTAGTTAGCAAGCTAGCTAAGCTTGCTAACTAGCCAACTATCCAATTTCAGTGATGGCGTCAATAAACATTTGACAACCAATTGAAAGCCGGCAAAAATATACTGTGAATGAGATACTACATTATGTCACATACAATGCTTAATGGTATCACCTTCATCCTCCAAAAACTACAGGTCGAAAATGCGTTTCTTTGTGTGTGACTTGAATGCTTTGGCCGCCCCCATTGCTCTCTCATATTCATGCAAGCAACTTGTTCCTCAACTGCTATCACTAGATTGCCTAACAATCACATTACACCTCCATAAATAACAATGCGTTACTAGCCGAAGCAGGTTAGATTTCTGTCATCTTTCGTTTTGATGTTGTTTCACTCACCCTCCATCTCTCCCTGTGTTGTTTCCTGCTGTTGCTCCTGCGCCATTTTAGCTGTAGAATTGTGTTTCCTCTGTCTCTCAGACCTCATTCTAAACTTCCGGGTCACAGCACAGCAGCTGGATCTTTCTCTTTGACAAATGCACATAAATGCAGATGTCACACATATTTAGAACGGTCATTAGTTTTCTGTCTTAAAGAACTAGATATTATATACTTACAATTCATGTGTGAGAGTGAAAAGCTTTTCCAATTTTATATTCATCATCAAGACCCTTCTTCTAGGCCCTCTTTCTCAAATGGCTCATTTCCACTGATGATTTACTCCAGTGTTTTACCCAAAACGCTGACTTTTGTTTTTATCTAAGCGGGCTGCCAGGCACCTTTGTCTCACTGGGCCTTGGCTCTGGCGGACCTGCTGACTAGGAGCCAAGGCAAAGCAACAGTCTTGAATGATGCAGAGGTTGTTGATTCTGCTTGCCACAAGTCAAACTCCTGATAGAAACAACACTAGAGTTTAACATAAACTGTCGAATCGCGACCCACTGATGTGGGGGTAAGTCTCAATGGAAAAGCACCAAAACACTTGGGTCAGCGCATGTGCAAATGATTATGTTATATCATGGTTTGATGTAGATTATGGTCAAATTGTTTCACCTCATAATAATGCATGTGGCGCTAAAATGTTGAAACAGAATGATCAGAGATTTGGATTACATGTTTCTATTAAGACATTTTTTTAAAGTCATTTTGTTACATGAGTTCAAGCATCATAGGCCAGAAAAAGGTATGCAACACAGTAGACTTTGTCCAAGACAGGTGGTAGTGAAACAGTTAAGCGCTTCTGGTAGTTTTGAACATTGGCTAGGACCCAACCAGAAGGTCCAAGTATGGTCAGTTCAAAAACACTCATGGCGGAAACTGTTTCCTGTAAACAGAGGCAGACAAGACAACACTTGTCATATAGGCCACCCAAGAACGCTCAGGTTGGCAATAAATATTATTGTCAAATTGCCAATAATAAGGCATGCAAGAAATGCATTGATTTAAAACCTAATTTTGATACGTTTGTTTATAAAATTCAGTTCGCATGTCAAATCAGCTAGTTACGGTCTGAGCTAGCTGCAGCGATGGCCCACTCACTGCATTGTCGATATTGTGGTTTACTGGTTATGTTTGCATGTGTCGCCCGGAAGTACTTTTTTTGTGTTGCTGAAGAGATAATGCGCTTGAGCGATTTTGAGGCACTTGTTGATGTAGGAATGTTGAAGACCTTGAAGAGCTGGAAACATGGAGAGGCCAGATATAGCCAGCCTTGTAAATTGGGCTAAGGAACAGAAATTGCGTGCTCTGCAAGCAATACAGCGGATGAAGGCGCGCCAAGATCGCGGTGAACGGATAGACGTGGATATGGACAGCTAGGAATAAGGGTAGAGTGTAGTGGGAAGATGTGTGTTGAGGAAGAATGGTGGCAATTACAAACCATATTCTGTTGTCTCTGATGGCTCAGAAATTGAACCTGCCTAGAGTGAGGATGAATTACCTGTGGTGGCAGGTGTGGTGAAGACCTCCGAGTTTGAGCCTCGCCCGGATGGTCATGCAAAGGATGATTCGAGTCCATTGGGAGTGAAATCTTTTGAGAAAGTGTTTCCCTGCGTTTCGGCTGATTAAAACATTTGTTGGGTACTGTTAAATCGGTTAGCCTGATGTGGACTTTGTGTATTTCTTCCATCTAGAGCAGGGGTGTCAAACGTACGGCCCGCGGGCCGAATCAGGCCCGCAAACGGGTTTAATCCGGCCCGCGAGATGATAAAAAAAAAAAAAAAAACTTTTTATTTTTTTTATTCAATAAAATAAACTGCTGTTCCAATTGCGTCCACTGGATGGCGCAATAGCAATTGTGTTAAGCAAGCAAACTGTTTATACCGGGGCAGAGCAAGTAGGTCAAGCACGTGCAGCCAATGAGCTACTTTGTTTTGCCCGCGATATTTATTACGGCTTCTACTTTTAACATTATGTGCTTTGGCACCCTCATTGCCCCAATATGTCTCTGTCAAAAAAGAGAAAAGTGGACACAGAGTGCAGAGTGTTCCAAGAAAAATGGTCATCCTATTTAATCACGGAATTGAATGGGAAAGCTGTATGTTTGGTGTGTTCAGAGCATGTTGCAGTGCTGAAAGAATATAACCTTCGTCGCCACTATGTGAGTCTTCATGCCGACAAATATGACAACTTTCAAGGACAGCGGAGATGAGAGAAGGTGAATGAACTGTTGGCGGGTCTGAAGAAACAGCAGTCTGTGTTTACTCACAGCCGAGACATCAGTGACGCTGCAGTGAAAGCTAGCTACCTCATTGCTAATGAAATCGCAGTGGCTTCAAAACCATTTAGTGAGGGTGAATTTGTAAAAACATGCATGATGAAGGCAGCGGAGATTGTGTGCCCTGAAAAGCGGCAGGCTTTTGCAAATATCAGCCTGACAAGAAACACAGTTGCAGACAGGATTTCCGATCTTTCAGTGGATTTGGACAGCCAGTTGAAGCAAAAAGTAAAGTCATTTATTGCGTTTTCGGTTGCAATTGATGAAAGCACGGACATTACAGATGTTGCACAACTGGCCATTTTTTCATCCGCGGAGTTGATGACACATTGACCGTCACCGAGGAGTTCGTGGAGTTGGTGCCGATGACAGATACAACGACAGCAGCTGATATTTTTACCGCACTCGTCGGCGCGCTGGACAGGGTCGGAGTGGACTGGTCCCGCGCTGTCAGCCTGGCTACAGATGGTGCGCCCTCAATGATCGGGAAAAAAGCAGGCGTTGTGACAAAGTTCAGAGAGAAAGTGCAATCTGCAAATGGAGGACGTGATTTTTTGACTTTTCACTGTATTTTGCACCAGGAGGCTTTGTGTTGCAAGTCATTAAAGATGGATAACGTCATGAAGGTGGTCATCCAAACTGTTAATTTCATCCGATCCAGAAGCCTGAATCACCGTCAGTTTGACAGCCTTCTCAGAGAGAAAGACCACATCTATGGCCTGCCATACCACACTGAGGTAAGATGGTTAAGCCGAGGTGCTGTGCTGAGGCGTTTCTTTGATTTACGAGAAGAAATTGAACAGTTCATGGAAGAAAAGGGCAAACCAGTGTTAGAATTTCATTCCGCAGAATGGATGCCGGACCTTGCATTTATGGTGGATGTTACAGAGCACCTGAATAACTTGAACAAACAGCTGCAAGGGCGCAACAAAGTTGTCACGCAGTATTATGACAGCATACGTTCTTTCAAGTTGAAGCTGTCATTGTGGGAGACGCAACTTGCCGGTGGTGATGCAGCTCACTTCCCCTGTCTGAAAAATGTGTGCGCGACCCAACATGTGGCAGACATGAAGCAGTTCAAAGATAAAATAACGGGACTGTTACGGGAGTTTGAGCAACGCTTTCAGATTTATGTTTATATGTTTTTATGTTGATGTGCTATTGTTTTTAATTGTTTTTATTTTATTTGTATATTTAACCTATTCTTGTCTCTGTGGTTCTTGCACTTGTTTGGGGAACAGGATTTCATTATTTTTATCTACATTTCTGCCTGAGAAATGACACCCTGATATAGTTCTGTGATCTGTGATATACTTCTGTGAATCACTGAGGCATTGTGTGTTTGTGTGTTCTTTGTCCTCAGAACTTTCAAATAACTTGAGGTGTTTTATGATTAATAGTGATGTTGTGCTTTTGGACACTGTCCTCAGGCTCCAGCTTTATGTTTTTATGTTGATGTGCTATTGTTTTTAATTGATTTGATTTGATTTGTTTATTTAACCTATTCTTGACTCTGTGGTTCTTGCACTTGTTTGGGGAACAGGATTTCATTATTTTTATCTACATTTCTGCCTGAGAAATGACACCCTGATATAGTTCTGTGATCTGTGAAACAGTTCTGTTAATCACTGAGGCATTGTGTGTTTGTGTTCTTTGTCCTCAGAACTTTCAAATAAATTGAGGCGTTTTATGATTAATAGTGATGTTGTGCTTTTGGACACTGTCTTCAGGCTCCAGCTTTATGTTTATATGTTTTTATGTTGATGTGCTATTGTTTTTAATTGATTTTATTTTATTTGTATATTTAACCTATTCTTGACTCTGTGGTTCTTGCACTTGTTTGGGGAACAGGATTTCATTATTTGTATCTACATTTCTGCCTGAGAAATGACACCCTGATATAGTTCTGTGATCTGTGAAACAGTTCTGTTAATCACTGAGGCATTGTGTGTTTGTGTGTTCTTTTTCTTTAGAATTTTCAAATAAACTTGACGTGTTTTATGATTAATAGTGATGTTGTGCTTGTACTATTTTGGACACACTGTCCTCAGGCTCCAGCTTTATGTTGTATGTTGATCGTATTAAAACAAAGAAAACAATCTGAAGTTGTTGTTTTTAAGTTATATATACCATGATTTTTCCGGTCCGGCCCACTTGGGAATAGATTTTCCTCCATGTGGCCCCTGAGCTAAAATTAGTTTGACACCCCTGATCTAGAGGGAGCGGGCGCTTCGCCTCAAGTGACTAGGGACAAGCTCTGTGACTTGCTTTGATCTCAGGAGCAGGGCGCCTTTGAAAGGAGTGATTACTGGGGTGGCATTAAGTGTTGAGGTGGAGCAACTGAAATGGAAAATTCCCAGTGTCTGTGACGCCCGTCGTTTGGTGCGACGCAGACCCAGTGGTGAAACTGAGAAAACATTGTCTGTCCTTTTGAGTTTTGAAGCAGAGTTTTTACCTGATAAAGTCATGTTAGGATATAATATAATAATAATAATAATAATAATAATATGTCAGGATATGTCAGTGAGAGTTTTTGTGCAGAACCAACTAAGGTGTTTCAGAAGCTTATGTTCATGTTGCAGTAGTGTGTAGGAGGGAGATTCCGAGATGTGAGAAGTGTGCAGGAGGGCATGGTACAAAGGAATGTGTAGTATCGGTGGGGAAAACTGTGTCAGTTGTGTGGGTGCCCATGTTGCTGGGGATCAGGAGTGTCCGGTGTGAGAGAGACAGGTTGAGATTGCAAGGGTCAGAGTAGAACAGAAGGTGTCATATGCTGAGGCAGTGAAGAGAGTAGAGGATGATGGGTCAAGGGGGAGTACTAGGCCTAGGACAACCACAGAGTGCTGCAGAGAAGTACTTGGGTGTACAAGGTTTTACTGCAGAAGAGTTACAATGTGTGTTGAACGAGAGTCCCGTCCTCCCAGACCATTGGCCTGGTGTTGGATTAGTTAGGGGCAAGGTAGTGGAATGGGGGTGGTGATTTAAAAAATAAATAAATAGTGGTATATAGGTGTAGGGTTAGTTGGTGGTGCAATTTTTTCCTAGGGGAACAGGACTAATGAAGATCATTTAATGTAGGTAGGACGTGACTGGCCTCGCACTCCAGGACAGTAAATGGCGTGTATGCGCCTTCAAAGTTGGATACGATCCGCCAACCCAATCTCAAAGAAGAAGAAAAAATATTGCATGTGTCCTTGGAGCCACAGCCAATCGTACTTTAAGCATTCCCCGCAGAAGGCCAGACATGATTCAAACGCAGCAACAGGTTCCGGTTATACAGCTAGCTAGCTAGCTTGTGAGTTTGTTGCGTGTACTTCACTTTGGCTTTGTTTGCAATTTTATAGTCCTGCGGTAGCTACGTCATATGATCTTTACCTAATTTTCGCGGGGTAATTTGCTCAGTTTTGATTGGTAGACACAAACATTTATAAACAAAAAGTGATGAGTGAATGAAGCCATTTTGGAATGTAACAAAATATCACACAACAATTGTAACTTTGTCTCCTTTATTGACGGTTGTTTAACATTAACAAGAGAATGCAGGGGTTGAAGCTTTCAGTGCTTTTCAGACTCTCCCTAAAGGAAGATAAACATAAAAAAACGAATGGAAAGTGCAGTCTTCATCAACCCTACACACTCAATTACTAGCATAATGATAACTTTAAGTCCAAGACTTCCAAACACTGAAAAATACTATTGTACCAGAAATTTGTATTTATTTTAACATAAAAAATTAGCTGCTTAAGTGAGCAGTCAAGGTGTTCATGGGCTCACTTTAGGCAGTACAACTACACACACAGTTTAGTTAAGGCAGCTTTATAGTCAATCATAGAGGTATTAGGCAGAGAAGGTGGAGGAGAGAAGGCTTAGTTTGTTGCACTAAATGAAGGATCATCATTTCCGACATTGGATCAACGTTTTGAGGATATACTGATGGGATCATGCTAAACAAAACACAGCTTATAGAACAACGTATTTTAGTAATAAGCATTGTGTGGGGGCTACCCAAAACATGAGCATGTCAATCTAGTCCATTGAACCCGATTCGTTATTATTATTTTATTTTACATTTTTTAGTCATTTTAACAGACGCTCTTATCCAGAGCGACTTACAGTTAGTGAGTGCATACATTTTTCATACTGGCCCCCCGTGGGAAACGAACCCACAACCCTGGCGTTGCAAGCACCATGCTCTACCAAGTTATTTGGTGCAGATTAGAATAAAGAGGTTGTCATTGGCAGGCCAAAGCCGTAGAATCACAGTGTCTATGTGAGAAGAACGTGCATATTTTCAATACTGTATTGTGATAAGCCACTAACGTTATGTCCCATGTCTCATCCTTGGAAGAGATGGTTTTGGTACCATTAGACAGTGGTGAGGTTTCAAGCTACTTGTTGACCCCAATGACTGTTAAAGGTGTATTCTCTGGCCAAATTGTCTTAAATTATGGTGAACAGTGTTACTGATGTTGCACAGCCAGTCGACTATGCATTGAGAAGGTGAATGCTGATTTTGATTAAGCCCATTGAAAATGAATACTGAATGTTGAGGTTAAAAGTGGAATCAGGTTATTGGCCATCACATAGCTGGACAGGGGGTTGCTATAGTCATTTATCAACTAATACTGACCACAATTAAATAACACAATGAAAAGGTACTAGTTATAGGGAAGATTTCAGGTTTCTAAACCATTTCTCAAGTTAACATGTTTTTTCTTGTGGAAGCCAGAAGTTGGGGGCTGTGGAAAAACAGAGGTTGGGGATGTGGAAAAGCCTGAGGCTGGTTTTGGGGCTAGGGCTTATTGGCGAGGATCGTCTGGGGCAGGGATCCTTTCCAGGCTGGGCTCCATGCCCCAGATCTCCCGGGCATACTGGGAGATGGTGCGGTCGCTAGAGAATTTACCACAACCGGCGATGTTGTGGATCACCATCTTGGTCCATTCTTTAGGGTTCTGTTGGGATGGATTGGAAGAGAGGGGAATTCAAACCATTGCAGAAGGAAGGAATACTGTTATGTTATATATGTGGGAAAACTCTTAGAATTGACAGGGGAATAGTCAAGTCACCTTTTATTTACAGTGCATTTAAACAGGTCTCAATACACTTTACAAAAAAGAAAGAAATTAAGAAAAAATAATAATAATAATTCAGTCAATGAAACACTGACCTTGTAGAGAGCACTAACTTTGTCCTGGCATTTGATGTAGGCTTCGTAGTCAGCGAACACCTTGAATCTGCAACACAAACATCATGCTCGGTTTGACATTGTATGGCTGCGTGTATAACGGTAGAGTACAGTGTGTCAGCATTTTGGGTATTCTTTCAGTGACTCAGTGTTTTCCCCCACCTGTCATGATGCAGTAGCATGTTGACAATGTCCTTGAAGAGGTCATGCTGGTCGGGACTGAAGTATCCACCAGAGATCTGGTCCATGGCCTGCTTCAGCTCAGGAATGCGATTGTAGTACTCCATGGCATCATATCTGGAAGATGGATAAATTAATAAAGAAGATAAAACATAATTTTTTCCATTATGTCACCACAGCTATCATCATTTCCAAGTCATCCCCCCCAAAATCTCCTTCCGTTCTATCCTTCACCATTCCCAATGTATTGGCTTCTCCACCAAACTTTACCAAGCAAGCATCCTTCCATGTCATCCAAAAGTTCTCTCCATAGCTATCATCCAATGCCAATCTTTTTGTCTTCTCAACCATCACTGACCAGAACCTCTTCATCCATCCATCCACCCACCCACTCACACCCCCCCACTGTCTGACCCGCTCTTGTCCATGGCGTCCACGTCATCCACCCTCATGCCGAAGATGAAGAGGTTCTCCTCCCCGGCCTCCTCAGCCATCTCTACGTTGGCTCCGTCCATGGTGCCGATGGTGAGCGCTCCGTTCAGCATGAACTTCATGTTGCCAGTTCCAGACGCCTCTGTGCCAGCTGTGGAGATCTGCTCAGATAGGTCGGACGCAGGGATGACTGAGTAGAGAGAGAGAGAGAGATGGGGGTGGGGGGGAGAGAGAGGGAGAGGGACAAGGATAAACAGAAATAGAGAGATGTGACCAGGCAGAGAAAAATGTGTCTTAGAACCATTAACAAAATTTGGCGGGCGCTAGCTAGCTCGAAGTCTGAAACAAAGAAGGTAGACGTGGAGGGTCACTTAGCTCCTATGGGAGCATAAATAAAGGAAGCAACAATTATGTGACTTTTTTACTTTTCTCGGCCAGAGTGACCTTGTAGTTCTCCAGGAAGATGACTTTGAGGCGGTCGCCCACCACCTCGTCGTCGTTGACAATATCTCCAATGGCCGTGATCAGCCTGATGATCAGCTTAGCAGTGTGGTAACCAGGGGCAGCCTGGGAAAAATGGAGAGAAACATACGGAAGCACATGGATGCCAAAATCTCATACAGGGAGGGCACAAAAGATTAGCCTGGTCCCAGATCTTAAAAACGATAGTCGTTGTCTCCATAGGAGTTGGCAAGATCAATCAATCAATCAATTTTATTTTATATAGCCCTTCGTACATCAGCTAATATCTCGAAGTGCTGTACAGAAACCCAGCCTAAAACCCCAAACAGCTAGTAATGCAGGTGTAGAAGCACGGTGGCTAGGAAAAACTCCCTAGAAAGGCCAAAACCTAGGAAGAAACCTAGAGAGGAACCAGGCTATGAGGGGTGGCCAGTCCTCTTCTGGCTGTGCCGGGTGGAGGTTATAACAGAACCATGCCAAGATGTTCAAAAATGTTCATAAGTGACAAGCATGGTCAAATAATAATCAGGAATAAATCTCAGTTGGCTTTTCATAGCCGATCATTAAGAGTTGAAAACAGCAGGTCTGGGACAGGTAGGGGTTCCATAACCGCAGGCAGAACAGTTGAAACTGGAATAGCAGCAAGGCCAGGCGGACTGGGGACAGCAAGGAGTCACCACGGCCGGTAGTCCCGACGTATGGTCCTAGGGCTCAGGTCTCTCAGTTGGCTTTTCATAGCCGATCATTAAGAGTTGAAAACAGCAGGTCTGGGACAGGTAGGGGTTTCGTAACCGCAAGACAGCTCAAACAGTTAGACCAGGCTAACAAAGATATCTTATGACTAAGATTTTTACAATACACTGTGTATCCTTGTGATGTAATCACACTTTAATTGCTGCTCACCTTTCCTCCAATCATGATAGTCCTGGGGGTCCAATTCTTGTTGGGCTCCTTCTTGATGCCTGATTGAAAAAGAAGACAGGTTAACTTGGTTTACTGAATAATGTCTCTCACTAGAGCTGTGAAAGAATGGAGTACCACTCACGGTTGTAGAGAGTGATGATGTGCAGGCAGTTGAGCAGCTGCCTCTTGTACTCGTGGATCCTCTTGACTTGAACGTCGAACATGGAGTTTGGGTTGATCTTCACCTTGTAGTGCTCCTCGAGATAAGCAGAAAACTTCAGCTTGTTCTCCTACAGATAGAAACAGGTGTTAGGAGGAGTGATAGTCATTGTCTCAGACTGAGATGGTGACTGAAATGACTGACAACATATTAAAAGAGACTGTTGTGTTCTGACCTGTTTGACCTTGGCGATGTCCAGAATCAAAGAGTCGTCGTCCACAAACTTCAGCAAATTCTTCAGTTGGTCCAGATCGCGGATGTAATCCTCACCAATCCTCTGCACATTCAGAAAGACCCATGTTTAGAAGAATTATATCAAACACTACTGAGTCAATATCACTATGAGGTGCCTTTGGTGTCCTCATCAGACTCACTCAGTCATCATGAAAATGGAGCAGAATAATGAAAGTCTGAGGTCTTATTATAAGTGGCCAAACATTTGCACACATATCAGTAGAATGATAAGTCTCTAAAAAAGTGTTTCCTTCATTTTATTAATTTTTTTTCATTGGATGTACGTGATTTTGGCATGTCCCACACACTGCTCTGCTAACTACAGTGTGTGTAATAAGTGGTTAAATGATACTAAATCCACATTTTTTTTACATGGTTTTACTGTCCACAATAAGTTATTTGATAAAACAAGTAATTTTGATCATGTATATTGTATTTTCATAATCATATTGAACATTTTGCATGTGTCCCTGAAATTGCTGTCCACCCTGTCATTATGGGGTAACTGCCCCTTTAAGAAACCCACTGATGTTTTCAGTGACATCACTACGAGCATTTTGTCTTTCTTCAATGAAGGCTGAAGCAGTGTCTAGTTGCAGAGTAAGTATTTACACTTATGTTTCATAATTTTCATCATATTATGTGTGTAGTTGGATGTTGTCAAGCTTAACATGTCCACTCTGTCATAGTGAAATATCAATTGATAGAAAAACCTATCAGAACATTGAAATATATTTGTAAAACAGTACACAGTCAGCTTGCTAACTGTAGTATGTTGCTAAGTGAAGGTCCACCATGTGCTCATTAAATGCTAACATTAGCCAAAAATGTCCACCCTGTCATTTTCCACCCTGTCAGCAAGCCTTCCATGACAGGGTGGACATGGTTCATGACAGGAAGGACATGTGCATAGTTTAGGCCACATACTGATAATGTTACACATATTACAACAGCTATTACACACATTTTATAACAGTACATGCTATACATAGTAAGAATGGACAATATGGACAATTTTTTTGCCGATATCGGTATCAGCAAACCTAGTTTGATAATGCAAGCCTAGTTTACCGGGACTGCCAATTAAAGTGTGTAAGGGAACATTTTGAATCGTATTTTTCAAGGAATGAGATCAAAAGGAGTTGAGATAGCAAGGAGATATCGGGAACGTCGTGATGCTGACCCAGACAGAAGAAGAAAGTACCTTGAGAAAGAAAGGGTCAAATGGAAAAAAGACAGAGAGACTGGAAAGAAGAAGGGTGTCAATGAGCTCAGTGAGAGAGAGAAGAGGGCAAAAAGAAAGAAATGGAGAGAGGCAAAAAGTCAAGCCAGAGCCAGAAACAGGGCCAGTGCTTTGCTACAGTCAGAGACACCACCCAACTCCCCTGCTGAAACTCCTGAAAATCAGCATGAGCCAGGGCCCTCCAGGTTAGATCATTGGCTTAACACAGATTTCCAGGAGAGGCTTCTCCATTTTAGGAGCCATGTCTTCAACATTAAATGGCAGTTTGATGCCTACAGGGAGCTCAGGAGGAGTCTGAAGCACAATGAGTCCCTCTTGCATATAGATTTTAGCGAAAATTACTCATGTAAGTACAGCGAAGAAATACAATCTGTGCATTTTGGAGGCTCACACAAGCAGGCCAGTCTGCACACTGGAGTGCTCTACACCACTGGTGAACAAGCGCCACACACCTTCTGCTCCATATCACCCTCCAGAAGACACAACCCTGTGGCCATCTGGGCCCACCTTGATCCAGTTCTGAAGGTAGTGAGAGAACGACACCCTCAAGTCAGCACACTTCATTTTTTCAGCGATGGGCCTGCAACGCAGTATCGACAAAAGGGAAATTTCTTCTACCTCTCAACGGAACCCTACAAGTATGGCTTCAAAGAAATAACGTGGAATTTCTTTGAGGCTAATCATGGGAAGGGGGCACCAGACGGTGTGGGTGGGGCCCTCAAGAGGTCAGCAGACCGGATTGTAGCCCATGGAGGAGACATTCCTGATGCCCAGAGCTTGTATAACAAGCTGAAAAGCCTGGACACATCTGTCGAGCTGTTCTTCATCCCAGAGAGGGATATTGAATCAAAGCCTGAGGTACCTGCAATAGCTGCCATAAAAGGCACTATGAGAATCCACCAAGCTATCAGTCTGACACCCGGCCAACTGAAATACAGAGACATTTCATGTCTGTGTAAAAGGGAGGAAGGTGTTTTGGACTGCCCCTGCTTTAACCTTCAAGAGGTCACTCTAGCTAATGTTCCTGTTTCATCTGACAAGTCCCCAGCATGTGGAAAGACACCAGATAATCCTAGGAGACCAGAAATGATTGAGGTAAAGCACATTGGAGAGTGGTGCGTCGTTAATTATGACAATGAAGCATACCCAGGTATCATCATGGATGCAGAAGGGCACAGTGTGAAAGTTAAGTGTATGCAACGCCATGGCATAAACAAGTTCAAATGGCCAAGTCTTCGGGACGACATCTGTTGGTACATTTACATTTACATTTTCGTCATTTAGCAGACGCTCTTATCCAGAGCGACTTACAAATTGTCATCACAGTCGTATTGGCACTGAAAGGTATAGATAGTTAGACATAAAGCTGGTGCTAAACTGTAACATCCTGCTAAGTGACCAATAAAGGAGCTGCTATAGAAGGAGAAGGGATGTTATTGGTGCCAGAAGCAGACTCAGCCAAGACAGCCAATAGGCTACAGATGGGGACATGCATGGCTGTTCAATATTTACATTTGGTGCATTATCCCCCCCCCCCCCTTCCCCTGTACTGCTGTTTGGAAGCAGGTTGAGACTAGGTGAGCCATGCATTGAGTCTGGATTTTGAAAACCTTAAGAAATGTTTTGTGAATCCAGACCCTGCAACTTTGGTATTAGGTAAGAGAATGCCACAAGGCCGGCTTGAGCAATGAACGGAAACGATGTGCAACAACTAGACAAACAGAGACACAGCCTGAGAGAAAGTCTGTTTGGGCCATCCAGACAGATCTGTGACCAGGCAACTAGAGACATATCTGTGACCAGGCAACTAGAGACATATCTGGGACCAGGCAACTAGAGACAGATCTGGGACACAGACAACACCAGTTAGACAGTTCTCAGTAGAAACAGAGCAGATGTTCAGGCTAGGGCCCATTGGTGTCAGTGTGCCCCATAGGGTCAAAACTATTGCGCTATAAAGGGGATAGGGTACCATTCAGGAGGTTTAGTCTTTGGACTGTACCACTGCTGCCAGACTGGTTTGTTCAACTCCACCAGAGCTCTCTGTTTATCTAAAGAGAACAGAAAACACACCACTGACTGATGTTACTACACCCTGTTAGCTACTACGGCCACAGTGAGTCAATGCAGGTTTAGCTACAGCCACAGTGAGTCAATGCAGGTCTAGCTACGGCCACAGTGAGTCAATGCAGGTCTAGCTACGGCCACAGTGAGTCAATGCAGGTTTAGCTACGGCCACAGTGAGTCAATGCAGTTTTAGCTACGGCCACAGTGAGTCAATGCAGTTTTAGCTACGGCCACAGTGGTACCATGAAGAATGATGTACAGAGTTTAACGCTAGAAGGCCACATTAATGTCTCATTTTGGGCATCTTTATTCAGTGGCTGCATGCAGGTAGAGTGGATCAAAAACAGTCTGTTCAACTTGTAATTTCCCCCTACATGGGAAAAGGCATTTTTTACATCATTTTCTTGCATTGTTCCTTGCATTTATGAGGCCATTCAATGACATTTCACAACGTGTCCACCCTGTCATGCCCAGGGTCCACCCTGTCATGTCACTGTCCACCCTGTTATTTTCATGTTCTATGAAAATAAACAAATTATTTTCACAAGTTAGCAAAATCTTTTGTGTGATTCCTTTATAAACAAATGAGGGCCAAATAGTATTGTTTGAAAGTTTGACCAGATATCTTTTTTGTTAGATTTTATTTAGAAAAGAAAGTGCAACTCTCGCAGATTTTATAGAGAAACAAATAGTTTGCCATAATTTCATTATTATCCAAATACTTTTCCCATAAACTAAAATATATTGTTGAGAAAGTGACTAAATAGTTTTCTGAAAATGTACGTTTTATAATCACTATGTAATTACAATGTATTTATTCTGCTTTGAAATTGTCCATGACAGGGTGGACATATTTTGCTGTTTGCATGTAAATTGTCTGCTTGCAGTTAATTTATAAAAAGTGTGGGAGCTTGACCAATATGCATTTCTAACAGCATAACATATACTTAATACAATGAATATGAAGTTCAATGGAAAATCTCAGCTTTTTTGGGGGGAAATGGGGAAGTCTCAAAGGCACCTTATGGTGATATTGACCCTACTGTTACAGCCACTCTTCCTCCACTTTAGCTGTATTCTCCACCACATACCTCTGCGATGACTTCAGCCAGTCCAGGATTGCACATGACCAGCCAGCGTCGGGGTGTGATGCCATTGGTCTTGTTCTGGAACTTGTGGGGGTCCACCTCGTAGAAGTCCTTGAACCTGGGGACACAATGAGCGATTGATCAAATGCCACTCTACATCTCCTTGATCAATGGGATAGCAAAGTACAGTATAGCTAACGGCAAAATAAAACAACGGTTTTCGTACAGAGTGGCCTTGATGATGTCCGAGTGGATGCGGGCCACTCCGTTGACAGCGTGGGAGCCCACGATGCACAGGTGGGCCATGTTGATCTTCTTCTGGTCGCCCTCCTCCACCAGGGACATGCGGCGCAGACGGTCATGGTCTCCAGGGTAGAGTTTAGCAATGCGCTGAGGGAGAAGGGACAAAGGATTTTATAGTAGTTGTACAGCCCTTCCTGTTTTGATCACGTTAGCGAGAGATGCTAGCACATAAATATTGAGGCAATGTTTTGGACTGCATCTAACTCTTAATCCTCTAAAGGCCCTGAAGACTGTACGTCGGATTCAGTATTTTATCACGTCAAACTGTGCAATGTTCCCAAATTAAAATCTTGATATCAACCTGGCCAGATTGTAATATTTGCTCCAGTTCTGTCGTCACATTCTGCGATTGGCTTGTGAGGCTATATCAGCTGACATAGGCTACGTAAACTGCAGCAGTTTATTTGATCTGCATGTGTCAGCACCAGCAGCACAAGTCTCACTCTATGCTTATGTGCGAGTGAAGTGAATTCGGAACAACTGAAAGTATGCATTTTAGAAGTAGTTTTCACATACAAATATACACTATATATACAAAAGTATGTAGACACCCCTTCAAATTAGTGGATTTGGCTATTTCAGCCACACCCTTTGCTGACAGGTGTATAAAATCGAGCACACAGACATGAAATCTCCATAGACAAACATTGGCAGTAGAATGGCCCTTACTGAAGAGCATAGTGACTTTCAACGTGGCACCATCATAGGATGCCACCTTTCCAACAAGTCAGTTTGTCAAATTTCTGCCCTGCTAGAGCTGCCCCGGTCAACTGTAAGTGCTGTTATTGTAAAGTGGAAATGTCTAGCTCACAGAACAAGACTGCCGAGTGCTGAAGCGCGTAACACTCACTACCGAGTTCCAAACTGCCTCTGGAAGCAACGTCAGCACAAGAACTGTTCGTCGGGAGCTTCATGAAATGGGTTTCCATGGCCGAGCAGCCACACAACATGCGCAATGCCAAGTGTCTGCTGGAGTGGTGTAAAGCTCGCCGCCATTGGACTCTGGAGCAGTGGAAATGCGTTCTCTGGAGTGATGAATCACGCTTCACCATCTGGCAGTCCGACAGAAGAATCTGGGTTTGGCAGATGCCAGGAGAACTCTACCTGCCCGAATGCATTGTGCCAACTGTAAAGTTTGATGGAGGAAAAATAATGGTCTGGGGCTGTTTTTCATGGGTCGGGCTAGGCTCCTTAGTTCCAGTGAAGGGAAATCTTAACGCTACAGCATACAATGACATTCTAGACGATTCTGTGCTTCCAACTTGGGGAAGGCCCTTTCCTGTTTCAGCATGACAATGCCTCCGTGCTCAAAGTGAGGTCCATACAGAAATGGTTTGTCGAGATCGGTGTGGAAGAACTTGACAGGCCTGCACAGAGCCCTGACCTAAACCCCATAGAACACCTTTGTGAGGATTCGGAACTCTGACTGTGAGCCAGGCCTAATCGCCCAACATCATTGCCCAACCTCACTAATGCTCTTGTGGCTAAATGGAAGCAAGTCCCCGCAGTGCTGTTCCAACATCTAGTGGAAAGCCTTCCCAGAAGAGTGGAGGCTGTTATAGCAGCAAAGGGGGGACCAACTCCATATTAATGCCCATGATTTTGGAATGAGATGTTCGACGAGCAGGTGTCCACATACTTTTGGTCATGTAGTGTATGTCCGAACTCAGAATTAAATAGGCTTCCCCAAAAGAACATGGTCGCTGAACATTTATTTTGATTGCCGATTTTGTACATTTATCAAAATCCCACCAGGTAGCCTGATTTCAGATGTATCATGTAAACAAGATTATACGGGAAATCGTTCTTCTTGCAAAGTATGAAAAAGTTTAAAACAAACTATTATATTAATCTGACTATTCACAATAATCGTCAAGTGCCTTGTTTATTTATTTTTATTTTACCTTTATTAACTAGGCAAGTCAGTTCAGAACAAATTCTTATTTATAATGACGGCCTTGTGGCTGAGGTCAGTCACCAGGATTGGCTCGTAACATCAGCCACACTATACGATAAAGGCTCAACATTTCTGACACTGCCAGAACTTTGTCGGAGCCTACGACCACACGTAGTGGTACTTAAATCGGCAGACCTGGACCCTGTCACACTGAATGAGCCAAGATGTCTGACAATCGTTTACGACCTAAGAATTTTCCCATGATGCGGACATTTTGTCTGAGACTGCAAAATCATGGCATAAGACGGCTAAAATCGTACAGTCTGGAGGGGGTAAGATCCATGTCTTTATTCTATGACCCACACTGTAATATGGAGTGATCATTTAGGTCTCTCTATCTCTCTCACTGTCTCTCTCCTACTCCACCCCCCTCCCTCCCTCCCTCCTTCTTCTTCTCTCTACCTCCAGGTGGCGTCGGTTGATCTCGAAGATGATCTCCAGGTGTCTGGGCAGAAGGTTTTGGAACAGGTCGATGGGCCAGCGCTCCAGGGCCTCAGGCAAGACCGTATGGTTGGTGTAGGCACAGGTACGCGTAACGATGTCCCAGGCCTGAGAGAGGGGAAAAATACAACGATTCATGTAGTAGGAAATTGTCTTAGTGAATGTTTGGTCAATCAATTCAGGGGCATCAGAGAGGAAAGTTTGAAGCGAGAGGTTTCAAATAAGCCCAATGTGTTTCTACGGGCTTATTTTAGACCTAAGCTTGTCACCTGCTTTCCCGCCTTTGGGACAACGACGCCCATTGTTAGGGCGGAGACATGAGCATCTGGTAAGTATTCTTTAAACTTCTATTTTTAGTGCAACGCTTTTGCTTAAGCAGGGGGACCAGCACTATACCTTCTCCCATGTCTGGTGCTCCGTGTCCAACAGGATCCTCATCAGCTCAGGGATGGCCATGGCAGGATGGGTGTCGTTCAGCTGGATGGCCACCTACAATATAGGCAGGAGAGACGACATCAGCTCAAGAGATGCAATACAGTTAGGGAAGGAAACTGTTGCATATGGTCGCATAGTCTCACACTCCGCCATTGTGTCTTTGGCATAGTACCGTAGAGTGGTCAATGAACAAAGACATTTGGAGAATATATGGTGCTTTGATACATATCATCCAGTTACAACATAGTCTAGGACGCTAAGGATATCTATCGTATCTATCTTACCTTGTCAGGTAGGGTGGACAGGTCCACACGCACAACCTCAGTGGAGCCAAACTTTGAGGACTTGAAGCGACGGACGATGTCCTGCAGTGTGGCTGCCACCACAAAGTACTCCTGCTTCAGACGCAGCTCCTTGCCCTCGAAGAACTAGGGTCAAACACAGAACCACAGTCCATCACACTTGTTTATTATGAATTCCTCATAACAGTGAATTGATGGCTGGTTAAATAAAGGTTACATAAACACTGGGTTCTACTCACGTTGTCATTAGGGTAGAGAACACGGGAGATGTTCTCAGCCAAGTTCCTGTCCAGCACAGCCTGAATGTAGCCACCAACATTGACTGTAGAACGGTAGAAAAACCTCTGGTCACATCATACATTTAAAATGCCTTGCTCTGTACTGTTTTTCAGCTCCAATCCTGACAATCTGATTGGTGAATTAGATTACTGACAATAATATTACAAAGGTTGTAAAGATTTTAATTCATGCATAATTGAATCAGCAGGTTTAAGCAATAAACCAGACAGGCCCAAACAGTCCAGAAGTAACTCACAGTCTTTAAGGTTAAAATCACAGGGGGCCTTGGCGGACCACAGTCTCATGGTGTTCACAACGTTGTTCCTGTAACCAGGAACTGGGGTGTCATAAGGAAGGGCCAACACTACCTGTCAACATAGCAGGATCATGTATTGTTTAGTTATGTCGGCAATGATTATTATTTCTATGTTGTATCCTCTTTATGTAGTCTCTCACCTGTGTGTCAACCCATTTCACCCCTTCAGGGGTGTGCTCCACTCTGCCGTAGAAGTGGACAGGTCGCATGTACTCAGGGCGGGCCTTCTCCCAGGGGTTGCCGTAGCGCAGCCAATCATCAGCCTCCTCTACCTGTGAAGATATGTCAATCACTACAATGAACTATGTGTTGATTATTATGACTATACAGCATCATGAATCTACTATGAGTAGATTACAAAAATTTGAAAATGTAAGAAATTATTAATCATATAATTAGACCATCTAAAGCACATGACTCCAACAAGCACCGAAAAGTACCATATACACTCATAGACATGTACATAAATATAGTCAAATTTGCCAGTCAGTCAAACTACCTGCCAGCCATTGACAATTTTCTGGTTGAAAATGCCAAACTCATAGCGGATGCCATAGCCATAAGCTGCCAGTCCCAGAGACGCCATGGAATCTAGGAAGCAGGCTGAGAGCACAGGTGGGGAGGGGAGGGAGAGATGAGATGAGGTGAGGGTTGTCCAGACCACTGACTGAGCATCACTGTCATTGGCTACACTATTTGTGCGGGGAAGAAGCAGTGAGGTAGACTAATCGAGAGCCGAAGAGGAGGAGGAACTCACCGGCGAGACGTCCAAGGCCACCATTTCCCAGGCCGGCGTCCTCCTCAATGTCCTGCAGCTCCTCCATGTCCAGACCCAACTGATGAAGACGAAGATACATTGTTAAGATTTATAGTACTTTATTAGCCATTATACATTATAGGATGGAGGGAGGATAGAGCTACATTAGTGTAATAAGTCAAGCTTTTGCATCTGAATACAAGAGGATGGGGCAGTGTTCAATCTCAGAGTAGGGCCATGTACCTGAAATTCTTACATAAGAAAGTATTATTGAATCTTGCATAAAGTGTGAAAAAAAGCACTCATTGTCAGTGTCATTAACGTTCAATGTGCCAGTTCTATACCCTCTAGAGTGTATGTCACAGACAATGTACTAGGTTGAGGTAAATATGATGGAACACTGTCATGGGCCAGAAGGGTCCTATGGCCTAAGGCCTATCCGTCAGTCACCTGATAGGTGGCCTCATCACAGGCATTCTCTAGTGCCAGGTTCACCATGGTATTCTGCAGGGTGCGCCCCATGTAGAACTCCAGGGACAGGTAGTACACACGCTAGAGAGGAACAACAGAGGAAGGTACATCAAGGAAAGTTACTGCAATACAGTACAGTACAGAATATCATCTACATTCAACACACCTTCAGCCATCCAACAGTAGTGGGCCCCCATGTGGTTGCCCTGAGAAATGCAAAATGATCTCTGCCTCATTCTACTAGTGGCAGCAGCCAAGTAGCCAAGAGGAGAGAGCAGGTGCTGGCAAAAACAGCAGTGCTATTCTTGGCGACCAGTCAAGCAACAGCTCTTTCTGAGAGAGCATTGGAATGAGTTCAACTAACTCACAAGCCTCTATTAATACCGCCAGTGTACACCAAAAACTGTTTCAAAAGAAAAAAGTTATTTATAACACAATAACCTATGTAAAGAGTGCTGCAAACAGTGCCAGTTTGTTTACTTACAGTTGAAGTCGGAAGTTTACATACACTTAGTTTGGAGTCATTAAAACTAGTTTTTCAACCACTCCACAAAGGTCTTGTTAACAAACTATAGTTTTGGCAAGTCGGTTAGGACATCTACTTTGTGCATGACACAAGTAATTTTTCCAACAATTGTTTACAGACAGATTATTTAACTTATAATTCACTGTATCACAATTCCAGTGGGTCAGAAGTTTACATACACTAAATTGACTGTGCCTTTAAACAGCTTGGAAAATTCCAGAAAATGATGTCATGGCTTTAGAAGCTTCTGATAGGCTAATTGACATAATTTGAGTCAATTGGAGGTGTACCTGTGGATGTATTTCAAGGCCTACCTTCAAACTCAGTGCCTCTTTGCTTGACATCATGGGAAAATCAAAAGAAATCAGCCAAGACCTCAGAAAAAAATTTGTAGACCTACACAAGTCTGGTTCATCCTTGGGAGCAATTTCCAAACGCCTGAAGGTACCACGTTCATCTGTACAAACAATAGTACGCAAGTATAAACACCATGGGACCACGCAGCCGTCATACCGCTCAGGAAGGAGACGCGTTCTGTCTCCTAGAGATGAACGTACTTTGGTGTGAAAAGTGCAAATCAATCCCAGAATAACAGCAAAGGACCTTGTGAAGATGCTGGAGGAAACCGGTACAAAATTATCTATATCCACAGTAAAACTAGTCCTATATCGACATAACCTGAAAGGCCGCTCAGCAAGGAAGAAGCCACTGCTCCAAAACCGCCATAAAAAAGCCAGACTACAGTTTGCAACTGCACATGGGGACAAAGATCGTACTTTTTGGAGAAATGTCCTCTGGTCTGATGAAACAAAAATAGAACTGTTTGGCCATAATGACCATCGTTATGTTTGGAGAAAAAAGGGTGCAGCTTGCAAATCTTTTCAGCCTCCTGAGGGGGAAGAGGCGTTGTCGTTCCCTCTTCAAGACTGTGTTGGTGGTTTGGACCATGATAGGTCCTTAGTGATGTGCACACCGAGGAACTTGAAGTGCTTGACCCGCTCCACTACAGCCATATCGATGTGAATGTGGGCTTGCTCGGCCCTCCTTTTCCTGTAGTCCACGAATAGCTCCTTTTTCTTGGTGACGTTGAGGGAGATCTTGTTGTCCTGGCACCACACTGCCAGGTCTCTGACCTCCCTGTAGGATGTGTCATCATCTTCGGTGATCAGTCCTATCACTGTCTTGTCTTAATGATGGTGTTGGAGTCGTGCGCAACCACGCAGTCATAGGTGAACAGGGAGTACAGGAGGGGACTAAGCACGCACCCCTGAGGGGCCCCCGTGTTGAGGGTCAGTGTGGCGGAAGTGTTGTTCAAATCAAATCAAATCAAAATGTATTGGCCACATGCGATAAATCTACAATAATCGAGAATTTCAACAAGCATTTTGCTACAGCTGGCCATGCTTTCCATCTGGCTACCACTAACCCGGCCACCAACTCTGCACCCTCTGCTGCAACTTGCCCATGCCCCCCCCGCTTCTCCTTCACACAAATTCAGACAGCTGATGTTTTGAAAGCGCTGCAAAATCTGGACCCCTACAAATCAGCTGGGCTAGACAATCTGGACCCTTTCTTTCTAAAACTAGCCGCCGAAATTGTCGCTACCCCTATTACTAGTCTGTTCAACCTCTCTTTCATAACGTCTGAGATCCCCAGAGATTGGAAAGCTGCCGCGGTCATCCCCCTCTTCAAAGGGGGTGACACTCTAGATCCAAATTGCTACAGACCTATATCCATCCTGCCCTGCCTTTCGAAAGTATTCGAAAGCCAAGTTAACAAACAGATAATTGACCATTTCGAATACCACCGTACCTTCTCCGCTATGCAATCCGGTTTCCGAGCTGGTCACGGGTGCACTTCAGCCACGCTCAAGGTCCTAAACGATATTATAACCGCGATTGATAATAGACAGTACTGTGCAGCCGTCTTCATCGACCTGGCCAAGGCTTTCGACTCTGTCAACCACCGCATTCTTATTGGCAGACTAAATAGCCTTGGTTTCTCAAATGACTGCCTCGCCTGGTTCACCAACTACTTCTCAGATAGAGTTCAATGTGTCAAATCGGAGGGCCTGTTGTCTGGACCTATGGCAGTCTCTATGGGGGTGCCACAGGGTTCAATTCTTGGGCCGACACTTTTCTCCGTGTATATCAATGATGTCGCTCTTGCTGCTGGTGACTCTCAGATCCACCTCTACACAGACGACACCATTTTGTATACATCTGGCCCTTCATTGGACACTGTGTTAACAAACCTCCAAACGAGCTTCAATGCCATACAACAATCCTTCAGTAGCCTCCAACTGCTCTTAAACACTAGTAAAACTAAATGCATGCTTTTCAATCGAACGCTGCTGGCACCCGCCCACCCGACTAGAATCACCACTCTCGACGGGTCTGACCTAGAGTATGTGGACAACTACAAATACCTAGGTGTCTGGTTAGACTGTAAACTCAACTTCCAGACTCACATAAAGAATCTCCAATCCAAAGTTAAATCTAGAATCGGCTTCCTATTTCGCAACAAAGCCTCCTTCACTCATGCTGCCAAACATGCCCTCGTAAAACTGACTATCCTACCGATCCTTGACTTCGGCGATGTCATTTACAAAATAGCCTCCAACACTCTACTCAGCAAATTGGATGTAGTCTATCACAGTGCCATCCGTTTTGTCTCCAAAGCCCCATACACTACCCACCACTGTGACCTGTACGCTCTTGTTGGCTGGTCCTCACTACATGTTCGTCGTCAAACCCACTGGATCCAGGCCATCTATAAATCACTGCTAGGCAAATCCCCGCCTTATCTTAGCTCATTGGTCACCATAGCAGCACCCACCCGTAGTCTGCGCTCCAGCAGGTATATCTCACTGGTCATTCCCAAAGCCAACACCTCCTTTGGCCGCCATTCCTTCCAGTTCTCTGCTGCCAATGACTGGAACGAATTGCAAAAATCTCTGAAGCTGGAGACTCTTATCTCCCTCAATAACTTTAAGCATCAGTTGTCAGAGCACCTTACCGATCACTGCACCTGTACACAGCCCATCTGAAATTAGCCCACCCAACTACCTCATCCCTATATTGTTATTTATTTTGCTCATTTGCACCCCAGTATCTCTATTTGCACATAATCTCTTGCACATCTAGCATTCCAGTGTTAATACTATTGTAATTATTCTGCACTATAGCCTATTTATTGCCTTACCTCCATAACTTGCTTCATTTGCACACACTGTATATATATTTTCTGTTGTATTTCTGACTTTATGTTTTTTACCCCATATGTAACTCTGTGTTGTTGTTTTATTGCACTACTATGCTTTATCTTGGCCAGGTCGCAGTTGTAAATGAGAACCTGTTCTCAACTGGCTTACCTGGTTAAATAAAGGTGAAATAAAAAAAAATGCGCCGAATACAACAGGTGCAGACATTACAGTGAAATGCTTACTTACAGCCCTTAACCAACAGTGCATTTATTTTTAACAAAAAAGTAAAAATAAAACAACAACCAAAAAAGTGTTAAGAAAAAAAGAGCAGAAGTAAAATAAAATAACTGTAGGGAGGCTATATATACAGGGGGGTACCGGTGCAGAGTCAATGTGCGAGGGCACCGGCTAGTTGAGGTAGTTGAAGTAATATGTACATGTGGGTAGAGTTAAAGTGACTATGCATAAATAATTAACAGAGTAGCAGCAGCGTAAAAGGATGGGGTGGGGGGGCAGTGCAAATAGTCCGGGTAGCCATGATTAGCTGTTCAGGAGTCTTATGGCTTGGGGGTAGAAGCTGTTGAGAAGTCTTTTGGACCTAGACTTGGCACTCCGGTACCGCTTGCCGTGCGGTAGCAGAGAGAACAGTCTATGACTAGGGTGGCTGGAGTCTTTGACAATTTTGAGGGCCTTCCTCTGACACCGCCTGGTATAGAGGTCCTGGATGGCAGGAAGCTTGGCCCCAGTGATGTACTGGGCCGTACACACTACCCTCTGTAGTGCCTTGCGGTCGGAGGCCAAGCAGTTGCCATACCAGGCGGTGATGCAACCAGTCAGGATGCTCTCGATGGTGCAGCTGTAGAATTTTTTGAGGATCTGAGGACCCATGCCAAATATTTTCAGTCTCCTGAGGGGGAATAGGCTTTGTCGTGCCCTCTTCACGACTGTCTTTGTGTGTTTGGACCATGATAGTTCGTTGGTGATGTGGACAACCTGTTCCACTACAGCCCCGTCGATGAGAATGGGGGCGTGCTCAGTCCTCTTTTTTTTCCTGTAGTCCACAATCATCTCCTTTGTCTTGGTCACGTTGAGGGAGAGGTTGTTATCCTGGCACCACACGGCCAGGTCTCTGACCTCCTCCCTATAGGCTGTCTCATCGTTGTCGGTGATCAGGCCTACCACTGTTGTGTCGTCGGCAAACTTAATGATGGTGTTGGAGTCGTGCCTGGCCATGCAGTCATGGGTGAACAGGGAGTACAGGAGGGGACTGAGCACGCACCCCTGAGGGGCCCCCGTGTTGAGGATCAGTGTGGCAGATGTGTTGTTACCTACCCTTACCACCTGGGGGCGGCCCGTCAGGAAGTCCAGGATCCAGTTGCAGAGGGAGGTGTTTAGTCCCAGGATCCTTAGCTTAGTGATGAGCTTTGAGGGCACTATGGTGTTGAATGCTGAATTGTAGTCAATTAACAGCATTCTCACGTAGGTGTTCCTTTTGTCCAGGTGAGAAAGGGCAGTGTGGAGTGCAATAGAGATTGCATCATCTGTGGATCTGTTGGGGCGGTATGCAAATTGGAGTGGGTCCAGGGTGTCTGGGATGATGGTGTTGATGTGAGCCATGACCAGCCTTTCAAAGCATTTCATGGCTACAGATGTGAGTGCTAAAGGGCGATAGTCATTTAGACAGGTTACCTTGGTGTTCTTGGGCGCAGGGACTATGGTGGTCTGCTTGAAACATGTAGGTATTACAGACTGGGTCAGGGAGAGCTTGAAAATGTCAGTGAAGACACTTACCAGCTGGTCACCACATGCTCTGAGTACGCGTCCTGGTAATCCGTCTGGCCCTGCGGCCTTGTGAATGTTAACCTGTTTAAAGGTCTAACTCACATAAACTACGGAGAGCTTGAGCACACAGTCGTCCGGAACAGCTGGTGCTCTCATGCATGGTGGTGCAGTGTTGCTTGCCTCGAAGCAAGCATAAAAGGCATTGACGCTTTGCCTGTTTGATGGTTCGTCGGAGGGCATATCGGGATTTCTTATAAGCGTCCAGATTAGTCTCCCGGTCTTTGAAATCGTCAGCTCTAGCCTTTAGCTCAGTGCGGATGTTGCCTGTAATCCATGGCTTCTGGTTGGGATATGAACCTATGGCCACTGTGGGGATGACGTCTTCGATGCACTTATTAATGAAGCCGGTGACTGATGTGGTAAATTCCTCAATGCCATCGGATGAATCCCGGTACATATTCCAGTCTGTGCTAGCAAAACAGTCCTGTAGTTTAGCATCTGCTTCATTGGACCACTTCCGTATTGAGCGCGTCACTGGTACTTCCTGTTTGAGATAGGGTCAGATTTGACAAATGGAGGGCAAGGGAGAGCTTTGTAAGCATCTCTGTGTGTGGTGTAAAGGTGATCTAAAGTATTTTTTTGCCTCTAGTTGCAAATGACTCTTCTGCTTCAGTATTTCTAAGGTCACTCCTTAAGTGATAATGCCCGAGAAGCCAGTGTTTGGAGGATATATTGGCATGGGTGTTGTTAGGCCCGAGACGAAGTCGTGCCAACATGTCCTCCAAACACAGGTTTCGAGGGCATTATCACTTTTATACAACAGGTTACCAACATATTTAAATAATGATCTACATATTTTCATTAAAAACATTATTTTGATGAATTTATTCATACTATTTTATCCTTCCACAAGATATAGTCCCGACACAAATCTAGGGTTGCTACCCAAGCCAGCTGGTCGTTCGTTCTATCGGTTCGGTTGCCCAGTCGTTCAGTCTTTTTGTTCTGTATCTATGGACGCGACCCAGTCGTTCATTCTAAATGTTCCATTGCCATACTGGCTGGCAACGTTCTTATCCCTTGCTTGCTAGCTAGCCAACTACGGTTAACTTACAGTCACGTCAAAGAGTGCAGCCAGAATAACAGAAAAGTAGCTGCATTTGCATTTGTTTAAGCTGTTTTCTAGTTACTGTTATTTGGATACATCCATAACAATGAGCTAATGAGGCGCAATTTTGCCTGGCATAAAAAATGTGCTCACTCGTCAGGACACTGTTGTTCAGAGGAGTTAGCCAACAACACAGCTAAAACAATCACTTCAAAAACTGAAGCTGGAAAGACTGCAAACTAGCTTTACTTTGTTTCGTTTTACCTTTTTTCAATAGACATTTTTTTGTATATATCCATAAAAATGATGCCAGCTGAGTCATGATTTCGACTGGCTGAGAAACGCTGCCTGCCTGCCTGCCTGTCTGTCTCGTCCCGAATCCCGACACGTTCATTACTATGGGACAGCTGGAGATCGAATTTGAATATTGAAACAATGTTGCAAATGTCGGAGAGACAGACAGCAAGGTTTATACAATTATCCACTGTTGAAAACTAAATATTAGTCTAAAAGAAATGTGAGATAATGTCTAGATGCTTTTTATAGTGGAGATCAAGTTTATAAATTGCCTGGCTGGGCTGATGATACAGTGGATTGCGCAGTCAGATGGAACAGAGTAAATAGGCATTTTAACGTAATAGATTTAGCCGGTGGTAACTTGTGGAATAGACACCGGCTGGAATGCGGTTTTAACCAATCAGCATTCAGGATTAGACTCACTCGTTGTATAAAGTGCTATAACATAATTGATCAGGATGGTGTGTTTGGTATCCTAAATGAAAAGCTAGGAGGGAACGACACCCGAGACTTCGATTGACCTGTGACATTTCAAATGTGGTTTTTCAACAATAGGGGGCCATGCAAACGAGGGCATGTAAAGCAGAGCTCCCTACTGTCCCATTGTGTGACTATGATAAAGTGACAAAGGCATCTAGTCCCTTGTTAAAAATAGCAGCAATGGTGGTCCCTTCTAAAAGGTTAGAGCGACTAGGGTGTTGCCAATCATTGGTGGAGATGGGGTTACATAAACTCGCTAAATAACAGGATGGATACTATTACTAATAGCAGTGTTACTACTATTACTACAGCTATTAATGCATTCATGCATTAGTAAACTTGAAGACTTTGGGAAGAATGGATGATTATTATTATAAGAAACGGAACAAATACCAAAAATGTAATTGAAATCTTGATGACCAGGGGTTATCAACTAAGCATTAGTGTAAACAAATGATTATATATTTCTTAGGTGGCATGGGGGTATTGGCCAAATATGTTCTCAGGGTCTTTACTTGATCACCCTGTTGCAGGAGAACTGCTTATGTCGATTATGACTTTACGCCGATTAATCTAAACCGACTAAGGTGTTTATATGACTAGTAATGTCATAGTCAAACCTACTGCATGGCCGTGCACAGACCTTTCAGGGGGCAGGTGCTCAAAATGACTGATTGTGACTTATCTTCAATGCTCTTAAATTCTTAAATAATAACTTAATAATATAATATTCCTAATCTTCTAACTCATGATATATGACAGGCTGGCCTTGTGTGGATTTAGTATTTGGTTAGTATACCTGTGTTGCTGCTGCTTTGACACACGTCCAACTCCCGACTGAAGGGATGGAGTTGAGTCAGCGGGTCATTGATGCAGCCGATCCTCTCTCTTTCTGCATCTCTCTGCTGCGTGTATCAGCCAACCAGACCGAATATTGATGATGATGTAAATCAAGTGTTTTCAAGCGTTAATCAAATGTTTTGCTGCTGTTGCAGTACTGTTGATATTTAAACTAGGTAGCTAGCTACACATTCGACCCGTGACCGACAGAGCAGACTGGGAAACAGTTCTAGATTGACGTCTATCCATGTCCTAAGGACGTCGGGAAATGCCTTCAAAACTGGCCACTAGGGGCAATAGTGAGCGCTGTTACCATCAAGTAGGCTTGGGTTTCACTAGGGTTTTGCTAGGGTGTTGTGGACAGGGGTGGCCCCATGATATTGGATCAAAAGGTTGTGTGTTCGATCCTCGTCTTGGAAGCTGTTTTTTATTTTTTATTTTAAACCCTATCCCTAACCTTAACCCTTACCTTAACCATTCGGAATGAGTGCCTAAACTTACGAGCAGCAGGAGCAACAAAAACACTTCGAAATGTAAAGTTTGGAGGACGTGGATGAACGTCTAACCTTTGCGCGCAAGCTCTGTACAGGTCAGACCAACAGCCGCAACAAACGGACTGGGTGGGCATAGAGGGTGGCAAACTTGACGATGTCATGACGACTTGCGGGCAGTGGGTTCAGTACAATGAATAAAACTGTATACAAAAAGAAAATTATACCACCACCCAAAAGGGCACTTGGCGAGTGGGAGGGCAAATGAGCAAGTGGGAGGCACAGATAGACCCCTATCTGTGCACGTGCCTGGCCTACTGCCATAAGCAGTTTAATATTTAATTATTAGTGTGCATGTAAACATACTCATTGATCAGTTTTCTTGATGCTACATGTAGTTGTTCATTGACACATAATTTTTTGCACCTTTTGTGCACTTGTTTTTTTATGCGTATTAACATTTACATTTACATTTTCGTCATTTAGCAGACGCTCTTATCCAGAGCGACTTACAAATTGTCATCACAGTCATATTGGCACTGAAAGGTATAGATAGTTAGACATAGAGCTGGTGCTAAACTGTAACATCCTGCTAAGTGACCAATAAAGGAGCTGCTATAGAAGGAGAAGGGATGTTATTGGTGCCAGAAGCAGACTCAGTCAAGACAGCCAAGACAGATGGGGACATGCATGGCCGTTCAATAGTTACATTTGGTGCATTATCCCCCCCCCCCCCTTCCCATGTACTGCTGTTTGGAAGCAGGTTGAGACTAGGTGAGCCATGCATTGAGTCTGGATTTTGAAAACCTTAAGAAATGTTTTGTGAATCCAGACCCTGCAACTTTGGTATTAGGTAAGAGAATGCCACAAGGCCGGCTTGAGCAATGAACGGAAACGATGTGCAACAACTAGACAAACAGAGACACAGCCTGAGAGAAAGTCTGTTTGGGCCATCCAGACAGATCTGAGACCAGGCTACTAGAGACAGATCTGAGACCAGGCTACTAGAGACAGATCTGGGACCAGGCAACTAGAGACAGATCTGGGACCAGGCTACTAGAGACAGATCTGGGACCTGCTTTTGAGTTAATAATGCTTGCTTGTTTGCCTACTAACTTGACCTACTATATTGTTTGATGCTTGCCCCACATATAATGCTTCACTAATAGCCACTGCCAATTTAGCCTGTTCTAACTTTGGCCTACCACACCAAGTTATTGCATCCCACTTTTGAAATTCATATTGTTATCTTGTTGCTATATTTGCATACAGTGAGGGAAAAAAGTATTTGATCCCCTGCTGATTTTGTACGTTTACCCACTGACAAAGAAATGATCAGTCTATAATTTTAATGGTAGGTTTATTTGAACAGTGAGAGACAGAATAACAACAAACAAATCCAGAAAAACGCATGTCAAAAATGTTATAAATTGATTTGACCCCCTCTCAATCAGAAAGATTTCTGGCTCCCAGGTGTCTTTTATACAGATAATGAGCTGAAATTAGGAGCACACTCTTAAAGGGAGTGCCCCTAATCTCAGCTTGTTACCTGTATAAAAGACACCTGTCCACAGAAGCAATTAATCAATCAGATTCCAAACTCTCCACCATGGCCAAGCCCAAAGAGCTCTCCAAGGATGTCAGGGACAAGATTGTAGACCTACACAAGGCTGGAATGGGCTACAAGACCATCGCCAAGCAGCTTGGTGAGAAGGTGATAACAGTTGGTGCGATTATTCGGAAATGGAAGAAACACAAAATTACTGTCAATCTCCCTCGGCCTGGGGCTCCATGCAAGATCTCACCTCGTGGAGTTGCAATGATCATGAGAACGGTGAGGAATCAGCCCAGAACTACACGGGAGGATCTTGTCAATGATCTCAAGGCAGCTGGGACCATAGTCACCAAGAAAACAATTGGTAACACACTATGCCGTGAAGGACTAAAATCCTGCAGTGCCCACAAGGTCCCCCTGCTCAAGAAAGCACATATACAGGGCCGTCTGAAGTTTGCCAATGAACATCTGAATGATTCAGAGGAGAACTGGGTGAAAGTGTAGTGGTCAGACCAAAATCGAGCTCTTTGGCATCAACTCAACTCGCCGTGTTTGGAGGAGGAGGAATGCTGCCTATGACCCCAAGAACACCATCCCCACCGTCAAACATGGAGGTGGAAACATTATGCTTTGGGAGTGTTTTTCTGCTAAGGGGACAGGACAACTTCACCGCATCAAAGGGACGATGGACGGGGCCATGTACCGTCAAATCTTGGGTAAGAACCTCCTTCCCTCAGCCAGGGCATTGAAAATGGGTCGTGGATGGGTATTCCAGCATGGCAATGACCCAAAACACACGGCCAAGGCAACAAAGGAGTGGCTCAAGAAGAAGCACATTAAGGTCCTGGAGTTGCCAAACGTCAGCCTCGAAACCTTAATGACTTGGAGAAGATCTGCAAAGAGGAGTGGAACAAAATCCCTCCTGAGATGTGTGCAAACCTGGTGGCCAACTACAAGAAACGTCTGACCTCTGTGATTGCCAACAAGGGTTTTGCCACCAAGTACTAAGTCATGTTTTGCAGAGGGGTCAAATACTTATTTCCCTCATTAAAATGCAAATCAATTTATAACATTTTTGACATGCGTTCTTCTGGATCTTTTTGTTGTTATTCTGTCTCTCACTGTTCAAATAAACCTACCATTAAAATTATAGACTGATCATGCCTTTGTCAGTGGGCAAAACTTACAAAATCAGCAGGGGATCAAATACTTTTTTCCCTCACTGTAGCTTCTTTCATGTATATGCATTTAGCATATTTCTTTGTGGATTTTGATGTGGGCTTGGGGTTACGGTCTTGCTGGAAGATCCACATGCGGCCAACTTTCAGCCTCCTAGCAGAGGCAACCACATTTTTGGCTAAAATATCCTGGTACTGGGTAAAGTTATTGATGCCGTTGACCTTAACAAGGGCCCCAGGACCAGTGGAAGCAGAATAGCCCCATAATATCAAAGATCCACCACCATATTTTACAGCAGGTATGCATGAGCAAAAAAGAAACCCATACCTACCTACAAAGATGGTGGTGGATCTTTGATGTTATGGGGCTATTTTACTTCCACTGGTCCTATGAGCGTCTGCTAAATGACAAATGTAATGCACTAGTAATGTTTAGAAATCTTCAGAAGAAGTGAGCCTTCCTTCTGTTTAGGCAGCTGGTTGTTGTGTTTCAGATCTTGGAGGCGGGTGAGGTGGTGGAATGTGTGACAGTGGAGCCCTACATGCTGGGGGACTTTGTGAAGCTCACCAACAACACTACTAAAGTGGACAAGAGGTTCAAGGCCTCAGAATACGGCATAGATTTCAGATATCAGGAGGCTGAAACTTGGCCGCAAGTGGATCTTCCAGCAAGACAATAACCCCAAGCACACATCAAATTGGCTAATTAGTCTCTGGACTTGAAACCCATTGAAAACCTGTGGTTTGAATGGAAGAGAGCAGTCCATAAGCGCAGACAAACTATATTTACATTTTAGTTATTTAGCAGACGCGACTTACAGGAGCACTTAGGGTTAAGTGCCTTGCTCAAGGGCACATCGGCATATTTTTCACCTAGTCGGCTCAGGGATTAGAACCAGCGACCTTTCGGTTACTGGCACAACGCTCTTAACCACTAAGCTACCTGCCGCCATATCAAGGATCTGGAATGATTCTGTATGGAGGAATGGTCTAAGATCCCGCCCAATGTGTTCTCCAACTCATAAAATATTTTTGAAAAAGGCTCAGTGGCATTATCCTCGCAAGGTGAGGTATTGAAAGGTATTGAAAAGAGGGGTGTCAATCATTTTGACCCCTACCTTTTTGAGAAAAAAAGTATTACTTGTTAAACAAAATCGCTTTCTCTGAGCAATTGTATTAGTATAAAATAATATAATTTCCAAATGTTTTGGAACATACAATATAGCTCAGTATTTTAATTATATTTTACAGTAATTTTTGTAATCTTTATCAAGGTTCCTATCAAGGTTCCTAACTCAGTTGCCGGAGAGGAAGAAAACCACTCAGGGATTTCACCATGAGGCCAATGGTGACTTTAAAACAATGACAGAGTTTAATGGCTGTGATAGGAAAAACTGAGGATGGATCAACAACATAGTTACTCCATAATGGGATCCTTAATATTAAGAAAAATCCCTAACCTAAAAAGTATGTTTTTTCCCCCCACATAGTTAACATATAATAATATAAAATTATAAATTAACATCACAGTGCAGTTATCACAAAACATTATTTTCCATGTTATAGCCTAACTAGACTATATGGCTATAAAGGCCTGGAGAAAGTTGTGTAATTTAAATGAAAACCGGAGAGGAAGAGGCAAACTTTAGGCTACTTTGGTGAATTTGCAAGGCATCCAAGACAATTAAGACATTGCAAGATGCAGATTACCAAGACATATGCGCATGGTTCTGCCTGCCCTGCCTCTCTCTCCCTCGCGCTGGCCTGCCTGCTCTTTCTCTTCGCTAATGGCCTGAGTGTGTGTTCAGTCTTCAGTCTGTTGCATGTAGAATATCCTATTTTAGGCTATTCATTGGACCGATGTCGCCGTGCGAGCACGGGGTAGGCTACTCTTCGTTGCTGAGTGGGTGGGGGAGTTTTTGTCTCATAATATGACATTAGAGTTGGCTACCGCTATAGCCTGTATCAATTACCCTTTACAAATCGAATGGTATGTGCAGTGGCACTTTTAGCATGTAAATCTTTTTTATGCATGCCAGCAAAGCCACAACACAACACTAAACAATACCTTAATTGCACTATAACAGTGACAAACGGTGCCGACAAACTGTTGGGTCCTACATAAAGCTGTCCCAACAGCAGAGCTTTCTTTTTAGCACCATGGAGTGAATCCTTACCACCGATACACCTGGCTATCAAGGGAAGGACGAGCGGATAAGAGCCAATCCGATTAAGACATTAATGAGCGAGCTAGGACGGACGTAGTCAATATAACTATTTGTTCAGCACTTTTGAAATGTACAGCAAAATAATTCAGAACATTGGCCGTTCTTACAGTATTCTCCTTGTACACCAAGTCAGAACCTTAGGATAAATAAAGGGGGCATATAAGCAGACAATGAAAGCTTACAAAATTCTGTGATTACATTTCTCCAAAACAGGCTATCGCTACATGTGCATCACCAAGTCAGAACAGTAGGCTAAGTTTGTCACACCCTGATCTATTTCACCTGTCTTGTGCTTGTCTCCACCCCCCACCAGGTGTCTCCCATTTGTCCCCATTATTCCCTGTGTATTTATACCAGTGTTTTCTGTTTGTCTGTTGCCAGTTCGTCTTGTCTCGTCAAGCCTACCAGCGGTTTTTCCGTGCTTCTGTTTGTACAGTCCCTGTTTTCTAGTCCTCCCGGTTCCAAACCATTTCTGCCTGCCCTGAGCCCGCCTACCATACCATTCTGCCTGCCCTGACTTCGAGCCTGCCTGCCGTCCTGTACCTATCTGACTCTGACCTGGTTTATGAACTTCTGCCTGTCCTCGACCTGCCTCATCTGGAAGGTGACACGGTGGTCCTTCTCCTTGGCATATTTTGTCATTAAACTTTGTCATCAAAGTCTGGCATGCTCTGGATTTATGGTGCTTTCAAGACAACTGGGAACTCTAAAAAAAACAAGGTTGAATCATGACGTCAGTGATCTTCAGGTCGGAGCTCTAGAAAGAAGCCCGGGTTTCCGACTTGGAATTCCGAGTTGGATGACCGTTAAACTTATTTTCCCAGTCAGAGCTCGTTTTTTTCAGAATTCCCAGTTGTCTCACTGAAGTCTGAGATTTCCCAGTTCCGTGTTTCCAGTTGTTTTGACGTGGCAGAAGTCATGCTGGATTGACAGCATGGCCAATGTATTCAACCTTTTCTGGCCCATGGTGTGTTGCAAGTGAATGTTTATCCTTTTAAGCTTGGAAAAGAGACCCTTAAACCCAGACTTGGACCACACACCCTCTCCACTGAATAGCAGGCTAGTGATTGCTTTGCAAAGCTTGCAGTTAGCCACTGATTCCTTCCAAACCACTCATTGTTGAATTTGCCAATTCCAACTTGTTGAGTAATGTTTATGTCCAATGGCCGATAAGCACTGATACATTTTATCTATAATTTCTCTTCATATGACAAGGATTGAAAAGGATTTGCCAGTAGATTGCCACTTGATTAATGATGATGACTGCTTGTCTAGCTTGCTAGCTAAGATTTTGAAAGTATGATGTTGACATGATCAGTCCAATCAAAGCTACGGTAGATATAACGTGATTTGACATCATTTTATCTTTGGCCAATGACCTTGAGCCTTCTTGGATGGGCACTTCTAATGTAAATCTATGGCAGCACCCAAGGGGCTTGAATTTTCGAGCTCTCCCCGTAGATTTTGCGGTGATGTAGTGTCCCCATGAGTGACAGAACTGAGCCAATCACGGCGCAACTAAAGAACATTACCAACCCCTACGCTTTTCCGCTGGCTACCCCACCACCACAGAAAACACTGAGCTAGGCTGAAACACCTGCATTTTGGAGATGCCTTACTCAAGAAAGCAAAAAACAGACCAGGTTTGTATGCGGCATTATTAACTCAATGTTATTATTTTTTATTTTTTGCAAACTGATATGCAACACTTATTAATGCCAAAACAGCCCAAATGATATATTATAATAATATACACTACCAGTCAAAAGTTTGGACACGCCTACTCATTCAAGGGTTTTTCTTTATTTTTACATTGTAGAATAATAGTGAAGACATCAAAACTATGAAATAACACATATGGAATCATGTAGTAACCAAAAAAGTGTTAAACAAATCAAAATATATTTTATATTTGAGATTCTTCAAATAGCCACCCTTTGCCTTGATGACAGTTTTGCATTCAGGCCAAAGAGTTCAATCTTGGTTTCATCAGACCAGAGAATCTTGTTTCTCATGGTCTGAGAGTCTTTAGGTGCCTTTTGGAAAACTCTAAGCGGGCTGTCATGTGCCTTTTACTGAGGAGTGGCTTCCGTCTGGCCACTCTACCATAAAGGCCTGATTGGTGGTGTGCTGCAGAGATGGTTGTCCTTCTGGAAGGTTCTCCCATCTCCACAGAGGAACTCTAGAGCTCTGTCAGAGTGACCATCAGGTTCTTGGTCACCTCCCTGACCAAAGCCCTTCTCCCCCGATTGCTTGGTTTGGCCAGGCGGCCAGCTCTAGGAAGAGTCTTGGTGGTTCCAAACATCTTCCATTTAAGAATGATGGAGGCCACTGTGTTCTTGGGGACCTTCAATGCTGCAGACATTTTTTGGTACCCTTCCCCAGATCTGTGCCTCGAAACAATCCTGTCTCGGAGCTCTACGGACAATTCCTTCAACCTCATGGCTTGGTTTTTGCCCTGACATGCACTGTCAACTGTGGGACCTTATATAGACAGGTGTGTGCCTTTCCAAATCATGTCCAATCAATTGAATTTACCACAGGTGAACTCCAATCAAGTTGTAGAAACATCTCAAGGATGATCAATGGAAACAGGATGCACCTGGGTAAAATTTCAAGTATCATAGCAAAGGGTCTGAATACTTATGTAAATAAGGTATTTCTGTTTTTTATTTTTAAGAAATGTGCAACAACAAAAAAAAGACTTTTCACTTTGTCATTATGGGGTATTGTTTGTAGATTCCTGAAAGAAAACAAATATTTAATACATTTTAGAATAAGGCTGTAACGTAACAAAATGTGGAAAAAGTAAAGGGGTCTGAATACTTTCCGAAGGCACTGTATGCTTAAATCATCATAGTTATTTTTATGCGCTCTAGAGAACAACATATACTTTGTTTTACCTGCATTCAATACTAATTTCAGGTCAATAAAGTTTTGCTGTAATACAATGACGACAGACTGTAGTTCAGATAGAGCCTGGTCAACCGTGGGGGCAATAACATACACAACAGTATTATCGGCATACAAGTGCAGGTTACATTTTTTTTTTTACAGACAAGTCGATATTGTTAATGTGAACAGTAAAAAGTACAGGACCCAGAATCGACACCTTTCGTAATATCCATGAAACCTGATGTAACACCATCAGTAGATACACATTGAGTTCTATCTATCAAGTAATTTTTTTAACCAGTTACATGTAGCCTGGTCTAGGCCAATTGAGGAATGCCTTTGAATTAGCAGTGAGTGATCAACAGTATCGAAAGCCTTTGTCAGGTCAATGAAGAAGACAGCACAATGTTGCCTTTTATCCATACAGTTAATCATTTATAACTAGGGATGCAGCAGAGATAGTGGTATGACCTGGTCTAAAACCTGACTGATGTACATTTAGAATACATTTCAAAGATAAGAAAGATCTTCGCTGAGAATTAATCAAGGATTGTAATATTTTAGCTAGGCAAGAAAGTTTAGAAATTGGGCGATAATTATTTAGGGTCACCACCTTTGTGAAGGGGGAGTACATGGGCCGCCCACCAAACCTTGGGGATGGTACCAGATATAATCGGCAGGTAAAAAATATGGGTTAATGATTCAGCAATAAAGGGGGCAGAGATCTACAGCAAAAATGGATCAAGCATATCAGCCCCAGTGGATTTCGTTTTTACATCAATCTTAAGCAATGCATCTAGCATATCACAGATGAACAGTAACTAATGAACAGTATGTGATGAATTTGTTTATAATTCTTGCTCAATATTACATCCATAAAATGACATTCTTTAAGTAAGAAAACATAATATTCAACATTTTTAAAGGTTGAATTAAATAATTACTTTGCAACATTGAATAATATGCTCTGAAAGAATAAGAAAGTAATGAAATCTATTGCTACTCTTACAATTCTAATAGTTCGCCTAATTTCAGTTTATGTGACAAAACAAGCAAGTATTGTGTAGAGAATCATTGTACCTTCTAAACCGCTGTGAAATATATTTTATATATCAAAAGTATTGTATTTTCAGCTGTTTGAAGCTGGTGTACAAACCGGAAAGTAAAATACACAAATACGTAAAGAACAGGAAGCATAGAAGCGCACGTAGAACAGATATACCGCTTCTTAGACTTGCTTTCAATGAGAATGACAGATCTAGAACTCACATTTTTATGTGAATTTGGTCGGTCGCCCAAAAAGTTGCATATTGCAGATTTAAGCTTTTTAAATGTATTTGAATGTAAAACCCTGTATGTATTTTTGTTATGTGTTTGTGATGTTTTGTGTTACAAAAATCTATACATCCTTAAAAATGTAACACATTTAAATTTGCATTCTTCAAAATGTATGGAATTTCTATTAAGAAAAAACTTTTAAATAAATGGAGTATGCGAACGTGAGTAGATTATGTTGAGAAAGACGGGCGTCCATCTTGGATGCTGTCTCCAGTTGATTTAATAACTCAGTGATTAAGAATGAGATATACAGAAATGTACTGAATGGTTTCTCATCCAGTCATGCAACATCATGATGTAGCCTAACTCGCAATGGGCTTTGATGGAGCGCTCAATGTGGAATTTGGCAACCATGACCATTTTCACTGCATAATCACATTGAGGATTAAATAGTCTACTTTCCCCTCAATTAATTTATATTATGAGCATAACATTTCTGTAACTTTAGCGTCTGAAGCGCATCCCTAGGCTAGAGTCTAGACTAAAGCATAATTTCACATAATGCGCTGTGATATTTCCCTGGGAAAGCCACCCCCCTTTCCCCGGAGTCTGACAGAGGCGCAGGCCTACGTGCCGAAGCTTGCAATACGAGCCGAAGATTGCGAGGGGACCGGAACACTGTGTCACTGCGGCAACCCGGCTGCTTACCTTGGGGTCTTTCTCATAGTAGTGCTGCTGCGTCCTGATCCATCGGCCAACCAGATGGTCGCGCACGGTGTTGGCCAAGGCGAAATAGTAGTCTCTTTTGGTCGCAACATTTCGGTCCTTTACGAGCGTAAAGTGGAGATGGCGATTAAAATTAGTCTTGAGGTCTGAAACATTTTCCACTCCTGCAAGCCCTCGCACCGATATCTGCTTTCTCTTCTCCTGGTCTGTCAGTGGCTTAGGCATCTTGGTAAATGCGTATTTTCTATGTACGACGGTAGATCCGAATGGCAAATATCAACCTAGGCTGATAAGAGAAGGCAAGTAACTAACTGTGTTACGCCTGTGCGTGTCACATTGTGCCCTGCCTGTGCGTGTCACATTGTGCCCTGCCTCCCTCTAGCCAGTGGGGTTTACACTAGATAGCACAGCCACAAAGTCTATATCGTAAAGATTCAATAAAACAAAAAATTGCTTTTTGGTCTCATTTTAAGGTTAGGCATAATACTTGTAGACTTTTACTCAAGTAGGATTTTACTGGATGACTTTCACTTTTACTTGAGTCATTTTCTATGAAGGTATCTTTACTTTTACTCAAGTATGACAATTAGGTACTTTTTCCACCACTGATTAGAACCCAAAATATAATATTATTTTACTCTAATGTTTGTAAACAATGTAAATGTAAACAAACACTCTATAGCCTCAAAACATAGCTAGAGTCCTTAATTGAAACAATAACAAAGTCACCTACCCTCTGTTTTGGTAAAAAGCTGAGGGATGGGCCTGGAGAAATGTAACTACTCTCAAATTCATAGACAGTGCTATGGATGCAAGGACTGACCATCCATGATATCAAAATTATAGTTTTATGTTTTGAGGCTATACAGTGTTTGTTTACATTTACATCGTTTACAAATATGGGAGTAAAAGAAGCTAATATTTTGAGCTCTGATGCAGTATGACAGTTGAACTAAACTCATGAATTTATAAGTTATATTCTTCAAGAATCAATATAAATCAATACGTCCAAAAATGTATGTAGCAACTGCAGATTCCCTGTTTAAACTGTCTGTGAGCCTAGAATCCCGTTCATCATCCATATTTGACATTTCCCACACAATCCTTGCTCACTTTTGCTTCTTTAGTTCAGCTGGCACTAGCACCAGCATTACTTTTTTTAAACATTAACATCTGTTAATTTGGTAGCCCACATTTTGCTGCACCGCTTTGAGAGCTTTTATTTTGTTCTCTGCACCACCTTTTAATTTCCTACCGGTCATTTTGGCAACTTCAGTAGGAACGGACTGGTTAACTGGCAGTTTGACTTTGAACTTAACTTAATACAAAAGTATGTGGACAACCCTTCAAATTAGTGGATTTGGCTATTTCAGCCACACCCGTTGCTGACAGGTGTATAAAATCGAGCACACAGCCATGCAATCTCCATAGACAAACATTGGCTCTAGAATGGCCTTACTGAAGAGCTCAGTGACTTTCAACATGGCACCTTCATAGGCTGACACCTTTCCAACAAGTCAGTTCGTCACATTTTTGCCCTGCTAGAGCTGCCCCGGTCAACTGTAAGTGCTGTTATTGTGAAGTGGAAACTTCTGGGAGCAACAACGGCTCAGCTGCGAAGTGGTAGGCCACACAAGCTCATAGAACGGGACTGCCGAGTGCTGAAGCGCGTAGTGTGTAAACATCGTCTGTCCTCGGTTGTAACACTCATTACTGAGTTCCAAAATACCTCTGGAAGAAAGGTCAGCACAAGAACTGTTCGTTGGGAGCTTCATGAAATGGGTTTCCATGGCCGAGCAGCCGCACACAAGCCTAAGATTACCATGCGCAATCCCAAGCATCGGCTGGGGTGGTGTAAAGCTCACCGCCATTCAACTCTGGAGCAGTGGAAACGTGTTCTCTGGAGTGATGAATCACGCTTCACCATCTGGCAGTCCGACGGACAAATCTGGGTTTGGTGGATGCCAGGAGAACGCTACCTGCCCCAATGCATAGTGTGTGCCAACTGTAAAGTTTAGTGGAGGAGGAATAATGGTCTGGGGCTGTGTTTCGGGCTAGGCCCCTTAGTTCCAGTGAAGGGAAATCTTAACGCTACAGCGTACAATGACATTCTAGACGATTCTGTGCTTCCAACTTTGTGGCATCAGTTTGGGGAAGGCCCTTTCCTGTTTCAGCATGACAATGCCCCCATGCACAAAGCGAGGTCCATACATAAATGGTTTGTCAAGATTCATGTGGAAGAACTTGACTGCCCTGCACAGAGCCCTGACCTCAACCCCATCGAATACTTTTGGGATGAATTGGAATGCCGACTGCGTGCCAGGCTTACCACCCAATATCAGTGCCCGACCTCACTAATGCTCTTGTGGCTGAATGGAAGCAAGTCCCTGCAGCAATGTTCCAACATCTAGTTGAAAGCCTTCTCAGAAGAATGGAGGCTGTTATATCAGCAAAGGGGGCACCAGCTCCATATTAATGCCCATGATTTTGGAATGAGATGTTCGACGAGCAGGTGCCCACATACAGTACTTTTGGTCATGTAGTCTATATTAACAGGCCCATGGGCCGCCGGCTGCGTCATGCTCTTTTTTTCCCCAAAATAAATTATTTTCATTTGATCAATTTCGGCCAGCCCACCCTCCTAAAACATGGTCTAGCCCATCTGGCATCTGACAGATTTCTGTGTACAAGACCAATACACTTTTATTTGATTTAACAGATGGCCAATCCGCCACTGCCATTGTCTCTTCAAAGTATGGACAAGGACACCGGAGTTGGTATGCCAGTCCTGCACAGCTGCACTTCTATAAATGCACCCATAATTTATTTTGAGTACAAGGCGGGTCTTACAGAAGCTCCAGGCCAATTGAGAGTTGACCCTCTTAATGACAATATGCAGAGCTATTCATAATGAATGAGAACCCCCCCACAAAACTCCCTCGAAAAGCTGAAAAGGGATGATGGGATTGAGGGGTTGTGCATGAGGGGTGTGAGCCATGTAGCCTATCAGCTGTCGAGACTGCGTGATGTATAGCCTATTATTTGGGAGTAAGATTCTGTCTGCCTGAATACCATACCAGACAATGAAATATTCTCTGAGCATCTATCAAATTTCTATTCAGCCTCTCAGGGGCGAACTGGGACCAGAAATCGGCCCTGGCATTTGCCAGATGGGCTGGTCCATTTTCCACCTAGTTGGCCTGTTAACTTGTTTTTTGGCGCAAAATGATCATGATCTGGCTAATAATGTACTAAAATGGGAATACAATTGACATTTTCAAATGGTACCACAAAGACGGTTGGAGGTCCACACATCAGATGTTGACTTGAATGGGAATCTGTTGTTTTAAATTATACTGTCAATCCTCCATAAAAATATAGATAATAGGGCGGCAGGTAGCCTAGAGGTTGAGAGCATTCCCGAAAGGTCGCTGGATCTAATCCCTGATCCGACTAGGTGAAAAACCTGCCGATGTGCCCTTGAGCAAGGCACTTAACCCTAATTGCTCCCGTAAATCGCTCTGGATAAAAGTGTCTGTTAAATGACAAAAATGTAATAGAAAGACATTTGACGGTGGGTGGACCGGCTGTCATCTTTGTTGTAGCAATTAGAAGTTAACATTTCAATTCAATTAAAATGTCAGTGGTGTACGAGCTAAATTGCAGTGGTCTGAAGGGATAGGTCCATTCTGTGAGTTCTATTCCTATGATTGAAATGAAATGAAACCCACCCTGTTGTATTCAAGAGCATGTCTCAACCGATGGCCAGCACAACACAAAAACCTCAGATGACGTGAAATAGGGTCTAAGCTACAACATACAGTGAGGGAAAAAAGTATTTGATCCCCTGCTGATTTTGTACGTTTGCCCACTGACAAAGAAATGATCAGTCTATAATTTTAATGGTAGGTTTATTTGAACAGTGAGAGACAGAATAACAACAACAAAATCCAGAAAAACACATGTCAAAAATGTTATAAATTGATTTGCATTTTAATGAGGGAAATAAGTATTTGACCCCCTCTCAATCAGAGAGATTTCTGGCTCCCAGGTGTCTTTTATACAAGTAACGAGCTGAGATTAGGAGCACACTCTTAAAGGGAGTGCTCCTAATGTCAGCTTGTTATCTGTATAAAAGACACCTGTCCACAGAAGCAATCAATCAGATTCCAAACTCTCCACCATGGCCAAGACCAAAGAGCTCTCCAAGGATGTCAGGGACAAGATTGTAGACCTACACAAGGCTGGAATGGGCTACAAGACCATCGCCAAGCAGCTTGGTGAGAAGGTGACAAAAGGAAGAAACACAAAAGAACTGTCAATCTCCCTCGGCCTGGGGCTCCATGCAAGATCTCACCTCGTGGAATTGCAATGATCATAAGAACGGTGAGGAATCAGCCCAGAACTACACGAGATGATCTTGTCAATGATCTCAAGGCAGCTGGGACCATAGTCACCAAGAAAACAATTGGTAACACACTACGCCGTGAAGACTGAAATCCTGCAGCGCCCGCAAGGTCCCGTCTGATGTTTGCCAATGAACATCTGAATGATTCAGAGGAGAACTGGTGTGAAAGTGTTGTGGTCAGATGAGACCAAAATGGAGCTCTTTGGCATCAACTCAACTCGCCGTGTTTGGAGGAGGAGGAATGCTGCCTATGACCCCAAGAACACCATCCCCACCGTCAAACATGGAGGTGGAAACATTATACTTTGGGGGTGATTTTCTGCTAAGGGGACAGGACAACTTCACCGCATCAAAGGGATGATGGACGGGGCCATGTACCGACCATATGACATTCTCCCAATCCTCTTCTGGATCATCCAAATGCACTCTAACAAACTTCAGACGGGCCTGGACATGTACTGGCTTAAGCAGGGGGACACGTCTGGCACTGCAGGATTTGAGTCCCTGGCGGCACAGTGTGTTACTGATGGTAGGCTTTCTTACTTTGGTCCCAGCTCTCTGCAGGTCATTCACTAGGTCCCCCCGTGTGGTTCTGGGATTTTTGCTCACCGTTCTTGTGATCATTTTGACCCCACTGGGTGAGATCTTGCGTGGAGCCCCAGATCGAGGGAGATTATCAGTGGTCTTCCATTTCCTAATAATTGCTCCCACAGTTGATTTCTTCAAACCAAGCTGCTTACCTATTGCAGATTCAGTCTTCCCAGCCTGGTGCAGGTCTACAATTTTGTTTCTGGTGTCCTTTGACAGCTCTTTGGTCTTGGCCATAGTGGAGTTTGGAGTGTGACTGTTTGAGGTTGTGGACTGGTGTCTTTTATACTGATAAGTTCAAACAGGCGCCATTAATACAGGTAACGAGTGGAGGACAGAGGAGCCTCTTAAAGAAGAAGTTACAGGTCTGTGAGAGCCAGAAATCTTGCTTGTTTGTAGGTGACCAAATACTTATTTTCCACCATAATTTGCAAATAAATTCATTAAAAATCCTACAATGTGAATTTCTGGATTTATTTTCTCAATTTGTCTGTCATAGTTGACGTGTACCTATGATGGAAATTACAGGCCTCTCTCATCTTTTTAAGTGGGAGAACTTGCACAATTGGTGGCTGACTAAATACTTTTTTTCCCCACTGTATATCAAACTCAAAGATTTATATTTTCCAGTGATATAGACATGTCCCATGGTATTGTGGGGTACACAAATTGGGTAAACTTTGAGCACCTTAATCTCCTGAATGTTTTGGCATTCAGGTCCAAAAAGTCACTTTCTGACCACTTCTTCCATGGGCAAACATGTATGGAAAGTTTTGTTTGTTTAAATCAAAAGGGATGCTGTCAAAAAGTGAATGATTTCAAATAACTTTACCCATATATCATATTGTAAAATGGTAAATTACCATTTGCTGGAATTTCACATTACACACTGACCAAATTGTCAGACTTGCGCTTACATGTCGACTGCACCTTAATCTACAAATACCTCCCACCCAAACCGTTCAATGGATTCTTCCAGGTTAATTCTGAAATCCATGCATACAACACAAGACACTCAAGATAACCTTCAACCTCCCCACCACACAGTCCATTCTCTTTCAGATAGGAATCCCAAAGTATGGAACCTCTATCTTCACATTGCCAAATCATCATCCCTCAATAACTTCAAGCATAGAATAGGGGTCAGTCAGCCTGATTAACTAAATGATCCAGTAGTCTCTCCTCCTACATGTAGCCTAACACACACAGGAAACATGTTTTTTTTTAAAACACTGAATCTATCATGTTCAATTGTAATTACTTTTTTTTGGTGTGGTTTTCATATAAACCCAACCTCCCCTGCACACCTTTATCATGTTTTTACCTGCAAGATTTATTTACACAAAAGATGTGTGAAAGACAAACTAAAGTAAAAAAGCAAAACTACTTGTTATCTTGGATGCAGGACTGCAGACATAGAAAACAGCCTCATGACTGGGATGTTATATAAATTGAGTGAGGCTGAGCAAGCATTCTGTCTAGACGGATTAAAACAATGGTCTGTGGAAGCTGTATTCAAGCGTCAGTGAGGAAAGACAGAATAAAAAATGGCTGCAAAATTAGTTAAAGATAATCAGTTTAATAACAATCAAGCAACATTGCAAGGACTATTCATTCAGGCTAGACCGAACACAAGGCTGACAAACCAATTCCAAAAATAGAGTAAAAATACAATTGTATAACGCCATCAAACATTCCTTCTCTTCTTTTTTTCTCATTAAGCAACTAAAGGGAACAGAAAGCAATGTTGCTGAAGTGATATAAGCACTGCATACAGCTACATATCAAAGCAAGGAGGGGAGAGGTTTTTAACAGAACAATCGAGCATACGATCAGACTCCCTTAGAATTGAAGAAGTTCAGAGCATCTTTCAAGCCAACTCGCTGTTGGATACAAAGTCCTTTTCCCTGCTGCATCCTCATGGACCTAAATGAATTTGCATCTTGGGAAAAAGTTAACTAGAAACAGTTTACAGGGTTAAAAAAATAATAGGGGATTAGAAATTATGCAAACAAGTTGATAGAACCCAAAACCTATGAAATCAGACAGTATTACAAAATACCCGTTTTTCTGACAAAATTAGGAAGGAGATTCTCACATCCAAAAGATCTGAGCAATTACACTTCACATCAGGTTTAATTACAAAAATATTCAGCTCCGTGAAACCACAGCAAATGAATGGAACATGACGAATGAAGCTCGAGTCCATTGGACTGCCATGCCTACAAAATTGGCTGGATAATCTGAACAGTAAAAGATCACGCAAATGAAAACAAATCATTACTAAACTTCAGCTCGAGTCCAGTTGGCAAACCAAAGCTTTTGTTTGAGGTGATTTATTTGGTGTGAGAGATGGTGAGATTGTTATAAACCAACCATGGAGGGAGTAAGCCCTGCAAAATAGTGATCAAAAACACTAACTTTTAAAAACAGAAACATTCAGTAAAGCAAATGTACAAATTCAACCACACCACCTCCCTTGTTCGAGGAGTTTCTCTGCACGTCAACCAGGACTGTGATTAAGAGACTATAGCACTGGTCATGTCATTTTACTGAACAAAAACGATATGCCCTGGGCAGAGCTGTGTATCAGTCCATTGGGTAGCTGGTTGTGTGGTGTGCTGCGAGTCCTTGGTGTTGGGTAACATTTGGGAGGGCTGTGTGGTTGAGACTGAGGAACCAGGGGGGTACAGAGGGAGTTTAATTCTGGGGGGGTGGAGGTGGTGGTGCGGGGGGCATACCGAAGGGGGGCATGCCCGTCACACCCATCCCCATCATGGTGACAAAGTTGGAGGGGTCCATGGGCGGGGGGGGAGGAGGGGCATACATCATGCCGGCCGAGCCGGGGGGTGGGGGAGGAGGGGGAGGAGGGGCGCCGGGGGGGAGAGGGGGCTGGACCCCAGGTGGTGGGGGGACCATGGAGGGGTTGCCCATGGGGGGGGGAGGCTGGGTGGCCGAGGCGGACTGTTGGGGCTGCTGCCAGGGTGGCAGGTTGCCAGTGCCAGGACTGGACGTTGTGGTGGTATCTGGGGAGGAAATAACTTTAGTTAGTATGACATTCAAGAAAAAACATGCTGCACTTATTCAACGTTGGAAATCCCTCTAAGATCTTACAGGAATGAGGAAATACTTCAAACATTTTCTATGTAAAGCAGCCATGTGTCAAATCTCCAAAAGCTAACATGAAAAGTGTGAGAAACTGGCTGTACTTCTCTGTTTAACAGGCCAAAGCTTCAGAAACAAAGAGCCTGCATCTAGTGTTCTTACTCTGTTGCCATGGCAGTGGTGCACTAGTGGCCATGCTGCTGGCGGGAGGGGGTGGGGGGCCTGCTGTTGCCATGGTGGCAGGGGACCCGAGGGTGGCGGGGGAGGCTGGTTGTTGGGGGGCGGAGGTGGTGGTGGCATCATACCCATGGGTGGTGGCAGCAGACCTGAAGACAAATGAGAAAATATGAAGGGACACAAGATGCCACAACCGATTGGTTTACAAAGACAAAGCACAGATGGCCTGTGTTTATTAAAATGTATGTGTACATGACACCACAAACGCAATTTACAAACTGGGATAACAACATGGAAACAAGACGGCCCATTTCAACAGCAGGCGGTGTCTCTCTTACCCATATGGTGTCCATGTCCCTGGCCCATTGGGGGCGGTGGGGGCTGCATCCACGGGGGTGGCATTCCGTTGTTGGGGGGCATGTTGTGCCCTCCCATGTTGGACATGGGGGGTGGGTAGTTGTGGTGACCTCCGTGACCTCCATGACCCCCGTGGTTGCCATGACCACCGTGTTGGTTGCCATGACCACCATGGCCTCCGTGCATGCTGTTGAAGTTCCTGTTCTCAGACTGGCCAGAGTTCATCCAGGGAGGACGGCTCTGCTGCATAAAGACAGAGTGAGACAAGAGGCACTTTTTGGCTTATGGCTTGTATTCTTTATCGTCTCGTCTGTAAGCTTGTCTGCTGATGAAACTCAATCTCCTCAGGCACCAAAAAAGCATCCATGAATCTTCTAACTTGGAACATAAGGCCTATTTTATGGCTAGACTAAGAAAATGGAAGCTCAGGTCGTGCTAGTCACTTCACTTAACTCACCGGTGGTGGCTGGTTGTTGTTGATGCCTCTGTTGTGGCCACTGTTCTGGTTGTTGGAGTGTCCCCCGCCAGAGGAGGGCACAGGGGCCTCGCCCAGTTCAGCCATGAGGGACAGATACTCCTTGTCCATACGGGCCTTGTCCTGGGCAGACTGGGGAGGCTCACCGGCCCTGGGCGCCGCAAAGGAGCTAGAGAGAGGAGAGAGTTCCTTTTAATGCATGGCAGGTTTTTGGAAAAGATCCTGAATGGCCTTATTTTCTTTAGTTTTTCAGTCTGCGCTATGATCACTCCAAGTAGCCACTGTTCTGGGACCTCTGCGTAGACATAGCCATTGTCACTCTCCACCCCTCATGACACAGGCTCCACACTTACAGTCGGACTGCAACGCCTCAAGGGGCAGGTTCCTGGCATCATCTCAAAAACCAGATTGGGTTAGCTAAAATAATCTGGTTTCAAAGTCATTCAATGTGTGCAAGCAAAAAGACTGCTTTCTGACCAGAAATCCTTTATGTAACAGTATGTAGCTGGTTAGTTACCTGGTGAACTTGCAGTCAGAGGAGATGTGGCCTGCGCCACCACACTTGGTACAGAGGGTGGTGTTGGTGACACTGCGGGGTTCAGTGCTCTGCCACGGACGAAGGATCCTGGGGGGGGGAACAAAGAGAAACATTTCATATTTAACCAAGAGAAGTGAAGAGGAGAGCACATTTATCCAGGCCAGGCAGGGTACCTGTGATTATGCAACCGTCACAGAATGGCTGCTGTCAAAATGTGGCAGGCTCACCGGTTGTCGTCCTCTCTCAGGGTCCCGTTGAGTCTGGCCAGCTCCCTCAGCTGCATCTTCCTCAGGTCGTTCTGGTCCTCAGGGGTCTCGATGCCCTGCTTCAGGATGGTACGGATCTACGGAGGAGACAAGATTGGACCACTCTCAGCATGTGTGGACAAATCAAACTACAACTGCATAGTGGCAGTATAATACAACTCAAAAGACACTGAAAGGTACAGTGAGGGAAAAAAGTATTTGATCCCCTGCTGATTTTGTACCTTTGCCCACTGACAAAGAAATGATCAGTCTATAATTTTAAAATGGTAGGTTTATTTGAACAGTGAGAGACAGAATAACAACAAAAAAAATCCAGAAAAACGCATGTCAAAAATGTTATAAATTGATTTGCATTTTAATGAGGGAAGTAAGTATTTGACCCCTCTGCAAAACATGACTTAGTACATCGTGGCAAAACCCTTGTTGGCAATCACAGAGGTCAGACGTTTCTTGTAGTTGGCCACCAGGTTTGCACCCATCTCAGGAGGGATTTTGTCCCACTCCTCTTTGTAGATCTTCTCCAAGTCATTAAGGTTTCGAGCCTGATGTTTGGCAACTCGAACCTTCAGCTCCCTCCACAGATGTTCTATGGGATTAAGGTCTGGAGACTGGCTAGGCCACTCCAGGACCTTAATGTGCTTCTTCTTGAGCCACTCCTTTGTTGCCTTGGCCGTGTTTTTTGGGTCATGCTGGAATACCCATCCACGACCCATTTTCAATGCCCTGGCTGAGGAAAGGAGGTTCTCACCCAAGATTTGACGGTACATGGCCCCGTCCATCGTCCCTTTGATGCAGTGTAGTTGTCCTGTCCCCTTAGCAGAAAATCACCCCCAAAGTATAATGTTTCCACCTCCATGTTTGACAGTAGGGATGGTATTCTTGGGGTCATAGGCAGCATTCCTCCTCCTCCAAACACGGCGAGTTGAGTTGATACCAAAGAGCTCCATTTTGGTCTCATCTGACCACAACACTTTCACCCAGTTCTCCTCTGAATCATTCAGATGTTCATTGGCAAACTTCAGACAGGCCTGTATATGTGCTTTCTTGAGCAGGGGGACCTTGCGGGCGCTGCAGGATTTCAGTCCTTCACGGCGTAGTGTGTTACCAATTGTTTTCTTGGTGACTATGGTCCCAGCTGCCTTGAGATCATTGACAAGATCCTCCCGTGTAGTTCTGGGCTGATTCCTCACCGTTCTCATGATCATTGTAACTCCATGAGGTGAGATCTTGCATGGAGCCCCAGGCCGAGGGAGATTGACAGTTATTTTGTGTTTCTTCCATTTGCGAATAATCGCACCAACTGTTGTCACCTTCTCACCAAGCTGCTTGGCGGTGGTCTTGTAGCCCATTCCAGCCTTGTGTAGGTCTACAATCTTGTCCCTGACATCCTTGGAGAGCTCTTTGGTCTTGGCCATGGTGGAGAGTTTGGAATCTGATTGATTGATTGCTTCTGTGGACAGGTGTCTTTTTTCTGCTAAGGGGACAGGACAACTACACTGCATCAAAGGGACGATGGACGGGACCATGTACCGTCAAATCTTGGGTGAGAACCTCCTTTCCTCAGCCAGGGCATTGAAAATGGGTCGTATTTATGCTGCAGTAGTTTATTAGTCGGGGGGCTGGGGTTAGTTGGTTATACCTGGAGTACTTCTCCTGTCTTATCCAGTGTCCTGTGTGAATTTAAGTATGCTCTCTCTAATTCTCTCGTTCTCTCTTTCTCTCTGAGAACCTGAGCCCTAGGACCATACGTCAGGACTACCGGGCATGATGACACCTTGCTGTCCCCAGTCCGCCTGGCCTTGCTGCTATTCCAGTTTCAACTGTTCTGCCTGCGGCTACGAAACCCCTACCTGTCCCAGACCTGCTGTTTTCAACTCTTAATGATCGGCTATGAAAAGCCAACTGAGAGACCTGAGCCCTAGGACCATACGTCGGGACTACCGGCCGTGGTGACTCCTTGCTGTCCCCAGTCCGCCTGGCCTTGCTGCTATTCCAGTTTAAACTGTTCTGCCTGCGGTTATGGAACCCCTACCTGTCCCAGACCTGCTGTTTTCAACTCTTAATGATCGGCTATGAAAAGCCAACTGAGATTTATTCCTGATTATTATTTGACCATGCTTGTCACTTATGAACATTTTTGAACATCTTGGCATGGTTCTGTTATAATCTCCACCCGGCACAGCCAGAAGAGGACTGGCCACCCCTCATAGCCTGGTTCCTCTCTAGGTTTCTTCCTAGGTTTTGCCTTTCTAGGGAGTTTTTCCTAGCCACCGTGCTTCTACACCTGCATTACTAGCTGTTTGGGGTTTTAGGCTGGGTTTCTGTACAGCACTTCAAGATATTAGCTGATGTAAGAAGGGCTATATAAAATAAAATTGATATACAGGTAACAAACTGAGATTAGGAGCACTCCCTTTAAGAGTGTGCTCCTAATCTCAGTTTGTTACCTGTATAAAAGACACCTGGGAGCCAGAAATCTTTCTGATTGAGAGGGGGTCAAATACTTATTTCCTTCATTAAAATACAATTCAATTTATAACATTTTTGACATGCGTTTTTCTAGATTTATTTGTTGTTATTCTGTCTCTCACTGTTCAAATAAACCTACCATTAAAGTTAGACTGATCATTTCTTTGTCAGTGGGCAAACGTACAAAATCAGCAGGGGATCAAATACTTTTCCCCCCTCACTGTAAGCTAGTAGATAACGAGAACAAGTTGACAGTGTGATGGGTGTGGGGGGTGTGAGCTGACCTGTTCCACCGCCTTCTTGACATTCTCCATGGTGTTGGCGGTGACCAGGGCGTGCAGCGGCTCATCCTCCCCTGGCAGCATCTGACCGTCCTTACGGCCCACCTTGCCCTCCTTCACAGAGCCCTTGCCACGGATCATGATCTTGGCACAGCACTCCTTCTCTATGTTCTTCAGGGTGTTGCCACTGCAAGGACACAAGTAACATACTCAGTGTGTGTAGTAAGGACTCATAGGCACCACCTACTGGACTTCCAAGTAAACCCCCAAATAGACCCACAACACAAGGGAACATTAGATAGATCCACGGTAAAGGCTTATAGCTCACCGTGGCCCAATGAGCAACCCAACAAAGTTAATCTCAGGGTACTCGTCCTGTGGGATCATCACCTTGTCGTTGACCCTAGTAGCTGGGGGCCTGTGGGGGACAATTATGTTCAGTATAGTGAAGGCTATAACCCAGCCTCTACACATTCAAGCCAAGGTGAAGAAAATAAAGCATGGCTGTTCTCAGAAGCCATAAAACTACCAAAGACATACAGCAATAGCTCTGAAACTCAGACCGACCATAAAGGGAAATGAAAATGAGATATCACCAAACGCCATAGGGAACAAACAAGAAATAAACAAATCTGGGGGGAGGGGGAAACAAACTAGAGGATAAACAGCTGTTGCTCTAGTAACAGCTAATGGGGATCCAAATAAACAAGACTATGTTAGGAGATACAGAAAACAGGACACATACTTGTAGTCAGCAGGGGGCTTGAACTCAGGGTTGAGTGCCACCATATCGGTGATGAGAGAGTGACGCTCCTCCTCGATCTTCTTGCGTGTGCGGTACTCCCTGGTGTTCAGCCTCTTCCCCTCGCTGTTGTAGATGGGCTCTGGAGACGGGGACCTTGGGGAGGGGGGGAGAGAGTACAGACAGACAACCATTAATATCTCTAAGACCATTGACAATCATACACAAGTTTCCCTATGTCTAACTAAGCCTTAAATAATGTTACCACGAAATAAAACATTTTAAGGAACACTTGATAATAGCATGGCCACGTCCCCAAGCCACTTATCAGTGAAGGGAAAGCAAGAGAAACAATGGTTACGGCAAGCATTTGGGTCACTGGTGGAGAAAAAAAAAGTTCTCTCTCATAGGGCTTGTTATGAGATATTATCAATATTGGTGTTACTTTCTGCATTCTCAAAGGGAAATTTCGGTTGCTACTAGGCTGTAGCGTTTGAATGGCCAATTGGGTTCTGGGATTTTATACACGTCTGAAAAATGGGGACATATCACCTTGTGATATGTAATAAATACTATTCTGAAGGGGCAACCACCACTTCAACAACTAAATCTATCTACACTGAACAAAAATATGAACGCAACATGTTGGTCCCATGTTTCATAAGCAAAAATAAAAGATCACAGAAATATTCCATAGGCACAAAAAGCTTATTTCTCATCCCTGTTGATGAGCATTTCTCCATTGCCAAGATAATCCATCCACCTGACAAGTGTGGCATATCAACAAGCTGATTTAACAGAATATTCACTACACAGGTGCACCTTGTGCTGAGGACAATAAAAGGCCACTCTAAAATGTGCAGTTGTGTCACAACACAATGCCACAGATGTCTCAAGTTGAGGGAGCATGCAATTGGCATGCTGACTGCAGGAATGTCCACCTGAGCTGTTGCCAGAGAATTGAATGTTAATTTCTCTACCATAAGCCGCCTCAAACGTCATTTTAGACAATTTGGCAGTACATCCAACCGGCCTCACAACCGCACACCACGTGCATGGCGTCGTGTGGGAGCGGTTTGCTGATGTCAACATTGTGAACAGAGTGCCCCATGATGGGTGTGGGGTTATGGTATGGGCAGACATAAGCTAGGGACAATGAACAATTGTATTTTATCAATGGCAATTTGAATGCACAGCAATACCGTGACGAGATCCTGAGGCCCATTATCGTGCCATTCATCCACCGCCATCACCTAATGTTTCAGCATGATAATGCACGGCCCCATGTCGCAAGGATCTGTACACAATTCATGGAAGCTGAAAATGTCCCAGTTCTTCCATGGCCTGCATACTCACCAGACATGTCACCCATTAAGCATGTTTGGGATGCTCTGGATCGACATGTACGACAGCGTGTTCCAGTTCTCGCCAATATCCAGCAACTTCGCACAGCCATTGAAGAGAAGTGGGACAACATTCCACAGGCCACAATCAACAGCCTGATCAACTCTGCAAAGGAGATGTCACGCTGCATGAGGTAAATAGTGATCACACCAGATACTGACTGGTTTTCTGATCCACGCCCCCCTACCTTTTCTTTTAAAGGTATCTGTGACCAACAGATGCATATCTGTATTCCCAGTCATGTGAAATCCATAGATGAGGGCCTAATGAATTGTTCAATTGAATGATTTCCTTATATGAACTGTAACTCAGAAAAATCTTAGAAATTGTTGCATTTTGCGTTTATATTTTTGTTCAGTATAGAAGAAAAAAAGAAAAAATAATCCTGCATACAGGTTGTAAAGGGAAGGGGGTGGGCAATAAAAAAAAAAAGGAAGCATTCCTCAAGGAACCGCTGGCTTTGGGAGTCGGACGGTGCCATATTGGATGCTGAGGTGGAGGGTGTTTAAGCCAGGTCCATACCTCCCCTTGGATGGAACACCTGAAAACCTGTTTCGCTGCGTTAAAGAGGCTCTGCGCTTGAAAAAGGTTAAGTTGGCGAGGGGTAATTTGGGGTTAGAGAAAATGAATTATGATTAGATGTTAACCCTTTTCATTGTGCGCTCTCCCACAAGAGAGCTAACATTTGGTCGATGAACAATTCAGGAGAGGAAAAGTAGAAAAATCGAAATAGAGGAAAGGGTTCTCTTTTTATATCTTGAAATTTCCACCGGTGACAACCTGAAACACTCCCGTTATTTGTTGGAGTGACAATATTAGCGTCCTGCGATGAGCTTTTTGTTGTCGCTGTGGAAATATCTGATTAAGATTATAATGAAACTATGTCAAGTACAGATGACAGGGACTGTGGCCAACAAAGAGATATCAATCTCACACAATATGACATTTCCTGCTGGAATAATAGATGCTTATGCAGACTACTACAGTGTCAGAGCCAATCTGTGTCGTTCCGGAATAGTCAGGATCAGAGGGGTTTCTCCTCCAGAGCCTCAAAGTTCCGCCTGGAATACTGTCGAACCCACTGGGCGGAACTTCGGGAAGCTTCATTATGGAAAACCCATTAATGACCATGGAAAAACACCCAACGGTTAAAAGTTAATTTGTCAGGTTTCAGGTGGAATCTAACAATGGTTGGACCATTTGAATTGACGAGACAAGCCAAGAAAAAAAGGTAACACATTAGGATTAAAGTCAAGCACTGGCAGAAACAGGTTATTCTAAAGAAACCCCATTACTGAAAACCAAACTTGTCCTAGTTAGTCTGTATATCTTTATATAACTATTTAAGATATTAGATCTAGGTCTACTTACTCACTTTAACTTACAGCTACATGACTATCAAAAGGAGAAATATGCATTCTGGCAATCACAAATATTCAACATTATAAGCAATCATAATAAGATGTTAAATCAATAATAGATCAACTTAGTCATAAGTATTGACCCAAACCTACTTTTAAGTTGGAGAAATGTTGTTCATCTAAGATGCATTCTAAAAAATTCACAAACACATTGTCAACATCTGAGTTGACAGAAAATGGCTAAACCAGGATGCACATGTGGACATATTAACTCAATTATAGTCAACAAATGATAAAAGATAAATACAAGAGGTCACAGCTAAGGCAGTAGGAAATATATAGTAAGTGTGATATACACTCCCCTACGTATTTACTTTTTTTTTTTTTGGCTCTATACTCCAGAATTTTGGATTGGATGTTTCATATGAGGCGACAGTACAAAATGTACACTTTTATTTGGGGGTATTTTCATACATCTACCGTTTAGTAATGAAGGCACTTTATGCATCTAGTCCCTCCATTTGAATAAATATATATAAGTATTTGGCCAAATTCCCTTATAGCGTATTAAAGTAGTCAAAAGTGTAGTATTTGGTTCCATATTCCTAGCACACTACATCAAGCTTGTGGCTCGTCAAACTTGTTGGATGCATTCGCAGTTTGTGTTTCGGGTTTGTTTTGCCCAATAGGAACTGAATGATAAATAATGTACTGTGCAATTTTGTAGTCACTTATATTGTAAATTAGAATATCATGTTTTTTTGAACACGTCTAGATTCAGGTGGATGCTACCATGATTCTGGATAATCATGAATGAACTGTGAATAATGATGAGTGAGAAAGTTACAATGGAACAAAGATCATGGCCTGGTTGCATAAAACATCTAAGTTAATTTCCCCCATATCTTTTCCCTTAAAAGTTTCCTTAACTTTAAGTCAGTTGCACAAAACATTTAAGGTGAATTTCCCCCTTAAATTAAGGGAAAAAGTTAAGGGTGCCTATGACGTCCCTTAACTGCTTCATTATGTATGGATATCAATGTAAACAGCATTTGTGGAGGTGAATGTTGATCTCATCTGCTCTGGTTACAAAAGGAAAACATCAACCAGCTAGCAATTTAGCTAAACAATGGAAGGTGCACAATCCATTGTTACAAAGCTAGCTGGCTGGTTAGCTATAGCTATTCTGTAAGCTACCTTGACGTACTAGAAAACAAGTTGAGAAAAAAGTAACTACAAGAAACGTGGTTTATTATCTTCTGAAGCAATGTGGTTATCCTGTCTTGACTGTTAAAGTTCTATTTCGCTATCTCACAAAATGAAAGCGATCTCTTTGATGAAATGTTTAGTCAGTGAATCAGGCCATCTCCATGGTAACCAGATACTCTTTCTGCCATACATGCCTTCAAACTACTGTATAGCCCCTTAAGTATGCCCTTACCTAAGGACATTTTTGAGGGGCTCTATGCAACACCCTTAAACAAGGGAAAAGTATTCCTTAAGGCAAACACTTATGATGTTTTATGCAACCGGGCTCATACCCCACTGAAAACTGTTTATACACTTTCAAATGAGGGGGGGGGGGAGACTACATACATCAAGTTCATTCATTTCTAAACGGTAAAACAGATATGTATGAAAATCCCCACAAATAAAAGGTGACATTCTGTACTTTCGCCTCATAAAACATTTGATACCAAATCCAAAATGCTGGAGTGTAGAGCCAAATTAAACATTTTAGCTTCATTGTCCAAATAAATACATAGGGGAGTTCAGAATATGAAGGCAATTGTCTTTTGACAGAGCACAAAGTAAAGCATAGTAATAATGCCATCTGTCAGGAGACAATGATACCATTTAAGTATAAGAAAATAATTATGGAATATAAGAATATTATAAGAATAGAAACTCTAACGAGGCTCATTTGGATGGGTATAAACATAAACTGGAAATGCTTGAACACCAAGTTAACCAGAGAGGTGACCATGGTAACTTCACAGCACACCATAACAACTCAGAGCCATAAGGTTGATATAATTACCACTTTTTACTCCTTCCAATTTAGATTCCTACCAATTCATAAATTAAAAGCTACATCTAACAAATTGGCAGGGTTGGGTAGTTTAAAAATGTTTAGTTATACACACACATATGCCCTTGTCTTTTCTGATAACTACTTTGTTGAGGGAAAATGTACTTGCTACGATTGTGATTTGTTGTCTCACCTAACTATCTTAAGATTAATGCAATAATGTAAGTCGCTCTAGATAAGAGCGTCTGCTAAATGACTAAAATGTACATTATGACACCTTTCTGTTTTCTCAATGACATTCAATTCAGCATTGAAAAAAGGTGCAAGTTTGAGTTTGTTCCACCTGAGCGAGACTGACCACAAGTCAGAGACCACTATGATGACACACCAAATGTTTTGATGGGTCCTTTTTGTCTTCTTCTAATGCCTCTTAAGGGGTAAGTAATCTAAAAGTACGTTACAGAGTTTGGGTAATCCAAAAGGTACGTTTCTGATTACAATTTTGGACAGGTAACTAGTAACTAACGGATTACATTTACAAAGTAACCTACCCAACCCTGCAGATTGGGATGTCACACTGAAAAGTAATACTTCAAAATGTATTCTGAGCAAAACTTTAGTCTTCAGTCATCCTGGAAGTTGTGACTATAAGCACCTAGAAGTATGACATCCCTGAATACTACTGGAAGGAGAAGCATATCAGGTGACAAAATGAAGCTACTATGTTATATTATGGCACTACCACTGCTGGATAATAACTAGTCCTCACAGTGGCTACTAAACCTACTAAACTTCAGGACCTAAAGCATCTTCTGAGAAATATGTATAATTTTACCAAAGACCAACATTTGGCGTCAAAAGAACGACAAGAAGGTAGAGAAAATGTTACTGTTCGTGGGTTTAAAACTTTTCCCGACCTGTCCTCAGGGTTAACAGGGATTCCCAGGTCTCCTGTACGCAGTTTACGAGTCAGGTCTTCGATCTGCAGTTGGACTGGAAGAATTCAGGTTAGGAAAGAAAAACAAGAAGGGTGGAGAGAAATGTGGTTACAACAATAACATTAAACTGGAGACAGTGCAATCTAAATTCAAGCACTGTCTCATTTGTTTGAGAGGCAAAAACACATGACTACAAAGAATGATGAATCATTTACATGAAAATACAAGGGGAATAAAATGTACTTTGAATTTCAGCAAATATTCTACATGAGTAAAAACCCTTCTTCATTTCTGGGAAACGGAGGTACCAAAATGACCATGCAAAACTCTAGAGCCAATTCATTGAACTGAAAGTGAACTGTCGTCAACAGTAAACAAGCTCCAGGATGTTTTACAAATGCACGGATGAAAAATGTGGCATCCCAGTAATGAAGGGTTTATACAGCAACATTTTGGAGTGGATCATTAGAGCAGGGTTCCTTTCGATGCCCGCCAGCATAAATTAACCACATTCCAAACCCCACCCCAATCAATTCAAGATTAACTTAAATTTGATATCATTGTCATAAGACGGTAGTTGAATGTGGCTTTGGCATAAAAGGGAAACCTGATCCACAAGTAGGACTAACACAATATACATCAATAAAGTTGAAGAGTCACTCTCTGCACTGCTGTAGAGCTACAGCTGAGGAGCTATTTGTTATGTAAAATGAGAAGGAACAAACATAAAATCACTCATCACATGCACATTTCTGTCTATGTGGGATATTGACCGAATTTAACCCTATCCCCCCCAACTGCCAAAAACTCCCACCCCTTCCGGACAAGATTCAACAATGACTCAATTATTAAGTTTCTTGTTTAATTGAGAAACAATGCCAGAGTTGAAGACAGCCCATGTGAATTGATATTTCACTGCTATTTCATCTTACGTGCTTCCAACAAATCCCTTTGGACTGTTTTTTTCAGTTCTTGTTTTGAATGAGCAATGTAAACATAGAAGTGAGAACAGAAGGTAGGCACAAATTAGTCTTGGGCGGTATGCCATATACTGAGGTATTTTGAAATACAGACGGTATGATTTTCAATACCGTAAAAAAAGATGAAATTGCTTATAATTTTAAGTTAACAATCTAAGATGTGCCAAATAATTTATCCAGCTCAGGGCTCCAGCTATGCATTTGGTTTGCTAACTTGCTAGCTAAGTGGCTAGCTTGCAAGATCAAGCTTCTTGGTTACAGCAGACGATCAATCCCCTCCTGGACCAAGAAATACAAAATCTGGATACCGCCCAACCCTGGCAGAAATGAATGTTTACATACCAAGGAAGACCAACCATTAACAATGACATTGATAACCCATTCTGTTATTGAGGGGTAGACTCACCTGCTTCACACACCCTACAAGTGTTTAAAGCCAATTTGGTGGTGTTACACTACTGCTGAAAGGCATTTAGCGTCAAGCCGACTGTTTCTTAAACTAATTTGGTCTGAAAACATCCAGATGAGTGCCTATTTTAAAGGATACACTGGAAATGAGTATGATGCTTTCGTCATTGCTCACACGTTAAACTCACATGTATGATCGAGGAATAATTTTGCATGTTACAAGGACAACATGGGTATAGTCCCCTGTAGCTCAGTTTGTTGTGCATGGCGCTTGCAACGCCAGGGTTGTGGCTTCGTTTCCCACAGGGGGCCAGTATGAAAATGTTTGCACTCACTAACTGTAAGTCACTCTGGATAAGAGCGTCTGCTAAATGACTAAAATGTAAATGTAGACCCCTTCATGCCTGGGCAGTTGGTGAAGTACAAGGGGACAGTGACCTGCAGCCCAAAACAATACACGGCAAGCAGTGACACCTTTCTGATTTGCTAATGGATTTCCAGTGGTATGCAAACCTTAATGCCACAAAAAACTTGCTATAGGAGAACCACATTATTGTACCTCCTTGTCTTAGGGCAATGGCCTTCCTTCACACTCCACATCAATAAGTTAGTATACTCAGTGGATTAGAATACTGAATTTCGTTAGAGCAATATGATTTTGAATTATAGCTTCAGTTGCTACATTTTTGACAAAGCTGTGTCAATGTATTGGCAAATACTGTACTTGAATCATCTTGATGAATGCATTTCAAACAGTTTGGGGTTATGCACCAGTCTGGACTTTGCTCAGTCTCCCTGCTCTACCAGTGAGTGACCCAACATGTCCTGTTATATGATTCAATAAACTGATGAAATGTAGCAAACATGGCATGAACTAATAAGCATAACATTTCAATATGCACAACGTGAGGAAATCATGGCAATTGGATCCCACAGGGTCAGGTAAAGAAGAACACGCTACAGTAACACCCCTTGACTTTACATATTTCCTGTAAATCTAAACACTAGTACAGTGCAGTTTACAGTACAGTTCTGTTATACAGTAGTGTACAAGATGGTTACCTATATAGGCCCTCTCCTGATCCCGAGTCAGTCCAGGCGGGATGACGGTGGGCATGCCAGGAATGACTGTCTTCTGGTCGGGTGTCTCACTATTCCAGCGGCTCCTTTTCCTGGCTTTTTTCTGACCGAAGTCTGACAGATGAGATAGAGAGTATTCTCAACTTGAGTCTTTATACATGTTGACTGAATTTCCAAATGTCTTAACAGACAACTAGCTAAATGTTAAGTTAGTAACGTTACGCAGCTAAAAGTAACTACCGCGCATTGTTTGTTAACTATTACTAATACATGGATAGCTATCTTTATCTTGTTCACTTCACTTGCCAGGGTGATAAGATGCATGTCTGAAGTTGCAATGTTTCACGTAAACGTAGAATGATCAGCTAGTTAACGTTAGCTATCAGCGTCTGAAAGATCTCTAGCTAGCTAGCTCAGCCCAACACGTCACATTAGCCTCGCGCATACAGCCCTACACTCCAGACCTTTCTCTAATTAGTTAGCCTGGCTTACCTGACTGAGACTGCATTCCTGCTCCTTGGGGTGGTTGTGGCGGGTTGGGAAAAGCAGCCACCGCAGTAAATACTGGGTGAACTTGCGGGAAAGAGACGTTTGGAATTGGGGGCTGAAAATTCGGTAGCGAGGGAAAGGACACAGGCGGCCCCGGTGTAGGCATTAACCCCGCACCGGGCCCGGCTTCAAACCCTCGTTTAGCGCCAATACTCGGGTGCAGCTTCCCCAGAGGGGTTGCATTTGCTCCCGTAGCCATTTCAAAATGTGCTCTGTTTCAAATTAAGGTTGTATCAAATTAAAGTAGGCGTCCAACGCTTGTAAATAGAATAATATATATTAAACTCAACAACTGCCACAACCTTCTCCACTCGCGCAGTGCGGGTACAAGATGGCGCACAGCGGAATGTCACAAAGGAGGACCAACTGTACAGTGAAGCTCAGCTATTGGTGTAGAGCAGTGCCAGCCGAAACGTTCCCGCTTTTCATTGGATAAAAACATAGGGTCAATCTGCCGTCCCTCAACTTCCTCGAAAAACGATTGGACTCGTATCTTGACAATCATTGAGCCACACTCTTTGATTAGGCTTTCACATTTGGTGTCCGCCTACCATTACCCACACGCGCAACCGCCCAGTTGTGACTGTTGTGCCCGTCCTTATTATTGGATAAAACACATGGTCAATCTACCATCGCTCAACTTCCTCGAAAAACGATTGGGTCATCTTTGAATTCGCGGACTCATTTTGTCAAAATCTGTTTGTGTAAATGATTTAAATCTGAGTTGGTACACTCAACATTAGCATTCCAAAATACTTCAATACACTCTCACAGCTTTAAAACGCTGACTGCTCAAGCAGCAGGACTTCTGGTTTCAAATTTTCCAGAATAAAATATCCACTTTTGCTAAATTCAGACCACATAATAGGGCAATAATATGTGATTATACAGATCTACTAATCATGATATTCACATTGTTAGTCTGCATAGTTTACATCTAACATTAATTTGCGAGACAAAGTCCACTTGATCAATTGTTATTGCTTTAGTATCTACGGTGACAACGTCTCGGATTGTGCGGACATTCCCGAATATTGGCCCTTTTCCAGCGTCCCGCAACCAAACAATCATGTCCCGCATTTTATCAACAAATTAAAACACAGTTTTTGAAAAAAAGGTAGATTTGTCCCATATTTCAGTCAGACGTCCTATTCATTTAATGAAAATGTCCATTCCAACCTGTCTCTTTTGCAGTCACGTTGCGCTTACGACAAGATATTATATCATAAGGATGTGGTGCTGCTGATGTTAAACATTTATCCAATCTTTGTTGAGATCTGCTATTATGCGCAGCGCAAGAAGAGCCGTAGGCCAATGCCATATCATCAACCAATCACATTTGTCAAATCCTTATGGGCTAAATTCCAGCTAAACTTGGAGAGGACAGTTAATTTTACTGCAGTAGGCTAAATCAGTATCACACAAATCAGGATCACACAGAGTGTTTCTTGGTAGTCTTAAACAAATCTAATTTGAAACAAAAGTATACACCTCACACATTATTTGATTTGGGCTTAAAAAAAGAAGACACCTGTACCACGTTAGATATAGAGTTGAAATGTATTCCATTTTGAGTTTGCATCCCAATATTACACTTTATATACAGTGCCTTCAGAAAGTATTCACACCCCTTGACTTTTTCAAAATTGAGTGTTACAGCCTGAATTTAAAAAAGAATTTGTCACTGCCTTACACCCAATACCCCATGTCAAATTGGAATTATGTTTTTAGAAATCTTTACAAATTAATTAAAAATGAGAAGTTGAGGGCCTCACGAGTGGCGCAGCGGTCTAAGGCACTGCATCGCAGTGCTAGAGGCGTCACTACAGACCCGGGTTCGATCGCAGACTGTATCAAAACCAGACGAGAATGGGAGTCCTAAAACACAGTCAAATCTACACTGGAGTTGCTTACCAAGAAGACAGTGAAAGTGGCTGAAGGTTTAAGTAAGACCGCTTATAACAGTGGCGCCAATCGGTGCCATTGTTTTTGACCAAGTTACTCATGGCCTCTAGTTTCTGTGTTCCAAATTAGAAAAAAAAAGTGACCAACCTATGCCTGAGTTATTTGACCATGACAATAAAAAAAATTAAACAAAATGTCAGAATATTTTTTTGCACAATCATCAAACCAACGTGTAGGCCTAACCAAATGGTATGTTATAACATGATTTGGCCTGGGTTAACCACCTATCCTATCAGGTGTGGTAATTAGCCTACTATAGATCATGGTCATATAATATTACCATTATCATGTTAAGAGTCTAAGAGTAGCAATACAGACTAAAATGTATTCATGCTGCTGCTGAGATACTGAGGGGAAACATTTGAGGTCGAAAACTACCTTCCAAAAGAAGAGTTCATGGGGGGAAAGTGAACAAAACATGGTAAGAAATCATGAATCAAAAGACAAATAGTATTCCTTTTCAGAGTGATTTTATTGAGAAACAAATGAACATAAATATTTCTCATATCATTCAGGGCAAATTGTGCCAAATCCACTCCTAAAACACTGATTTTGTCAAGATGGAATGGGCCTATAAGGCTGATTATATATATATATATATATATATTTATATCAACTCAGCAAAAAAAGAAACATCCTCTGTCAACTGCGTTTATTTTCATCAAACTTAGCATGTGTGGTCCTCTGTAGCTCAATTGGTAGAGCATGACGCTTGTAACGCCAGGGTAGTGGGTTCGATCCCCGGGACCACCCATACGTAAAAATGTATACACACATGACTGTTGCTTTGGATAAAAGCGTCTGCTAAATGGCATATTATATATTATGTGTAAATATTTGTATGAACATAACAAGATTCAACAACTGAGACATAAACTGAACAAGTTCCACAGAAATTGAATAATGTGTCCCTGAACGGGGGCGGGGCGGTGGGGGGGGGGGCAAAATCAAAAGTTACAGTTAGTATCTGGTGTGGTCACCAGCTGCATTAAGTACTGCAGTGCATCTCCTCCTCATGGACTGCACCAGATTTGCCAGTTCTTGCTGTGAGATGTTACCCCACTCTTCCACCAAGGCACCTGCAAGTTCCCAGACATTTCTGGCGGGAATGGCCCTAGCCCTCATCCGCCGATCCAACAGGTCCCTCCGATCCAACAGGTCTTCCCTGTAACGCACAGCGTTGAGATTGACTGCAATGACAACAAGCTCAGTCCGATGATGCTGTGACACACCACCCCACACTATGACGTTCCCTCCACCTCCAAATTGATCCAGCTCGAGTATAGGCCTCGGTGTAACGCTCATTCCTTCGACAATAAACGCGAATCCGACCATCACCCCTGGTGAGACAAAACCGCAACTCGTCAGTGAAGAGCACTTTTTGCCACTCCTGTCTGGTCCAGCGACGGTGGGTTTGTGGCCATAGGCGACGTTGTTGCCGGTGACGTCTGGTGAGGACCTGCCTTACAACAGGCCTACAAGCCCTCAGTTCAGCCTCTCCCAGCCTATTGCGGACAGTCTGAGCACTGATGGAGGGATTGTGCGTTCCTGGTGTAATTTGGGCAGTTGTTGTTGCCATCCTGTACCTGTCCCGCAGGTGTGATGTTCGGATGTACCGATCCTGTGCAGGTGTTGTTACACGTGGTCTGCCACTGCGAGGACTATCAGCTGTCCGTCCTGTCTCCATGTAGCGCTGTCTTAGGCGTCTCACAGTACGGACATTGCAATTTATTGCCCTGGCCACATCTGCAGTCCTCATGCCTCCTTGCAGTATGCCTAAGGCACATTCAAGCAGATGAGCAGGGACCCTGGGCATCTTTCTTTTGGTGTTTTTCAGAGTCAATAGAAAGGCCTCTTTAATGTCCTAAATGTCCATAACTGTGACCTTAATTGCCTTCCGTCTGTAAGCTGTTAGTGTCTTAACGACCGTTCCACAGGTGCATGTTCATTAATTGTTTATGGTTCATTGAACAAGCATAGGAAACAGTGTTTAAACCCTTTACTATGAAGATCTGTGAAGTTATTTGGATTTTTACTAATTATCTTTGAAAGACAGAGTCCTGAAAAAGGGACGTTTCTTTTTTTGCTGAGTTATATATGCATGCCTACACAACAGTTTAGAAATGTTATACATTTTTTAGAAAGTATTCAAAGAGTAATATTTCATTCAAACACATTTGAGTAATAGTCATGCATAATGCATAATTTGTCCATTGAGGCCCCTGCCTTTGGTGTGGAGTAGAATTATTATTATTAATTATTAATATTATTTCCACATTCATTCACAATACCTGTATGTATTGTTTTAATGGTTTTAGATGCATGTTAAAAGGAAGGCGAACGTGATTAGCAAATGATTGCATTCATCACACTAATGCATAAAACTGCTAACTAGAATCAAGTGCAATGACTGAATCAACTACTGCTACTTCACTTGTAACTGCAGGACTCACATTAAAATCAAAACCACGTGCACTTGGTTGCTTTTTGTTAAATACCTCAAATCTATATGTACATTCTGCTTTCAGTGGGGAAATACAAACGTTACTAAGCTATCAGTTGACACACAAGACAGATACCGAACAGTGAAGCTAAATGCACTTTCACCATCCATCCCACTATCACGTCGAAACGCATAGCGAGACGGAACTAAGATGGCCAACCGAGCACGACACGGTCGCGATACCTGAAAAGAGAGCATACCAAATAGTAACACGGTCATCCACAAGATGCATTCAAGTTGAAGTATGGAGAAAAAGTATGAAAATGTATGCATTTACTACTGTAAGTCGCTCTGGATAAGAGCGTCTGCTAAATAACTAAAAAAATAAAAGTTATACGGCATGCATTCTCTCCTACTCGATCAACAAGCTTGATAGCGTCAGCCTTATCAACCTATGTCAAGACAGAAAACCTGACTAAACTAGGACATTACCTAGAGAAACTATCAAACACCCAGTGTTTACATTAATACTACACTGAACAAAAATATAAAATGCAACAATTTCAAAGATTTTACTGAGTTACAGTTCATATAAGGAAATCAGTGAACTGAAATAAAATCATTAGGCCCTAATCTATGGATTTCTGGGAATACAGATATGCATTGATTGGTCACACAGATACCTTTTAAAAAAGGTAGGGGCTTGGGTCCGAAAACCAGTCAGTATCTTGTGTGACCACCATTTGCCTCATGCAGCGCGACACATCTCCTTCACATAGAGTTGATCAAGCTGTTGATTGTAGCCAGTGGAATGTTGTCCCTCTCCTCTTCAATGGCTGTGCGAAGTTGCTGGATATTAGCCGGAACTGGAACACACTCATGTTTGGTGAGTATGCAGGCCATGGAACTGGGACATTTTCAGCTTCCAGGAATTGTGTACAGATACTTGTGACATGGGGCCGTGCATTATCATGCTGAAACATGAGGTGATGAATGGCACGACAACGGGCCTCAGGATCTTGTCACGGTATCGCTGTACATTCAAATTGCCATCAATAAATTGTAATTGTGTTCGTTGTCCGTAGCCTATGCCTACCCATACTATAACCCCACTGCCACCATGGGGCACTCTGTTCACAATGTTGACATCAGCAAACCGCTCGCCCACACGCCGCCATACACGTTGTCTGCCATCTACCCGGTAGTTGAAACTGGGATTCATCCGTAAAGGGCACACTTCTCCAGCCTGCCAGTGGCCATCGAAGGTGAGAATTTGCCCACTGAAGTCGGTTACGACGCCGAACTGCAGTCAGGTCAAAACCCTGGTGAGGAAGATGCGCACGCAGATGAGCTTCCCTGAGACCGTTTCTGACAGTTTGTGCAGAACTTATTTGGTCGTGCAAACCCACAGTTTCATCAGCTGCCCGGGTGGCTGGTCTCAGACGATCACGCAGGTGAAGAAGCCGGATGTGGAGGTCCTGGGCTGGCGTGGTTACACGTGGTCTGCGGTTGTGAGGACATTTGGACGTACTGCCAAATTCTCTAAAACGACACTGGAGGTGGCTTATGGTAGAGAAATTAACATTAAATTATCTGGCAACAGCTCTGGTGGACATTCCTGCAGTCAGCATGCCAATTGCACGCTCCCTTCAAAACTTGAGACATCTGTGACATTGTGTTGTGTGACAAAACTGCACATTTTAGAGTGGCCTTTTATTGTCCCCAGCACAAGGTGCACCTATGTAATTATCATGCCGTTTAATCGGCTTCTTGATATGCCACACCTGTCTGGCGGATGGATTATCTTGGCAAATCTTGGCAAAGGAGAAATACTCACTAACAGGGATGTAAACACATTTCTGGGATATTTTATTTCAGCTCATGAAACATGGGATCAACACTTTACATGTTGCGTTCATATTTTTGTTCAGTGTAGTTCCCAAGGAACTTAAAATCACGCTAACCTGTGAAAGCTAGACAGGTCTCACCTTGACAAGTGGGAAAAAGGTTAGTAAGCATAGCGCGCCCGCTCGGCGTAGGGGTCCCGCGGGATGTCATAAGCCAAGCTTCTGGGGAGGGAGGACACCGGGGAGAGGCGCGCGCGCTCGTACGCGTAGCCCTCAGCATCAGCAGGGATTCGCCGGATCGGGCTCCGGTCGCGTGAGTAGTATGAGGAGATGGGGGCTGGTAGGGGGAGGGGATGGCGCTCGTATTGGTCGAGGCTAGAGGGCGGCAGGCGCTCCCTCATTATGGCCGAGGAGGGGGGAGGTGGGGCTGGCAAAGGGACAGACCGGCGCTCTTCAAAATAACTGGCTCCATACGATTGAGCCCGGTACTTCTTGTAGAAGTCCACGACACCATACGGATCCCGGTCCTCGTAAGATGACCGGCGCACTGGGTTGGCTGGGATCGCACCATAGCTCAAGCTGCTGCCTCCGTACGCTGCCTCGCTGGCGTATGTCCGGGCCATGCTATGTTCGGCAGCGCTCATTCCATAACCTTGCGGGACACCGTAACTCATTGCGCTCTCGTAGCCCGCGCCCCTGTCATACCCGGGTACACTGTCGCTGCCGTAAGCAGACCCCCTGCTGCCGATGTCGTGCACGGAAGCGTAGCTGCCACCGTAACCTGGATCGTCGCCACTGAAGCCCCGTTGATAAACGCGGCCGCCGCGACTGCCCCCGCCGAACCTGGGGGCACCGCTATTAAATCCGTCAGAGCTTGGCTCGGCACCCTCTCTGTAGTTGCCCAACGTGTCGAGCGGGCATTCTTTGGACCAGTGGCCTTCCTGCCCGCACCGATAACAACCAGTCCTCTCTCCCATGCCGGGCGTAGTACGCAGGCGGCTAGTCGAAAGCTTCACGCTCAGCAGTTTGCCTTAAAAAAAAAAGACGCAAGAGTTTACGACGATACAATTAACTGTTCCATCTATATCCATGTACATGATCTACGGAATAAGATACAAGCCGGGCATGAACTAAAACACTACCCTAATAGCCTACATTTTGGAACTCCTCTGAAAGTAAACACTGACGATTATTCCATGTTCTATCCAAGCAACACTGATCCAGGTATATGAAAATATATCCACAACTGACGCATAAGGGTCTTTCCAAACAAAAATCTAGTCCATATTTTGGTTTGAACTTTAAAGTTAAAAAAATGTGTACAACACGTGTTTGATGTATTTGGAGATAGCGGTTGACTGTGCCTTACTCTTTCACCACTTACCTTTATCCATGACTTACCTATCAGTTTTGTTAAGACCTTTTCTTAGTGAATAGAACTCATTCTAATTACCAGGGTGGACCTACACCACATTGGGCACCGACCAACCAAGCCCTGCCTGTGTGAGTTCACCTTGGAAGGCCGTGTTGTCCAGCCCACTGATGGCCTCCATGGCATCCTCCACACGCTCCAAGTGGACAAAGGCATAGTCCTTCACTATGTCACACTCCACCACTGGGCCGTACTCCTCAAACTTGGCCCGCAGTTCTTGGTTGGTACAGCTGCTGTTGATATTACCCACGTGCAGCTTGGTGGAGGCTTTGGATCTGCTGCGGCTCATCTCCACGTTCATGGCCTGCCCATTGAGCTCGTAGTGGTGGAGATTCTTGATGGCATCTTCCGCCTTGGCTTTGTCGTCCATGTGCACAAATCCAAAGTTCTTGACGATGTCGCACTCTGAGATCTTGCCATACTGGGAGAAGAGGGAGCGCAGCTCCTCTGTCGTGGTGTCTGGTGACAAATTCCCAATGAAGATTTTCACCATGGTGATGCTCCTGCTTCAGTATATGAACAGTGGAAGAGGAAATTAGACAGATGAAATCACTTGATTAAAAAAACACTCTTGGCTCAGGAAGTCTTATGAACCTAAGAGCATATTGATTAACCTATCTACTAGAATATCAAATGATTTGATAAATGTGCTCTATCAATAATCCACTGTGCAGTGCAAGTGGATGCATTGGATTATTATCAGGACCAATTAACCAATCATAATGTTGGTTACTCTCTCTGCCACCAGTGTCAGAAGTATCTAGCAGGATTTTGGAACTAGACAAGCTGTCCATTGGTATTCATTCAGGCCTAATGATTCAGGCTCGTAAGCTAACGTTAAGACATCGCTATTTCAGCGATCAGCATAGCTGAAGCATATATTTGCACGTGGTCATTTGTAACGTGCAAGACAGCTAGCGACTCTGAATTGCCTTTTGTGGCAACTCTTACACCTGTCTGCAAATGCATACATAACGAGCATGCTATGCTAACAATATATCCGAAACGCGTTGCATGGTCATATGATCTTTCATAGCTTTATTTCAGTTATTTGCTGTTCACATACGGCAATATGCAATGTCAGAATTCACATAAAAAATAAAGCGATAGATCACATTTTCTCCTTTCGTACCTTTCACGGCGGGATGCCACTGGTTTCCGAGGATGAAATGGCGCCGCGCCTGCTAGTCACAGCACAATCTCTGCCCGTCCTCTCAAAAGGCAAAACCAGATTGGAGGGCGTTGAAATCAGACCGGTTGATTGGCCGAAAGAAGGTTAAGTGCATTTCTTTCCTACTATACTTGATTTAGTATTACCAGGTTTTAGTAGGTATTAGAAAAGTATTCATGTCAATGCATTATCAAGTGTAGATGTGGATCAAGTCTGGATAAAGGCTGAAGAGAGCATACATTTAAAATAAATCGCACCAAAATACTTTTGGGTTTATTAAGAAATTAAACGCAAAAAACGTACACGCTTTGACTGTAGGAAATATACAAACTACAACAATTCCCAGAATAACTTAGCTATAAAGGCACCCATAGAAAGTGATTAAGACAAGATCCCCTTATCTCAATTATTATGTCATAGCCCTGAGTTATGCTAATGTTATTTGCTGTATTCAACATGTTTATGTCAAGTAGCAATGAATATTCAATGAATACAGATCGATTTGATTTATTAAAACTTCTACTGTTAGAAAACAATATTTATGATATTGCTTTATCCTCTTGAATTGGTGTATATCAGATTGGGCCTTCCGAATTACGCAAGAAGAGTACATTTGGAAGTACATGCTATGCTCACTGTTCAAATGAGTACAAACTGAATGCTTCTTTTTGGTTAGGAGACATAGGCAGATATTACTGATGAAGCAAATCAACTGACACAAATTGGAATGTTTGTTTTGGGATAATGATAATGTCATCGTGACAGCAGATAGCAACTCTAAGCAAAAGCAGTATGACAACAGGATTTACTCGACACTAAGTGGAATGTCCTCTTGAAAACAGATGTACGTGAACATATGAAAGTCCTTGTTCTCAAAGCCAGTGCAGGAATTGCACAAATATTCATACCTGTCTATTAAATTTGTATTACCAGGGCAAATTCAAAACAAAAACGTGGTTGAATGACTGAGTTATACATGGCATGAATGAGATTATAATTTGTAATTAATATCTGAACAAACCGATTAAATGAATGAAAAATATATATTCCTCAAAAAGGAGGAAGCTCTAAACTATGGTCACCTCAATACGAAAAATGTAAATGTGCCAAATTCAGTGGCCAATTTGCTTTGAGGAGATTCTTAAAAATAAAATTAAAAAATAAATCGACACGCAAACTAACAAAGCGAGTGGAAAGCCGGTATAGTTAAGCTAGTATTAACATCACACTGTATATGCCAGAACTGTGGTTTCAGATAGCCAACAGTCCCTGTAAGTGACAATTGTAAAATAAAGGAAGTATGTGGACTTGAGTATGGATTGATTAGTTAGTTGAGATGACGATTCATCTGCCGACGGCTGGCACACTGGTGCCAGGAAGATGCACATGCCGATTTCCGCCCGCATCACTCTCGTGCCATCACATTCCGAGTCACGAAAGGTTTGTTTGCGGCATGTGGCACAGCTCGATGGAACCATGCAGCTCGGAGGAGGAATGGTAGCAAAGGAAAGGTCCGACGGGTCATACACACCTAGAAAAAGAGCAGAGCATTCGCTTTGAGAATGGGATTGTGTTTTACGGTTTAAAAGCACTGTGAAGGGGGGACATAGTTTCTGTTCTTCATTGAAGAAATATTAGGATGAACACGAGTCTACAGTTCCCAGCCCCCACTGTCATCATCATGTAGACGTTTTAAAATCAATGGCACGCACCATTCCAGATGTCACTCAGAACACACAGAGCAATGGGCCAGTACTCCTGGTTGGTTGGCTCACCTTGGCAGTGTGTAGCTCAGTAAGCATAGCGTGTCCGATCGGTGTAAGGGTCCCTGGCCTGCGGGACGGCGTACGAGGAGCTTCTGGAGGAGGACACCGGGGACAGCCGCGAACGCTCATAACCATAGCTGTCAGAGGTGACGGCCACTCGTCTGATCGGGCTGCGGTCTCGCAAGTAGTACGAGGCGGCCGCCGAGGATGGTGGTAGTGGCCGACGCTCGTACAGGTCGACACTAGAGGAGAGCCTTGAGAGGGAGGAAGAGGGGGGAGGGGGGATATAGCCAAGGCGGCGCTCTTCAAAATAGCTTGAGCCGTATGGCCGTGCCCTGTACTTCTCGTAATAGTCAACATGGCTGCTGTAGCGGTCTCGCTCATAGGCCGATGCTCTCTCAGGATAAGAGCTCGGTAGCCTGCCGCTGTACCGATCCCTGGCTTCGGCGCTGTACTCCCGAGCAGAGCCATAGCTAGGCCTACGGCTCAGAGGGGGAAGAGGCGGCCCCCCCAGGTAACTGGACGCTCTGCTATACCCTAGCCCGCCCATGTAATAGGATGCCGCAGCTCTTGGGGACATCCCGTAGCCACTCGGGTATCTGTCGCCACTCCTGCTGAAACCCGGGGGACCCCGTGGGAAGTCCCTGCCGCGGCCCCTCATTAGGCCACCCCTGGGGCGTTCACCAAGGTCACCATAGCTACCGCCGTTCTGACTGCCGTTCGGGCAGTCTTTCGACCAGTGACCCTGTTTCCCGCAGACATAGCAGCCAGTTTGAGCTCCCATTCCCGGGACCGTGCGCAGGCGACTGGTGGACAGATGCACGCTCATCAGCTTGCCTTTTGAGGAGAGAGAAGAGACGCATGAGACGGTTGGGTTCTGACACGCACACCACTGCTGCTTAACGACTGTTATTTCCTCATTGCAAATACTTATATTAGCATCAATTGGTTCACCTGCACTGTTACGTTGAAACCGGATAAAATAATCACGAAAAAGACTCACGACTTTACAGTGCCATTACATATTCATTAACCTCAGAGAATTAAACCAAAATGATATTCGGCGTCACGTTACGATCTTTATGCAATCTAAAGGGAAGTGTATTCTGTAACTACGGAGAGCACAGACTATCTGCTCTCCCGTGCAAGCGGGTTCACCTTGGAAGGCTGTGTTGTCCAGCCTCCTGATGGCCTCCATGGCATCATCCACAGACTCCATGTGGACAAATGCGTAGTCTTTCACTATGTCAGCCTCCACCACAGGGCCGTACTCCTCAAACTTGGTCTTCAGCTCCTCGTTGGTGCAACCCTCTGGGATGTTGCTGACGTGCAGCTTGGTGGTGGACTTTGGTCTGCCGCGGCTCATCTCCACGTTCATTTGCTCCCCGTTGAGCTCGTAGTGGTGGAGGTTCTTGATAGCCTCCTCCGCTTCTGCTTTGTTGTTCATGTGCACAAAGCCAAAGTTCTTGACGATGTCGCACTCTGAGATCTTGCCATACTGGGAGAAGAGAGTGCGTAGCTCGTCCACCGTGGTGCCGGAGTCAAGATTGCCAATGAAGATTTTCACCATCTTCAAATCAGTGTTGTGTTATTCCTGGAAGGAGAGACAAGCAGTTGTTTGTTTTTGTTTAATATGTTTGTTTACCAAGTCAATTTCAAATGTGTGAAGCTTGAAGAAAAACACCAGGTCCAAACTTAGCTATGAAAGACAGCTAACTTTCATAACTAATGTTATATGAATAAAGGCCTACTTTATTAAAATGTCAAAAGAGAATACGTTATCAAGCTATCTGACGTAGTAGCTAGCAAACTTACCTAGCTAATGTTATCTAGTTACCTACCGCTAGCTACTTCACCAGCTAGCTGACCAGGCCAAATAGAAAAGTTAACTAGTTAACGTTAGTATTGATAACTTCCATTCAATCGTTCATGGCTATTAAGATGACGTTGTATTTTATATTTTTATCTTGCAGCTAATTTCGTAAGTCCACCGTAGTTATAAAAAGTTGAAATACCCTCACTTCTTTAGCCAGCTAACGTTAACGTCAGCTAGCTAGTAGCTGCCTGTTCTGTCTGAACTAATTTAGCTAGTTTAGCTAGCTACCTGTTCTGTTAACCTGGCTGACACACTCTAAAACCTCCAACTGAAATTCAAATGGTGTTGATAACCAAGCAAGCTAGCTTGGTCTTCGTTAACTAGTTACTATATATTTTTGTTGCAAGAAACGTTTGCATGGTGCTAGCTACTACTACTACTACTACTTCTGGTCAAACAAAACACACCACATCTTGATAATATCGTACAGGAGATCTTAGTCCTCCCTTTAGCAACTTGTTGAATACAATTCAACACTAATTGAGATGTCAACTTCCACCATGTCCCTTACCTGAATAACGAATTAAGCAGCAAATGCCAATGAATGAATTCTGAAATGGCGCCGTGATTATTTTAGGAAATGTGTGACTTCTTCTTCTTCGATGAGGTTTAACGGCGGTTGGCATCCAATTTGTTGCATTACCGCCACCTACTAGACTGGAGTACAACTAACTTATATTTTGCTTGAAAAATAAAGAAATACCCTACCATCTAACACGACACTCACAAAATATTATTAATAATTAACACCACCCTACTCCACTATTTAAATAGATTAATTCCTACCTAATGCCCTCCACCTGAAATGATGGGACATCACCACTTAACACTCCCTGTAACTCTTCTGTCAAGTCTCGCACACCCAAATACCTCTCTGCAGCTGCCACCACAACCTCAATTTTCTTCGACTTACGTTCCATCCCTGCAGTACAATTAATAACCATTGCTATAAATGCTAAAAATCCAATTTTACTGAAACATATATCACTCGATGGCCTATCCCTCTGTTCTGGTACATACAGTTGAAGTCGGAAGTTTACATACACTTAGGTTGGAGTCATTAAAAATCGTTTTTCTACCACTCCACACATTTCTTGTTAACAAATTATAGTTTTGGCAAGTCGGTTAGGACATCTACTTTGTGCATGACACAAGTAACTTTTCCAACAATTGTTTACAGACAGATTATTTCACTTATAATTCAATATATCACAATTCCAGTGGGTCAGAAGTTTACATACACTAAGTTGACTGTGACTTTAAACAGCTTGGACAATTCCAGACAATGATGTCATGGCTTTAGAAGCTTCTGATAGGCTAATTGACATAATTTGAGTCAATTGGAGGTGTACCTGTGGATGTATTTCAAGGCCTACCTTCAAACTCAGTGCCTCTTTGCTTGACATCATGGGAAAATCAAAAGAAATCAGCCAAGACCTCAGAAAAAAAATTGTAGACCTCCACAAGTCTGGTTCATCCTTGGGAGCAATTTCCAAACGCCTAAAGGTACCACGTTCATCTGTAGAAACAATAGTACGCAAGTATAAACACCATGGGACCACGCAGCCGTCATACCGCTCAGGAAGGAGACGCGTTCTGTCTCCTAGAGATGAACGTACTTTGGTGCGAAAAGTGCAAATCAATCCCAGAACAACAGCAAAGGACCTTGTCGAAGATGCTGGTGGAAACAGCTACAAAAGTATTTATATCCACAGTAAAACGAGTCCTATATCGACATAACCTGAAAGGCCGCTCAGCAAGGAAGAAGCCACTACTCCAAAACCGCCATAAAAAAGCCAGACTACAGTTTGCAACTGCACATGGGGACAAATAACTGTCCTCTGGTCTGATGAAACAAAAATAGAACTGTTTGGTCATAATGACCATCGTTATGTTTGGAGGAAAAAGGTGGCACTTGCAAGCCGAAGAACACCATCCCTGTGGGGGTCATGCTGTGGGGGTGCTTTGCTGCAGGAGGGACTGGTGCACTTCACAAAATAGATGGCATCATGAGGAAGGAAAATTATGTGAATATATTGAAACAACATCTCAAGACATCAGTCAGGAAGTTAAAGCTTGGTCGCAAATGGGTCTTCCAAATGGACAATGACCCCAAGCATACTTTCAAAGTTGTGGCAAAATGGCTTTAAGGACAACAAAGTCAAGGTATTGGAGTGGCCATCACAAAGCCCTGATCTCAATCCTATAGAAAATTTGTGGGCAGAACTGAAAAAGCGTGTGCGAGCAAGGAGGCCTACAAACCTGACTCAGTTACACCAGCTCTGTCAGGAGGAATGGGCTAAAATTCACCCAACTTATTGTGGGAAGCTTGTGGAAGGCTACCTGAAATGTTTGACCCAAGTTAAACAATTTAAAGGCAATGCTACCAAATACTAATTGAGTGTATGTAAACTTCTGACCCACTGGGAATGTGATGAAAGAAATAAAAGCTATTATTATTCTGACATTTCACATTCTTAAAATAAAGTGGTGATCCTAACTGACCTAAAACGGGTAATCTTTACTAGGATTAAATGTCAGGAATTGTGAAAAACTGAGTTTAAATGTATTTGGCTAAGGTGTATGTAAACTTCAGACTTCAACTGTACCTACTACTCTCACTACTCCTCCCCCTTGACCCATCTTCCTCTACTTTCTTCACTGCCTCAGCATATGACAACTTCTATACTACTCTTACCCTAGAAACCTCAACCTGCCTCTCTCGCACGGGACATTTCTTCTGTTTCCCCACTCTCGCCACCCTGTTTGCGTCGCACCAAACGACGAGCATCACAAACACCGGGAATCTTCCCCTTCAGTTTGTCAACTTTTACATTTACTGCTACCCCAGTAATCACTCCTTTCAATGGTGCCCTTTTCTTGAGAGCAAAACAATTCACAATTCTTTCCCCCATTTGTTTAGGAAGTGTGTGACGCAATCAAGGGGATCAAAAATAAGCAAAGGAGCCCCCGTCTGTTCAATCGAGATACTACATCAATAATAAAGTTATGCATCATGTCATGTTTTTACATAAGTTTACCAATTTCATAATACAGTTGTAAATAATCTTTGTATAGGAAAGATTCTGATCTTGTTTCATTTTCTTGTTACAAGTGGATAAAAAAGGATGACATTTTTATTAACTAACTGTACAAAGGGCCCTATAATGAAATGTATACTCAGACTAATTTGCATGCCAATCTATTTTGACACTTGCCACACACATTCTTGAGGCTTGCTAAACTGGACTGACTTCATAGGTAATGCTGTTTTATGTCTTTAAAAAACACATTAATCTTTTACCTTTTCAAAAAAGAGTTTATATTTTTATTTTATCATTGGGAATTCAATTGTTTGGCGTAAATTCAACAAAGTATAGATAAAAACTCTCAAATCCATATTCTCACATATGTTTTTCTTCAAATAAACAATTAAATAGCAACATGCATGCTCCTTCAAGTGTCTTTCAGGGATGTTACATTGGGCCAAGTCCCTCCCATGCACAACCAAACAAAAGCAAACCAGTATCATTAAACACAACGTAGTCTCACTTTGTGGCAAACACACGTCTGGTTTGAGACTAAACACAACAGAACAATATTGGAATTCATCATACTGTTCAAATTCATTAGTCTTTAAGGACTGGTTTCCCCAGATGCAGATTAAGCCCAATCCAGTCCTAAAAAGCATGCTCAACGGAGATCTCCATTGAAAACACTTTAAGTCCTGGAAAAGTCTTAATAAGCACTTTTAGAATGTATTAGCACTCTGATTTTATGGGACATATTTTCAAACGTATGAGGTGAAAACTGTTTATGTTGACATCAGGGAGCGGTGCCTCCTATGCCATGACATTACAGGTAGTGAACAGAGGATGGTGGTGTAGCGGTACATTCCGTTCACCGATGTAGTTGGTTTCCACTTCACGATGTTGTATCAGGAGACAGTGCAGACTTCAGTCATCAGTTAGTGTATTCCCAATTGCATACCAGTAAGAAAACACAATGGGGTTGAACCAGGTTAAAAGTAGTGTATGCGCATTCAAGGGGTTAGGGGTCATGACTAGGGGTCTCTCTCTGACAAGTCTTTTTTCAACAAGTTCTTCCTTGAACACACAACAGCTCAGTTCTCCCCCTGTGGCTAATTGTGTGAGAGTCTCATATGGTCTGTCTGTTCCCAATACGCAGGTAGAGGGGGTTACATCAGTTTGAGACAAGTCTACACTGAGGGCGCTCGTTCGAGTTTATTAGGTGCCAGGGGGATCGTTTGAGTTTATTAGGTGCCAGGGAAGAGCCAGTGACCTGTAGTGCCTCCTTTCTTCACACCATAAAAGCTGCCCATCTCGGGAACACACTCTTCTTCTCTTCTTCCTTTAATACAGCTTTCTCAACTTTCTTCTTTCCTTCCTTCCTCAGTCCCTTTTCTCTGTCTTATCTTAGTAGCTGCTTTCATGGCCAGTCAGGATATAGAGGTTGCTCATGGCTGATGGGTTCTCTGTGGGGGTACTCTGAAGGACGATATCCCTATGCAAACGACAAGACAGCGTGATTGGTTTTCTCAGATAACCTTTGACCCCTTATGGGATCACACATAATGTGGTTTTCAAGGTAACGGGCCAGCTAGTGTTTGGAGCATACCTGTTCGTCCCCAAGACCCGGAATACTCTGCTTTCGTCTGTGATCTCCTGCGTGACCTACAAAGATGAATGTAAATGTATTTCACTGTTTCAGAGAGATAAAATACTTACAATGCAGATCAAGCATTTCTGGTTTGAATGAGCGCACAAGCATATGGTGGAGGGAAGACATAGTAATGACCTCATTTGTGTGAAGACTCCTCCCTTTAAGACCATGCTTCCAGAAAGCCAGAACACTGTCCTGTAAACAAACTAACCACACAACAGTAATGTCACTAAAAATCTCCCACACATACGTAGTGTATAGCTGTAGCTACAGTACCTCATCCCTGTAGCTATGATTTGGTGATGAATTGAGAACATTCTATATAGTAAAGAATGACAATTGGGATTGAATGAAGTTTTTACTTAGTGTTTCAATGGGGAAGTCAAAGACCAGTTCAAAAGCCAGCTCCTTGGAAGGAAGCCCTTGTAGGGTGACAATCTTCACAGTCTCTGTAAATATACCATTAGTATTGGACATTAAAGGGCAGGTAGTGATAAGGACATTCCAGGGATATAATATATTCCAATCGAGCTCCAATAGACTCACTCTCCAGTGCAATGAGAACCGTGTCTCTGTCCAGCTGTGTTGCCTGCACGGCTCCAGGTCCGGTTCCGACAGGCATACTCTCTACACACACACACACACACCACACACACACACACACACACACACACACACACACACACACACAAAGAAAGAGAGAAATAGAGAGAAAGAGATAAATAGAGAGAAAGATAATTATACAATTCCTCTACACAATGTCTGAAATGGCCCACCCACGCTGACAGTGTGGTGAAGAAGGCACAACAAAGCCTCAGGAGGCTGATGAAATTTGGCTTGGCACCTAAAACCCTCACAAACTTTTACAGACGCACAATTGAGAGCATCCTGTCGGGCTGTATCACCGCCTGGTACGGCAACTGCACCGCCTGCAACCACAGGGCTCTCCAGAGGGTGGTGCGATCTGCTGAACGCATTCCCGGGGGCAAACTACCCGCCCTCCAGGACACCTACAGCACCCGATGTCACAGGAAGGCCAAAAAGATAATCAAGGACATCAACCACCCGAGCCACTGCCTGTTCACCCCGCTATCATCCAGAAGGCAAGGTCAGTACAGGTGCATCAAAGCTGGGACCGAGAGAATGAAAAACAGCTTCTATCTCAAGGCCATCAGACTGTTAAATAGCCATCACTAGCACATTAGAGGCTGCTGCTGCCTATTGAAATCACTGGCCACTTTAAGAAATGAAACACTAGTCACTTTAATAATGTTTACATATCTTGCATTACTCATCTCATATGTATATACTGTATTCTATAATATTCTGCTGTATCTTAGTGCATGCCGCTCTTGTCACACCCTGGCTCTGGGGACTCTATATGTTGAGCCAGGGTGTGTAGATTCTATGTGTTTGTGTTCTGTGTTGTAGATTCTAGTTGTTGTATTTCTATGTTGGCCAGAGTGGTTCTCAATCAGAGGCAACGAGTGTCAGCTGTTGCTGGTTGTCTCTGATTGGGAACCACATTTAGACAGGCTGTTTTCCCACAGTAGTTGTGGGATCTTGTTCCGTGTTGGTTGTGTTAGACCTAGGACGTCACGTTATCGTTTGTTGTTTTGTTTTTTGTGTGCACTTAATAAAATAAGTATGTACGAATATCACGCTGCGCCTTGGTCCACTCACTCTAACGATCGTGACAGCTCTGTCATTGCTTGTCCATACATGTACATATTCTTAAATTCCATTCCTTACTTAGATTTGTGTGTATTGGGTATATGTTGTGAAATTGTTAGATATTACTTGTTAGATATTATTGCACTGTCGGAGCTAGAAGCACAAGCATTTCGCTACACCCGCAATAACATCTGCTAAACACGTGTATGTGACAAATAACATTTGATTTGATTTGAATGTCATACGGTTCAAATCCTGATGTCTAACATATCTGTGCTACCTGGTGAAGAGTTTGGTGTGCCGTTCAACTCTATGATATCAAACTTCAGTTGCTGGTTGGTTGGCGGTTTCCCTTCCTCTTCCTCTGCCGTACAGCCTCTTACGCCTACACACAACTGTGGAAACTCATCTGTCACTAACACCAGTAGCTCAAAGATAGGGAGCGGATCTGGTAGACTTATGTCTATATGCTGAGAGAAGGAGAGGGAAAAAAGAGAGCATAGGAAGATACATTTTACAAGTCTAACAGACATGGTTCATCTACATAAATTGTAAGTAATCATTTGAATACCACAATATTGCGTTTTGTTATGTTAATATGCACCTTGAGCTGCATAAACTTCTGCATGGGGTCATACCACAAGAGCAGAACTAGTCCAGACGGTACAGCCCCACACAGGAACGTACTGTCTGTGTATGGGTTCCTTGCTGCGGCAGAGAGAGAGGGAGGGAGAAAGAGCAATTGAATACATCAACTTTCTTGAACATAGTGCAATGCCAAATTACGGTACACTTACCCACACTGCATCTTCGACAGCTTTTAGTGTCTGGTATCTTCACAGTTACAGCATATTTCCTGCTGATGGACAAACGTTAAAAAAACGTTAAATTAGGAGATGCACATAAATTGAAGGCAAACTTAACCCGATAAAATTAATCCACACACACACACACACACACACACACACACACAACACTCTCTCTACCTGGGGTTGATCCTCTCAGTGATGCGGTTGGTACTGAGGGACAGGTGACTCTGTTTCTGCTGCTTGTGGCCTCTCTGTTCAAACAGAGCCATCAGACTGTGGGAGTACAGCTGGGAAGACTTCCCTGAGGATGGGGGAGTAGAGGGGAGGAATGGTAAGAACAAGTGTTCCAATTTAGCAGTGCTTTTTTGAGCTTGCCTGGTGCAATGGAACCAATGGAGTGCAAACCCCACCCACCTGGAAGTCAAGGTGGGCTCAAGCAAACACTCAAATACTATTTGAACCCAGATCTGGTTTGGAGTAGTGTGGTTGATGGTGTAGGATCCTATGACCAATCGGATAGGTGTGTGATTGGGTGAACGAAAAATGGGGATGGATTGTCCTACCTGATACGGACATCAAAACGTTGTTCATGACATACAGCCATGTACATCTCTGTGGGAGCAACTGTGGGGGAAGAGAGAGGTATTAGTGGTATGCTCAGGAATTCAACACAGGCTACCCATATTAATTCACCCTTTACCATATTCATAAATGTCTGTCCCACTACCTTCTCCAGAGTGTCCTCATGGAGCTCGTTGAGGTTGAGAGTATATACACCCTCCTCTGCCCCCAGAATAAGGTACTGATCTGAGGAAGAGAAACGACGATGTCTTGGTTCATATTCTAGGTCATATGTTATAACCTTATATTAACCTCTTTAACCCTTTCTGTAACCCTACCTCTGGTTTTAGGGAGGATCCAGGTCACAGCACAGTGGATCTTCAGAGGACAACCATTGAAGACTTTAGAGAAACAGGCACCCATCTATTAAACAAAACAATATACTGTATGTTTTAATATTGTGTTGACTAATTCTGCATTCCTGTAAAATAGGCATGGTTAGACTATTGAAATGTGTCCAAAGTCCTTCTACGCATAAGCAGTGTTGCAGTGAACATTCCATCAAGCGTTCGTTAGACCAATAGCCATTAGCTAGGTCTGTATGTAAGCATGTGTTGTTAGTTATTGGTGCAGCAGTGTCATTGGTCATGTCCCTGTACTGTAGGGCACATGCTGTTAAACAAGACCTCTGCACTTACATGGACTTGAGGGGTAGGAGGGAGTCCATGACAATCAGCTCTCTAGAAGTTAAAAAGGTTACACACAACAACAAAAAGAGGGGTAAACTGTGTAGTTCAAATGAGAATGTTTAAATTAACGGAACAAAGCAGCAATGTAATGGGATCTGGCTGTTTGTTGACTATTCTGAATTCTCTCCTCCTACATTAATGTTACAAAAGGATTGTTTATTAAAGGGGATAAAACTGGATGTATTGAAACAGGTTATTAGGTTAACAAACCACACACTTTTTGGTTAACAACCCACACACTTGTTGGTTAACAAACCACACACTTGTTGGTTAACAAACCACACACCTTTTGTCACTATGACCCAGGGTTGGATGAATGGCACTTTTCAACTATTGCGTTGAAATTTCACTTTATCCCAAGTGTCTGAATTTACATTGACTTAAACCCCAACCATGCTATGTACTGACAGCCTCGAATCCATACTATATCCTGAAGCCAACTATCGTTGCCGTTACAGTATGGAGACTAATGTCCTGATATGTAGTGGGCCAACAGTGCCTTGTGTTGTAAACTCACAGAGTCCTCTGTCTTTTTCCTCAGTGTGCTCCACTCTGGAGAGAGAGAGGTTTCCCTGCTCGGAGAAGTCACTCCCCCGGTCTTCTTCTCCGCCTGTACGGCGCTCCCCTCAGAAACACTGGGGTCACTGCACCACTGTCTGCTGATGTCCTGGGTAGCAGAACACCTGGCCAAGACTAGAGAACCACACGAGAGGAGGAGAGATGGGAGAACCCATTTTTCATGTTGAGACATGTTGTCAATCTTAGCATAAATGGGAAAAGATACGATTTGGATTAAAACACACAGAAGATTTACTGTATAATTTAACATATTACGATTGCATTAGAATGCACTACTCACTAGTCAAATACAGAACAACAATTATGTTGTCAATACAAATATTGACGTCAACATATAATAATCTCGGCACCCAGAACCAAATCAGTTGTCATGACAGATTGACATATAACGTTTAAACATTGACTCTGTGTGTGGATGTTCAGTACCTGACATGGAGTTGTTGGGTGTATGGGTAGAGTCGGGCCCCAGGGTGGATCTGGGGCGGAGGGTGAGGTCCTTGTCCTCCAGGGTGGGACAGAAGGAGCCAATGGCAGGCAGGGAGGCTGTGGAAGGGCTGAATAACCCACTCTTCCTCCCACCTTTACCCCCCTACACAACCAAAGACAATAGACAAAACACCATCATATAATGCAATAGGAAATAGCTGAAAGGTAAAAAGGATTATTTTCATATATTGCATTACACTATTTCAGAAGGTAGACTTTGTTTTCTTGGGGTTCTGTTATTGGCACTTACGTCAGTAGATGGCACTCTTTTGATGGTTAAGCTCCTGGAAGAAATAGTCAATGGTAATATTGTTACTGAAGCACTCTGTGGTAAATCAAAGGTAAATCAGATTTCCTTTCCGTGTGGGATACTTGCTGTCATAGTCAATAAACTGACATGGGTTCAATTATGTTGGAACTTAATAGGACAAGATCTGGAGCAGGGCAGGGTCAATGAAATGTAAAATATACAATCAAAATAGTTATTTTATTTTAAATATGCATACCCAACAATAATAATCAGTGGTCAAATATTCTATACTTCTTTACCAGATAATGTCAAGTTACCATCAAAAGGTATTCATTTCAATGGATTAAACAAACTTCCACTGCTTCCTTGATAAGAGTTGCCACAGGGTAGAATAGTGCTGAATAGCCCTACCTCAGCTTCAGAGCTTCCTCCACACATTCTAACAGGCTCCTGAAATAGGAAGACAAGATGTTAATCTCTCTATGGAGCCACTTGTTCTGGTGTACATGATGTGACAGAGCACTGCCTGTTCTGTGACAATAGGAGCGTTGGAGCCAGAGTTCTCTCTCAATGAGGAAGCAAAGCTTTTCCTTTTACTGCAAATATGAGTCTATTGATAATGCATCTATGGATCGGGAGTTTTTTCAATATTGTTCTCGTCTCTAGTGGGGACGTCACGTCCATGGCCACACAAACACTGATAGTAGATTTGATATAATGCCCCTAATACTATGTCTTTGACATAATGCTACTACTTTTTAGAAAATTGGTGAAATGAGGAAGAGGATCATCTTACGGTGATTCAGTTTCATCTTCTGAGAGGTCCCAATCGTCTTCATACGAGCTTTGCTGAAATATGACGAAAAAACATACAACATACACATTTATAGTATCCCTGTTAATAGCATCTTTTAAACATGCCATACAAGAACTCATACATCTCGTAATCCCACTGCCCCAAATAGCCATTCTATGTTGACTTAAATGTCCCCCTACATGTCAAACACAGGAAATACATGTCACTCACCATATCAGGATAAGGCTGTGTGATTTTCCTCAACGGGGGCCCAAACTTCACTTGGTCAACTAAGGCAAGCACAGCTTAGTTAATCATGAGGAAAAGTTACACTTAAATACAATGTATGTACTTACAATTACTAACTGCTGAGACAAAATATGTTCTATGATAATTTTATGTGATTCCTTTTACTATCAGTGTAGAATGCTGGTTAACCTGCTATGGCACTGTCCATTTATTATCACTTGTTATGTATTCCAATCGATAGGTAAACTACTCTCTTGCTCAGGGGCACATTCTCACACATAGACTATATCACACTCATATCACACATCACAACCTAATGTGTTACAGTACTACCATCGGCTTCAACTCACTGTACCTCTCACCCCAGAAAACCTATTGTGATGCCCATACACAATGACTCACAACATCCCTTTCTACTAACATGCCCTGGAACCTATTGTTTGTGCATACGAGATGAGTCACAACACCCCTCTCCACTACCACCTTCTATTTGTTTTCATGTTGACATGCTTGTCTAAATATACGCTGTTTGTCCCAGGCTGCTGTAGAATGGACGCATTGTCCACCATCACCACACCCTGTGTATGCTGTAATCTCACTGATAGGAGACATAACAATAGTTCCTCAGTCACCCCCCCCACCTCCCCGACCCCCTCCTCACGCGTGGGACGCCAGAGTCATGGCAGAAAGGGAACATAGCATTTGCGTGTGCGGACAGTGCCACCTCTATGTGTCCCTCTGTGTTGGGTGACTGTGTGACTTGGTGACTTCATCTCCCCCCTTCAAGTCTCAATGGGCGTCTTGTAACAGGAGTCAGGACCCCAAGAGTCTTGTGTTGTGTGCTGCTTTGCACTCCTACATCGGCCTCAGTTCCATACATTAAGCCAGCAAGGGTGATGTTGACCTCAACTCTCCAAGCACACACAATACACAAGGATACACACACACACACCCTCTCTAACTATAGATGAGTGTCCACTTGAATTATTGTGGACGGATGTACAGTCAAAGCCCATGTACAGCGTTCAGGGCAGAAGACTCTCATTGATGTTGATTCTGATGGTTTTGCAAATAGAACTTCTATAATCCTTTTCACATATTGCGGTGATGATGCCATGTGTGGGCTGACGATGATGCTTCAGTGTCATAATTGTATAGGGATTTGAAGACTCACACTGCTCTTCAGACAGAGTCCTCTCCACAGGCAGGTGTTTCCCTGCAGACTGGATCTTATCAGGAGCAGCTTCTCCATTCTGCAGACAAACACACACACACACATATGTGTTATACACTCACATAATAAATCACATTAGGAACAAGCAATGTTCATGAGAGAGCTGGGTGATGGCCATGTGCTGGTGCGTGTGTGTGTGTGTGTGTCTTTGCGTGCATGCATGTGCGTCTGTCTGTCTATCGTCACCTGTCCTCACCTCCAGGTCGTTGTCATCCATGCTGTGTGTGGAGTGGAGGTCCGGGTTGTTGGCCATGTCCAGCAGCTCAATGATCAGGTTACGAGTCAGCAGCTGGGTCACAAACGGATGCTGGGGATACGACAAAGAGATTTTAAAAAGCTAATGACCTATAGCTCTCATACCCAAGAAAGCAAAGGTAACTGAATTAAATGACTATTGCCCCGCAGCACTCACTTCTGTCATCATGACGTGCTTTGAGAGAATAGTCAAGGATCATATCACCTCTACCTTACCTGTCACCCTAGACCCACTTCAATTTGCTTACCGCCGCAATAGATCCACAGACGATGCAATCGCCATCACACTGCACACTGCCCTATCGCATCTGGACAAGAGGAATACCTATGAAAGAATGCTGTTCATTGTCTATAGCTCAGCATTCAACACCATAGTACCCTCCAAGCTCATCATTAAGCTCGAGGCCCTGGGTCTGAACCCTGACCTGTGCAACTGGGTCCTGGACTTCCTGACGGGCCGCCCCCAGGTGGTGAAGGTAGGAAACAACATCTCCACTTCGCTGATCCTCAACACTGGGGCCCCACAAGGGTGCGTGCTCAGCCCCCTCCTGTACTCTCTGTTCACCCATGACTGCATGGCCAAGCACGCCTCCAACTCAATCATCAAGTTTGTAGACCACACAACAGTAGTAGGCTTGATTACCAACAATGACGAGACAGCCTACAGGGAGGAGGTGAGGGCTCTGGGAGTGTGGTCCCAGGAAAATAACATCTCACTCAACGTCAACAAAACAAAGGAGATGATCGTGGGCTTCAGGAAACAGTAGAGGGTGCACCCCCCTATCCACATCGACGGGACCGCAGTGGAGAAGGTGGAAAGTTTCAAGTTCCTTGGCGTACACATCATTGACAAACTGAAATGGTCCACCCACGCAGACAGTGTGGTGAAGAAGGCGCAACAGAGCCTCTTCAACCTCAGGAGGCTGAAGAAATTTGGCTTGGCACCTAAAACCCTCACAAACTTTTACAGATGCACAATTGAGAGCATCCTATCGGGCTGTATCACCGCCTGGTACGGCAACTGCACCGCCCGCAACCGCAGGGCTCTCCAGTGGGTGGTGTGTTCTGCCGAATGCATTACCGGGGGCAAACTACCCGCCCTCCAGGACACCTACAGCACCCGATGTTACAGGATGGCCAAAAAGATAATCGAGGACATCAACCACCGAGCCACTGCCTGTTCACCCCCGCTATCATCCAGAAGGCGAGGTCAGTACAGGTGCATCAAAGCTGGGACCGAGAGAATCAAAAACAGCTTCTATCTCAAGGCCATCAGACTGTTAAATAGCCATCATTAGCACATTAGAGGCTGCTGCTGCCTATTGAAATCACTGGCCACTTTAAGAAATGGAACACTAGTCACTTTAATAATGTTTACATATCTTGCACTACTCATCTCATATGTATACAGTGCCTTGCAAAAGTATTCATCCCCCTTGGCGTTTTTCCTATTTTGTTGCATTACAACCTGTAATTTAAATGGATTTTTATTTGGATTTCATGTAATGGACATACACAAAATAGTCAAAATTGGTGAAGTGAAATGAAAAAAATGACTTGTTTCAAAAAATTCTAAAAGATAAATAACGGAAAAGTGGTGCATGCTTATGTATTCACCCCCTTTGCTATGAAGCCCCTATATAAGATCTGGTGCAACCAATTACCTTCAGAAGTCACATAATTAGTTAAATAAAGTCCACCTGTGTGCAATCTAAGTGTCACATGATCTCAGTATATATACACACCTGTTCTGAAAGGCCCCAGAGTCTGCAACACCACTAAGCAAGGGGCACCACCAAGCAAGCGGCACTATGAAGCTCTCCAAACAGGTCAGGGACAAAGTTGTGGAGAAGTACAGATCAGGGTTGGGTTATAAAAAATATCAGAAACTTTGAACATCCCACGGAGCACCATTAAATCCATTATTTAAAAAAAGGAAAGAAAATGGCACCACAACAAACCTGCCAAGAGAGGGCCGCACACCCAAAACCTCTCATCACCCCGAGAACACCATCCCCACAGTGAAGCATGGTGGTGGCAGCATCATAGTGTGAGGATGTTTTTCATCGGCAGGACAATGACCCTAAGCATACTACTAAAGCAACACTCGAGTGGTTTAAGGGGAAACATTTAAATGTCTTGGAATGGCCTAGTCAAAGCCCAGACCTCAATCCAATTGAGAATCTGTGGTATGACTTAAAGATTGCTGTACACCAGCGGAACCCATCAAACTTGAAGGAGCTAGAGAGTTTTGCCTTGAAGAATGGGCAAATATCCCAGTGGCTAGATGTGCCAAGCTTATAGAGACATACCCCAAGAGACTTGCAGCTGTAATTGCTGCAAAAGGTGGCTCTACAAAGTATTGATTTTGGGAGGGTGTGAATAGTTATGCACGCTCAAGTTTTCTGTTTTTTTGTCTTATTTCTTGTTTGTTTCACAATAAAAAATATTTTGCATCTTCAAAGTGGTAGGCATGTTGTGTAAATCAAATGATACAAATCCCCCCAAAATTCATTTAAATTCCAGGTTGTAAGGCAACAAAATAGGAAAAACGCCAAGGGGGGTGAATACTTTCGCAAGCCACTGTTTACTGTATTCTATAACATTCTACTGTATCTTAGTCCATGCCGCTCTGTCATTGCTTGTCCATATATGTATATATTCTTAAATTCCATTCCTTACTTAGATTTGTGTGTATTGGGTATATGTTGTGAAATTGTTAGATATTACTTGTTAGATATTACTGCACTGTCGGAGCTAGAAGCACAATCATTTCGCTACACCCGCAATAACATCTGCTAAACACGTGTATGTGACAAATAACATTTGATTTAATTTATATAGCTCTACATCAATAAATAACCTCATCATTACTTTCCTTGATCTCTCACAGCTCCTGAGGCCCTGTTAGGGGTTCCTATTAACCATAGACATGAACACAGGATCCTAGGATCGCTATGCTTTTAGCAGCTCAGTCAGAGGCTCTCGTCCAGAGGCTCTGTCTACAATGGGCTTTTCATGAATGTTTCCTCCGCTTGTTTATAGAGAGAGGAACGCAATGTGCTCTTAGTAGTGTACAGAAGTGTACCTGCAGTAAGGTCTCGGACGACGGCCTCTTCCTGGGGTTCTTAATGAGGGTCATCTTCACAAAGCTCTGGAACCCCGCAGACCTGCAGAGAGAGGAGGGAGGGAGGGAGGGAGGGAGGGAGGGAGGGAGGGAGGGAGGGAGGGAGGGAAAGAAAGAGGGAGATGAGACAGCAAAAATGCATAACCATATTCAGAGATATGGAGAATATCAATGCTGCATTCAAAGAACAGTCTAGTGTCAGGAAGATGCTTTTAGAGAACATGTATTTCACAGATGATGCATTGTGAGGTGTGTGAATTGTTCTAGGAATACGGTGTGCTCATGTTCATCTCACCACTTGGTCTTGTCCTTGAGCCTGGGTGGCTGGAAGCTGCTTTTCGACATTAACATCAAGGCTCTGGAACATAGTTTTAATCGTTTGAAATGTTAACACAGTGGAAAACTTAGCCTGTTCGTAGATCTGTTTATTGTGTGCTTTAGCCAGCTCCTTTGTCATTCGCTGACATGTTTGCCATAACAACGAACACTACAGAGGGGGTTGCCAAAAGCACAAACAGGTCTGCTACCAGGCTTGAGATTTTGTTGTTGTTGTCACACACAAAGCTATGATACCATACTGGATCCAGAGGTATGTCGATAACCCACAAAATGCAACATAACACAAATATCTATCCATCATAATTTATCTCTCTTTCATCCAACTTTTCAGTGCAATTATTGTGGATTTAGAGGAGTGAAAGAAAAGGTGACGTAAACTATTTATTGTTGATGTTAAGGCTAGAGTCTAGATGGGACTGGTATGGAGTCTGCCTGTCTCTGTCTATGTCTGTGTCTCTGTCTGGATGTCTGCCTTTCTGTGTCTGTATCTCTGCCTCTGTCTCAGTTTGTGTCTGTGCCTCTGTCTGTGTCTGTGCCTCTGTCTGTTGTCTCAGAGCTCACCTCATAGGGTGGAGGTCAAACATGGGTGGCTGGAGCTCTGCCAGCTCGATGGCCGTGATGCCCACCGCCCAGATGTCACACAGATGGTTGTACCCGCCCTTCTTCTCCACTGCTGCCACCTCCGGTGCCATCCTGGCATGGGTACATAAACACCAGTCAGGTAAAATGGGATATTGGGGGGTATTAATTATGATGTGGTTATAATGCATTGTAAGACTTCTCATAAGGTCATATGACCCCCTTATAAAGTGTCTCATAGTCATCCTGAAAGAACATGTCCAAAAAAGGAAACGTATGACTACTGTATGACGTATCAGTGTCAGGCTAAATAACCATGGAAGTGTAGAGTTTTCAATGAAAGTCTTAACATTGAAGGTCGTGGTTTGAGTCCAGTTATCTTACCAGTACGGAGTTCCTATAAAAGACTTCCTCTTGGTTACAGAAGCACTGATCTCAGCAGCAACTCCAAAATCAGCTGCATGGAAACAAAATACAGAATCCAATATGTCTTATGAGTGGTTTCTTTTTAGCACACTAGTTAACCTCAAAGTTATCGCAGATCATGTGTATGAATGTGTGTGTGTGTGTGTGTGTGTGTGTGTGTGTGTGTTTGTAATTGATGGTATAGAATAGATGTTCACTGACCCAGTTTGACATCTCCTCGTTCTGTGATAAGGATATTCGCTCCCTATAGACAGATGGACACACACACACACACACAAAGATATGAGCTCACAAAGATGCACATAGAGCCATACACTGACAATAACATACCGTTATGTCAAAATTATACCTTTATGTCTCTATGCATTTTACTTGTTTCGTGCAGGTGGTACAAGCCCTGTTGAATAAGAAAAACACAGAAACAGTTTGACAAATCTCTCAATCTCATCCTCAGTTCACCCTACAAGCCCATAGAGCCAGTCACAACACAACAGTGGGCAAAAATCACAAAGTGCTGACAAAAATAAGGGAGGTAATGTTATGTTGCTGTGCTGTGTGTGGTGTCACGAAATATGCTGCATTGCTTCCCTGTGGTTAGAAAGACATGATTATACCAGTGGCTTATATTCATGGATGCCAAGGGAAGCCAGACTTCCCCCCCAAAAAACTCTCTGTGTTTCATAATTTTCCTTCAATTCACAAGAGGTTGAATGTATCTCATTGGAGAAAACATCAGAGCGAGCGAAACAGTGCCCCTCTGTCTCTGTACCTGTAAGCCATCTATCTGATGCTGTCTGGTCAAAAATAGTATGACATTGTTGCCGCCCGTAGCATTGAATGCAAGGGAAACCTGCGAGCATTTGGCTTCCATTGATTAAAAAAATATATTAAATGATAGCCAATCAGCATTGGGCTAAACTGAGTGAGCTCAACTGTGAATGGTCCTGGAGCACCAAAAATAAAGTGTCAAGGGAATTTGGACTTGTGGTTTTACTTAATTCTCCGTACCGGCCAATGATTAATACAGAGATTCTGATCTAACCATAAATTCATACATTGTGCTCCTGGCCTGAAAGTATGGAAGTTCAATATGTACAGTACCGGTCAAAAGTTTTTGAACACCTACTCATTCAAGGGTTTTTCTTTATTTTTACTATTTTCTACATTGTAGAATAATAGTGAAGACATCAAAACTATGAAATAACACATATGGAATCATGTAGCAACCAAAAAAGTGTTAAACAAATCAAAATATATTTTATATTTGAGATTCTTAAAATAGTCACCCTTTGCCTTGATGACAACTTTGCACACTCTTAGCATTCTCTCAACCAGCTTCATGAGGTAGTCACCTGGAATGCATTTCAATTAACAGGTGTGCCTTCTTAAAAGTGAATTTGTGGAATTTCTTTACTTCTTAATGCGTTTGAGCCAAACAGTTGTGTTCTGACAAGGTTACTACATGATTCCATATGTGTCATTTCATAGTTTTGATGTCATCACTATTATTCTACAATGTAGAAAATAGTAAAAATAAAGAAAAACCCTTGAATGAGTAGGTGTTCTAAAACTTTTGACCGGTAGTGTAGATAGATATAGAAGGCTAATGTTAACTAGCTGGTCTGGCACATCGTTGCCCATGAAAAGAAGTTAGGCTAGCGAGCAAGCATTTTAGCCAGGTAGCCTAGGACAACAAAAAATAAAAGTGTGTACTGTATGACAGAGTCATGAAAGAAAGGTGGATGGCATTGGCGTTTCTGGTTGAGTCAACATGTTCTTTTCTACTTGCAAGCGCGCGCACACACACACACACAGAAATCAGAACCATGGACAGCCACATCATATTTAGCTTACGTTGATTGGACTAAATTGTTTTTGGTATCCTTTAGTTGTCACTGTATTAGACTAAGCATAGGTGATTTGATGATGTTGAAATGTTGAAGTTGAAATGGTGCTGGAATAGTGGAGGCAGCTCCTGTTTTCTTTGTGACTTGCGGTAACTCTCCGTGGTTCTAAATCAATAGTTGTTTAGTAGTCCGAAAAGGTTGGAAACATTAACTTGCTTGACCATGCTGTAGTAGGTCATGTAACTGTCTGTTTGTGGACTTCACTGGACAGATGCTGCTCTCCGGTTTTGTGATGAAACAAAGGTGTGGTTGAATTTATTCTGCCACTGTATCTTCTTATTGTCTCGGCATTAGGCCTATATATCACAGTGAAAAGGGATATGAACTAACAGTTTATATGGCAAACAACGCAATTATCACAACACATACAGTGCCTTCAGAAAGTATTCAGACCCCTTGACTTTTTCCACATTTTGTTACATTACAGCCTTATTCTAAAATGGATTAAATAAATAAAAATCCTCAGCAATCTACACACAATACCCCATAACGACAAGCGAAAACAGGTTTGTCTAAATTTTGGCACATTTATAAAAAATAAAAAACAGAAATACCTTATTTACATAAGTATTCAGACCCTTTGCTATGAGACTGAGCAATCGGGGAGAAGGGTTTTGGTCAGGGAGGTGACGAAGAACCTGGTGGTCACTCTGACAGAGCTCTAGAGTTCCTCTGTGGAGATGGGAGAACCTTCCAGAAGGACAACCATCTCTGCAGCATTCCACCAATCAGGCCTTTATGGTAGAGTGACCAGACGGAAGCCACTCCTCAGTAAAAGGCACATGACAGCCCGCTTGGAGTTTGCCAAAAGGCACCTAAAGACTCTCAGACCATGAGAAACAAGATTCTCTGGTCTGATGAAACCAAGACTGAACTCTTTGGCCTGAATGCCAAGCGTCACGTCTGGAGGAAATCTGGCACCATGGTGGTGGAAGCATCATGCTGTGGGGATGTTTTTCAGCGCCAGGGACTGGGAGACTAGTCAGGATCGAGGCAAAGATGAACGGAGCAAAGTACAGAGAGATCCTTGATGAAAACCTGCTCCAGAGTGCTCAGGACCTCAGACTGGGGCTAAGGTTCAACTTCCAACAGGACAACGACCCCAAGACAACGCAGGAGTGGCTTCAGGACAAGTCTTTGAATGTCCTTGAGTGGCCCAGTCAGAGCCCGGACTTGAACCCGATCTAACATCTTTGGAGAGACCTGAAACTAGCTGTGCAGTGACGCTCCCCATCCAACCTGACAGAGCTTGAGAGGATCTGCAGAGTAGAATGGGAGAAACTCCCCAAATACAAGTGTGCTAAGCTTGTAGCGTCATACCCAAGAAGACTCAAGGCTATAATCGCTGCCAAAGGTGCTTCAACAAAGTACTGAGTAAAGGGTCTGAATACTTACAATGGCAAGAAAAAGAATGTGAACCCTTTGGAATTACCTGGATTTCTGCATAAATTGGTCATAAAATTTGATCTGATCTTCATCTAAGTCACATCAATAGACAAACACAGTCTGCTTAAACTAATAACACACAAACAATTATACGTTTTCATGTCTTTATTGAATACAGGGTGGAAAACGTATGTGAACCCTTGGATTTAATAATTGGTTGACCCTCCTTTGGCAGCAATAACCTCAACCAAACGTTTTCTGTAGTTGCGGAACAGACCTGCACAATGGTCAGAAGGAATTTTGGACCATTCCTCTTTACAAAACTGTTTCAGTTCAGCAATATTCTTGGGGTGTCTGGTGTGAACCGCTCTCTTGAGGTCATGCCACAGCATCTCAATCGGGTTGAGGTCAGGACTCTGACTGGGCCACTCCAGAAGGCGTATTGTCTTCTGTTGAAGCCATTCTGTTGTTGATTTACTTCTGTGTTTTGGGTTGTTGTCCTGTTGCATCACCCAACTTCTGTTGAGCTTCAATTGGTGGACAGATAGCCTTACATTCTCCTGCAAAATGTCTTGATAAACTTGGGAATTCATTTTTCCGTCGATGATAGCAAGCTATCCAGGCACTGAGGCAGCAAAGCAGCCCCAAACCATGATGCTCCCTCCACCATACTTTACAGTTGGGATGAGGTTTTGATGTTGGTGTGCTGTGCCTTTTGTTCTCCACACATAGTGTTGTGTGTTCCTTCCAAACAACTCAACTTTAGTTTAATCTGTCCACAGAACATCCAGGTGCTTTTTTGCGAACTTCAGACGAGCAGCAATGTTTTTTTTGGACAGCAATTGCTTCCTCTGTGGTATCCTCCCATGAACACCATTCTTGTTTAGTGTTCTACGTATCATAGACTCGTCAACAGAGATGTTAGCATGTTCCAGAGATTTCCGTAAGTCTTTAGCTGACACTCTAGGATTCTTCTTAACCTCATTGAGCATTCTGCGCTGTGTTCTTGCAGTCATATTTGCAGGACGGCCACTCCTAGGGAGAGTAGCAACAGTGCTGAACTTTCTCCTTTTATAGACAATTTGTCTTACCGTGTACTGATGAACATCAAGGCTTTTAGATATAGTTTTGTAACCGTTTTCAGCTTTATGCAAGTAAACAATTCTTAATATTAGGTCTTCTGGGATCTCTTTCGTTCGAGGCATGGTTCACATCAGACAATGCTTCTTGTGAATAGCAAACTCACATTTTTGAGTGTTTTTTATAGGGCAGGGCAGCTCTAACCAACATCTCCAATCTCGTCTCATTGATTGGACTCCAGGTTAGCTGACTCCTGACTCCAATTAGCTTTTGGAGAAGTCATTAGCCTAGGGGTTCACATACCCTTTCCAACCTACACTGTGAATGTTTAAATGATGTATTCAATATAGACAAGACAAATACAATAATGTGTGTGTTATTAGTTTAAGCACACTGTGTTTGTCTATTGTTGTGACTTAGATGAAGATCAGATCAAATTCTATGACCAATTTATGCAGAAATCTAGGTAATTCCAAAGGGTTCACATACTTTTTCTTGCCACTGTATGTCAATGTCATTTTTCCGGTTTCTATTTTTAATAAATTAGCAAAACTTTCTAAAAACCTGTTTTTGCTCTGTCATTATAGGGTATTGTGTGTAGATTGATGAGGGGGAAAAAACAATTTAATAAATTTTATAATAAGGCTGTAACCTAACAAAATGTGGGAAAAGTCATGGGATCTGAATACTTTCCGAATTCACTGTAGGTTGTAATATGGCTTTTTTTCCTGGCTTGGCTTCCTCAGTGATTTTATCCACACACCGCTACTGGATTATACTGTGACCGTATGTCACAGTTAGGAAAGTGACAGAACTCAGAACTTATAGTACATCACTGGGCTGACTAACCTGGAGCGTTTCTCTGCAGATGTAGGCTATCTGCTTCTCCTTTAAAGGCCCAGTCACTGTGGAAATACCAGTAGAGACCTGAGATTAATGGCCATGCAAGGGAGGAAGGAAAATACACAGCTATAAATTAAGGTCAATTCAGTTGTAGCAATACATACCGTGGTAAATGTCTTGTAACGACCCCCCTCCACAGTACTCCATACATATCCACAATTTAGTGTTTCTGCAAAAATGGGAGATACAGTTTTATTACCAGTCGGGAATGCATTCTGTTGTCTTTCCAGACAAAAAAATCGGAATATGGATTAAAGGAATATTTTTGACCAATCGCTATGAACTTGGTTGTAGAGGAGAATGGAGTAGGGACGGTTTCGCCATCCAAACAAATCACAATATTATCTGACCTTGAAATTACAGAGGTAACATTCAGACGTTCCAAGAGGACTAAGCTAAAAAGGTGAAAACCTTGAGTAAAATAATTTGAGACTCAGCAACAGTGTGGGTGTATGCGCGCACACACACACACATATGCGACGTGCATACATGCATACGTTTTTTCCCTGTGTGTATGCATGCGCTTGTTAATGACTGAATTCTATAAACAACAGAGCTTTTTGTGTGTATCATATTCATTTTGAGTGCCACAATTGCTGTAGTGTGGGAGAGAATGTTGCATTCTAAATCCTAGTAGTGGGTGTTTGAGGTAAGAGTGGAATTCAACACATCCAAGAACACCCCAATCCAAGGAATTCCACGGATGGACGTGGACTCTCATGAAGTGTAAAATTAGACAAGCTTAAAGATGTACCTATGATAGCTGCCGAAATAGGCCACAATATTCTTGTGCTTGCATTCCTTCATCATAGTGATCTCCTGTTGGATGGATGTGATGTCATCACCTAAACAGGGAGAATGCAGGTCACATTTCCTGACATCTCAAAACAAATAATAATACTAGTACTAGAACTACTACAACTACTAGCTACTTCTACTTCAACTACTAGCCTACCACTACTACTACTACTACTAGCCTACTACTACTAGCCCACTACTACTACTACTACTAGTACAACTAGCCTACTACTACTGCTGCTAGTAGTAGTAGTTAACTGTGTCACACACACAATAGATTGTCTATAAAGAATTAAGAATGTACTACACAAAGCATGCATGAAGGCAAAACACGCAAGAAATAACGCATAATACAGGTCTGACAAGACTGAGCTGTTCACTTACCAGGATCCAGTTTGACTATTTTGATGGCCGCCATTGCGGAACTCTTGATTTTGCGAGCCTGAAAGAGAGGGTGAACTTAGATGTGAGTGATTAATACTGTGAACTTTATACAGGGAATACAGGCTACAGAACAACATGCTCGTGTATTTAGTCAGCAGTACATAGACCTACAGCACTAGACACCTACATTGGGGACCAATGTAATCAGTTTCCTCGCGTCAATTGCATCAACTTGCTGATGTCTCATTGCAATTGTTCTATTTACAACAGTCAATTAGCTGTTTACAATCATTAAAAAATATATATATACAATTTATAACTGTAAATACAATTTCTAAGTATTGGCAATGGAATACTGTACATAACAGCTAATGCAATCTGAATACCAAATATCTAGATCTATATAGTTATGATAGTCCTATTTGTGAAATTCAAATGAAAAGCAATTTTCATTTTCAAAAACCCCTAGTCAGCCATCTTGATGATAAAAGACCCAATATTAGACCCTGGGCTGGCCGAGCTGGTCGCATGCTGTCTCTGACCTTCAGCTTCACCTTGTAGAAATGCAACAGCAGGAGACAGAGACAGGCGCTGCTGGGGACACTATAGTAGTGAGAGGTATGTTCTACACAGTCCCAGGTTGTATCTGAAACGACACCCTATTCCCTATATAGTGCACTACTCAAAAGTGATGTACTGTATAGGGAATAGTGTGTCACTTCAGACGCAGACGCAGATCCTTAAGTCTATATCAGGACATAAGAGAGAACAGGGGGAAAAGTCCCTGACTTTGAATCCAGAGGATGTTGTTTATAATGTCCATCCGACGTTCGTCCATCATTTCCTCTTGTTTTATCCTTTAAACATGGATTGCTCCCATTCTTTCTGACAGGTCAAACGGTAAAGTGACGTCAGGTCGTAACTCTATGCCCAACAAAGATAGAATCAGCCAATGGGCTATCAGGTTGCCTGTAGAAAAAACCTGAAGCTTGGCTACACAGACTTCCTGTTTTTTTCCTGTTATACCAGAGCACTTCCTGTGACTAAAGTGACAGTAATGTCTCTTTAAGGTTCGCCACTGGGCAGCATGAAATAACAGTGTGTTGTGGGATAGAGTTGACAGACAATGGTAATGAAAAGAAAACTTTACCACTACTTTGATCAAAGTTCCAAAAGTAGTTCTTTCTCACAGGGCTTGATCATTGAAATTCCACACAATAAAAACACAGACGGCTTTTCCCTACTTTTCCATACAATAATTCAGAAGTACAGTGGGGAAAAAAAGTATTTAGTCAGCCACCAATTGTGCAAGTTCTCCCACTTAAAAAGATGAGAGAGGCCTGTAATTTCCATCATAGGTACACGTCAACTATGACAGACAAAATGAGAAAAAAAAATCTAGAAAATCACATTGTAGGATTTTTTATGAATTTATTTGCAAATTATGGTGGAAAATAAGTATTTGGTCACCTACAAACAAGCAAGATTTCTGGCTCTCACAGACCTGTAACAACTTCTTTAAGAGGCTCCTCTGTCCTCCACTCGTTACCTGTATTAATGACACCTGTTTGAACTTGTTATCAGTATAAAAGACACCTGTCCACAACCTCAAACAGTCACACTCCAAACTCCACTATGGCCAAGACCAACGAGCTGTCAAAGGACACCAGAAACAAAATTGTAGACCTGCACCAGGCTGGGAAGACTGAATCTGCAATAGGTAAGCAGCTTGGTTTGAAGAAATCAACTGTGGGAGCAATTATTAGGAAATGGAAGACATACAAGACCACTGATAATCTCCCTCGATCTGGGGCTCCATGCAAGATCTCACCCTGTGGGGTCAAAATGATCACAAGAACGGTGAGCAAAAATCCCAGAACCACACGGGGGGACCTAGTGAATGACCTGCAGAGAGCTGGGACCAAAGTAACAAAGCCTACCATCAGTAACACACTACGCCGCCAGGGACTCAAATCTTGCAGTGCCAGAAGTGTCCCCCTGCTTAAGCCAGTACATGTCCAGGCCCGTCTGAAGTTTGCTAGAGTGCATTTGGATGATCCAGAAGAGGATTGGGAGAATGTCATATGGTCAGATGAAACCAAAATATAACTTTTTGGTAAAAACTCAACTCGTCGTGTTTGGAGGACAAAGAATGCTGAGTTGCATCCAAAGAACACCATACCTACTGTGAAGCATGGGGGTGGAAACATCATGCTTTGGGGCTGTTTTTCTGCAAAGGGACCAGGACGACTGATCCGTGTAAAGGAAAGAATGAATGGGGCCATGTATCGTGAGATTTTGAGTGAAAATCTCCTTCCATCAGCAAGGGCATTGAAGATGAAACGTGGCTGGGTCTTTCAGCATGACAATGATCCCAAACACACCGCCCGGGCAACGAAGGAGTGGCTTCGTAAGAAGCATTTCAAGGTCCTGGAGTGGCCTAGCCAGTCTCCAGATCTCAACCCATAGAAAACTTTGGAGGGAGTTGAAAGTCTGTGTTGCCCAGCGACAGCCCCAAAACATCACTGCTCTAGAGGAGATTGCATGGAGGAATGGGCCAAAATACCAGCAACAGTTGGTGTGAAAACCTGTGAAGACTTACAGAAAATGTTTTACCTGTGTCATTGCCAACAAAGGGTTATAACAAAGTATTGAAGAAACTTTGTTATTGACCAAATACTTATTTTCCCCACCATAATTTGCAAATAAATTCATTAAAAATCCTACAATGTGATTTTCTGGATTTTTTTTTCTCATTTTGTCTGTCCATAGTTCACGTGTACCTATGATGAAAATTACAGGCCTCACTCATCTTTTTAAGTGGGAGAACTTGCACAATTGGTGGCTGACTAAATACTTTTTTTCCCCACTGTATGTTGCACTAAACTGGCCTCGAGACATTATTGATATTCAGTGAGAGATAGATCCCACAACTGCAACAACAGCACAAATGGAAATGTGTGTGTGTGTGTGTGTGATGTAACTTGCAATAACAAACAACTAGCAGCCCCACAGTGTGACAGTGATGACTGGGCTCTGCAGTGCTGCTGCTGGTTTGTAAAACATATTTCTGTTCTGTTGTTTTCCCCTACCACTGAACCTCAGGCAATCTCAGTCAGGTGACAGGTCATAAGTTTATAACCATGAATGTACGTACATATGACTCCTCAACCTGTCTTTGGCCTAGTTTCACCAGACTACAAGACAAAATAACTATTCACTCGTAAAAGCAACCTCCCACTGAGGTCTTTGAGATTAATATCAGGGCAACTTTAGAGGCATGAAATCTATGCTTTCTTGTCTGACATGGGCTTCATTCTTTATTTACATAGCTGCAACAGGTCACACACTCGAGAGCAGAACCCTCAGCTGAGTAGCTGAAGGGTTTCCTGGATCTTGTGAACAACGGTCATCTAATGAATGTCCACAGGGTCAGAGAGCCCACTAGATCACATGGCCAGTGGTTTGATCCCTGGCCTCCACAGAGCTCGAGTAAGGATGGAGAAACAGAACAGTGGAGGAGAGGAGGACAACAGCGAGGTAGTGGGAGGTGATAATAGGCCATTGTCTATGGAACAGTAACAGTTTCTCCATTCACAGCAGGCAGGCACAGCCCGGGCAGTGACATGGCGCTAAGGCATGGCAGGGGTGGTACAACATTACATAACGTCAAGACTGAGTGAAACAGAGGACATGTCAAGGGGACATTTTGAATTGATCATATTCATAAAGCATTAGACCAAAAGTTAACATAATTGTGCTTCCTGTAAATGTTGTCTGTTGTGTCTGTTTTACATTTGTAGCCTATTGGATACCAAATGTTTCGGGCAGGGGAGGAGGCACACAGCAATTTGAGTCTGTTGCTCTTGCAGGATAATAATAATAATAATATGCCATTTAGCAGACGCTTTTATCCAAAGCGACTTACAGTCATGTGTGCATACATTTTTGTGTATGGGTGGTCCCGGGGATCGAACCCACTACCTTGGCGTTACAAGCGCCGTGCTCTACCAGCTGAGCTACAGAGGATGCATGTATTAGACATTCAGGGTGGGATCACCGGATGTTTTTACCCTGCAGCTCACATCCCCAAGTCAAAATAGATGAGACTGACTAAAAAATACCTTATTGATAGTCAAGATACATAAAACATAAATGCTGATAAAAGTCACAGTGCCCTTCCTTTCTTGTAACATCCCTGGTCTTAAAAAGGTGATCTATGACATAAGACTAGTCATTTAAAAAAACAGCACAAAATGAGAGTATATTGCAGATAGCTTTTTAGTATTGCTGAGAGGAGAGCTAATAAAAAGTTATAGTAATGAAATGCCTTGAGCCCTGACAAATGTTCCTGTAGTGGCCTGTGTCCTGATGGATGTTCCACTAATGGACCAGCCCGGATGCCATCCCAGCCGGATTATGAATACTGAACGGCAGATTAGTGTATGGGCATTCACCATAGGCACTTAAGGCATCATTAAGATGTGGGCTCATTGACTATTCCCGCATTATTCTCATTTAGCGGTCACACAGGCAGGGGCGCCATACCCAACCTGTTCCCATATAGTTATTGGTTACCTGTATACCCCTTATTTGTTGAGTGGTCATAAATGAAGTTTAACATAGAATATGATGTTAAGAGCGTTAAAGTTTGATTAGATTTTAGAGAAAAGACACCTTGATAAAAAGGTATGGTGGCTGCTCTTCTATCCAGTTTTGAATGTTTAGCCTGTCAACATAAAATGCAAAACAAATTCCATTGTGGAATACATGAAAAAAAAAAAAAAAGTGTTCATAAACAGCTAGGCTACGTTGGTTTAATATGACTTGACATGTCAACGTCGTAGCCTAAACCATAGGTAGCCTATAAAAACGCATAAATGCGCATACCTCCAAGACGATCTGATATTTTCCCCACTCACGACTCACCTTGAACACATCTCCGTACGTGCCACTCCCAATACGATGAATTAACTCGTAATCATTCAACGGGTCCAAAAAAGAGACTCCAATAGTAGTATCCATGCTTGCAGACAGAACTGCGTCTGGTCTCTCACGCACGTTTCTATTCACTCATGACAACAATACATACAGCGAATCAACAACTGTGTGCGCCATATAGTTGCAGTAAACCCTGGGGCGCAGTCTCGAGTGAATACTACACCACGACTCTTCTGACCAAGCAAATATAACTGATAGCCTGACAGTAACAGTATTGATTACGTCGCCTGACACCACAAATATCCTTCTTCCGAGTCATTCATGTTATTCTAAGCGAACCCGCCAGATCATGCACGGTGTGTATGTATCAAGTCAAGTGATCTCAATTCCGAAGTCTTAGACTATTGGCGCATGACAGAATTTTACTGCTCATTAAAGCAGACGAGCAGATGATGCACACTGTACATCTCAGACATCTATGAATAACCCATTATGACATGTGCAACAGTATTCCCATTATATTCAAAACAGAAAGGGTATCATATTTTACATTATTTTATTATCTGCAGATAAAAAACAAGTTATCAAGCAAAATACTACTGTATGTAGCTGGGACACCTACAGCAATCCCCTTTAAACAGTGCATGGTCTTTCTGGTCACTTTCTAATTATGAGGTTGCCTATTGCAGCTCTGGCTAGTCTCAAAACTAAAGGCCACCTAAATTAGGAAAGAGAAAAAAAAGGCGACGTATAAGGCAACGAATAGCTAGCATAGAAGAGACAACATAGCAGGGTTGGACATTGTTACACGGTAATAGTCCGAATCACTTCCACGGATTTCAGTCAAAAAGATTAAGTCAAGACTAGAAAATATAGAATGGAATTCTGACTGCTTTAACAGAGCAATTCCCCCATCCCATAACATGTTTAGGGACAGGGTGTTTTCACCATCTAAACGCCCATTACTTTGGCTTTAAAATAACCTCCACACATAAGTAATTGAGAACTCAACAGTTGATGTGCGCTACTGCCCTGTTGATCCTCACAAAGTGACAGCAATTTAAAAAATGTAATGGCCCACGATACACAATCATTATTGAATCACAAGATTAAAAGGTGCGACTTGACCAACATATGTTCAACCTTGATTATGGTGACTACCTCCACTCTTAAAACACACACGTACACGTGTCATGTGCTTACCGACCCTTGTATGACCTTATTGGTAGGGCCGGGATGATACCAGTATCACAATATTTTTTCCATGCCAAAAATGAAAACATGAACCAGACCAAAGTCTTTGGTCCTTTAAAAACCTGCTGTACATACAATATTGTGTGCTATAGCTTGGAAAATAAATAAAAAATGTGACTCTGGATGACAACTTGATGATTTATGTTTCCAACATTAGGGCTGTTTTCCTAAAGAAGTTAAATCTGCTTTGTATTGTTTCCTTGACACTATACTAACGAGTATCGTCCCAGCCCTATTTATGGGGACTTGTGATATGATTACTAAAATAACCTTTGGATGAAAAAAGAAAGTAAATCGCAGAATGTGAAGGAGATGCAAGCAAGTTGATGCTGCAGTCTTCTTTGTGTTGCCTTGCCTCTCAGTCACAGTACAACAGATATGTCCTACAGACAGTCTCATCGTTTTTTCTCCCAATGAAGAGAAAGTCTAGCCTGGTCCCAGATCTGTTTGTGCTGTATAGTCAACTCTCATGATAATGACCATAGGATTTGGCTATACAACACAACCAGACTTGGGAACCATGCTAGAGAAAGTTCTACAGAGTCCTCCTTCTACAGAGATTTACGCTGGCGCTTCATAAAGGACATGGTGTAGTCTCCCGACGGCGTGCTCTTCTGCCTCTTCATCTGCACCTGTGACTGGGCGGTGAGCTGGAGCTTGATGGCGCTGGAGTTGACCTTGGCTGCAGACAGCAGCTCCTTCATGCCCTTCATCTTCTTGCTCTGGAAGGCCACCAGTGGACCCCCACTGGGGGAGGGCAGCTGCTGGGGAGGAGAGGGCACTGGGCTGGAGGACTTGGCCTTGCATTCGGGGTCTCCACCGCGGAGCCCTGAAGAGCGACGCCGCGTCCCGCCCTCGCCACCTACTTTCTTAGCCTGGGTGGGTTGGGTTGGTGGTGGGACAGGGGTGGTGGGGGTGGATTGTGTAGGAGGGGAAGCCTGGTCTTCCAGTCTGGACTCACGCCTCGGGCCACGTCTCCGGCCTTCGCGAGGGTCCTCGCTGGATTGGTCATCGTCGTCCTGGAGCTCCGGCTCTTTGGTGATGATGGACACTTTCTGACGGATCTGTGGAGGATGTAAATACATTATATATACAAAAGTATGTGGACACCCCATTCAAATTAGTGGATTCGGCTATTTCAGCCACACCCGTTGCAGACAGGTGTTTAAAATCAACCACACAGCCATGCAATCTCCATAGACAAACAGTGGCAGTAGAATGGCCTTACTGAAGAGCTCAGTGACTTTCAACATGGCACCGTCATAGGATGCCACCTTTCCAACAAGTCAGTTCATCAAATGTCTGCCCTGCTAGAGCTGCCCCGGTCAACTATAAGTGCTGTTATTGTGAAGTGGAAACGTCTAGGAGCAACAACGGCTCAGCCACGAAGTGGTAGGCCACACAAACTCATAGAACTGGACCGCCAACTGCTGAAGCGCCTAGCGCATACAAATCGTCTGTCCTCGATTGCAACACTCACTACCGTGTTCCAAACTGCCTCTGGAACCAACGTTAGCACAATAATTGTTCGTCGGGAGCTTCATGAAATGGGTTTCCATGGCCGAGCAGCCGCACACAAGCCTAAGATCACCATGTGCGTCAGCTGGAGTGGTGTAAAGCTTGCCGCCATTGGACTCTGGAGCAGTGGAAACGCGTTCTCTGGAGGGATAAATCACATTTCACCATCTGGCAGCCCGACGGACGAATCTGGGTTTGGCGGATGCCAGGAGAACGCAGCAAGGGGGGGGGGGGGGGGGGGGAATCAACTCCATGAGTTTGGAATGAGATGTTCGACGAGCAGGTCTCCACATACTTTTGGTCATGTAGTGTAATTTACAGTGAACACAACGTGAGACAACATAATTAAAAGGTGAGAAAGAAAAAAAGGACACAATAACATTGTTTCAAAGGGATGTACCACTACAATCTACAGCCAAGGTTTGTGGAAAGACCATGTTAGATTGTATTTGGAGTAGAATATCTCTTTAAAGTGAATGGGGAAGGGTTTCGGTTTTAAATCAGGTTTGTGGTGTTTTACCTGTGCGTCAAAGCGACTGAGGGACTGGACCAGGTAGGTGGCCCAGCCCACGTGAAGGACAGGGGTGGGGCTGCCCTCCTCCCACTTACAGATGCCGTCATAGAAACGCAACAGGTGGGCAAAGCATTCTGGGTCCTGGAGGGCAGCGGCCTGAATGGGCAGGTCCTGAGGGGGGTGGAAGAGAGAGTGTGAGGGAAATTGTTGATAGTTTCCTTTTAAAAGGAAACTAACAGAGAATAGCTAGAGGCATTAGCTGAATGCCTTGTTCTTTGACTTGAGATTAATAAGGGGAAACATTTTATTCCATTCTCATGTAAAATTCCACTAGTGCCTTGGTGGCATTACCTTCTCTCCTCCCTCGCTCCCCTCTCCTCCGCTCTCAGCAGCTGCAGCTGTCTCCTTCAGCAGGGTGGGGATGACGTCGTTGGCAATGTCAAAAAACTCCTTGTAGATCTCTTCGTCCTCGCGGAAGTAGTTGTAGCTGAGAGACGGGTGAGAAATCACACATTCTAACACACATACGAAGTGTGACTTATTGAAAAGTGGCAATTCTTGACTATCTATCACTAATAAAATTGTCCTGTTATTTGTTTTCCACATAAGCAGTACATGGGGTACTAAAGGTGTGTGCACTTGTAATCACTGTTGTATCCCTTATTTTTTGTGGGAAATCAAAAACACTATAGCAAACACTCAAAAACGTCATGTTTTGTATATCTTTGTAGATCACACGCCATGTTCCTTTTTGTCGTGATAGCGAACAGAGATTAAAGAACAATAGGTGAAACAGGAAAGGAAAGGCAGAGGGGGAAAGGGAAGCTGAGAGAGGAGGGGAGGGACGGAATGCACCGACTGCTGCTCTGGGCGTGCCTGTCTCTCACATCCTAGAGAAGACATTCGGTCAGTATTTTTAGCCCTGGCAGGGCGATGAAGAGTGTGTTTAAGTGAGAGGAAAGTGCAGAGAACTGTTTCAAGCTATATAAATGGGTATAACGCCATACAAAACGGAAATACTGCCATGCAAAACCTCAAGCTAGAATGAAATGACAATTTCAGACAACTTGCTCTGGATTTGAGACGACAACCACTGTAACTAACGCCATAAAGTTCTGAGGAAGTGTTCAAAAACATTACTGCTAGGGATCTGCTGCCCTCTGCTGTCAGAAAGGTGAAACGTCAACTGATGTAAATTGTCACTGCATACCTCAGCCAGAGATGGTCAACAGGCTTTGTCTCAGCATCCATGGAGATTTCAATATAACTTATCATACCGTATAAGGCATTACCATAACCACCTAACAAGGACACTTAAATTAATGATGCCAAAGGTTATTTCTGTGGGTCAAACACACTTATTGCAATAAGACTGACAGTTGACACAGAGGAGTAGTGTGTAAGATGCATAGAGAAGGTAGCTAGGCTGGTTGCTCCAGTAACATACTCCTGCATGACCTGTGCAGCCTCGGCCCAGGCCCCCAAGGCCTCCCGGACCTCCCTGTGTCTGTAGTGGTAGCCAGCCAGGTACATGAAGGGGTAGATGTGCTCGTTGTTGTAGTACTTCTTAGCAGAGTTCACAGCCTAGAAACAAAATACAAACACACTTTAAGCATACGAATTCACACTAATGACAAAGTTTGGGAGTGAAAGCCATGTTAATGAAATAACCTGTATTTTAAGATCATTACATTTTTTTTCAAGCCTTTGGTAAGCTTTTCATGAGAATGTGTACAGGTCTCCACACACTCACTTTAAGGTGAATGGCGTGGGGGCTCTCTTTGCCAGGGATGGGCTCCTGGTCCTCCAGGTCTGCCAGGGTGCCCATGGCCATGGGGTATCTATGGCACAGCAAGGGAAAAGAGCTTGAGTTTGTTGATATGACAGAATAAGAACATTTTTACTTAAGAAAATAATTCATTTGGATGTAACCATGAGGCATTTTCACCACAACAATTCAAAACAACTGATCGTTTTTCAGATACTTTTTGGTACATTTAAAAAAACAAAATCACCTTTCCAGGTCTCCTCGCTCATACAGCAGCCATAGAAGCCTCTGTGCACAAAAAAGATCAGAGAAAGAGGACATCACACAGAAGCACTGATCAAGTAAATATCAACTACAGTTCGGGCACGCTTGATGTCTTGGACTTTGATGATGCCGACAGGTGCAACTCTCCCCTTCCAATATCAGGAACTCCTATTCATTATATCACACATGTGCTTGTGCAGGGATCCCCAAACTTTTTTGCGTCGGGCACCCCTTGTGATTGCAAATTCATCAGGGACCCCCCCTCATAATATCAGAACACAACTTTTAATTTAGAGTGCGATAAAAATAGCATAGAAGCAGTTTTACAAGACTTCTGCAGTACATGACCCGAGTAATTAAGTCTCGGGCCCTGGGAAATAACATCTTAAAAGGGCCCTCCTAAAAAAAAAAAATCATTTAGCAGACGCTCTTATCCAGAGCGACTTACAGGAGCAATTAGGGTTAAGTGCCTTGCTCAAGGGCACATCGACAGATTTTTCACCTAGTCGGCTTAGGGATTAGAACCAGCGACCTTTCGGTTACTGGCACAACGCTCTTAACCACTAAGCTACCTGCCACATTTTGCAATTATAAAGCTAATTTTCTGCAATTCTGCACATTTTGCCTTGGGGGAGAGAACATTTGCAGTTTTAAAGCTTAAATTATAGCATTTATTTTCAAAACAACATTTTGTGGGAATAAAATATGAATTTAGTTGATTCTTGTTTTTTATACATTTTGAGATCTGGCCATGGACCCCTGACCCCACTTTGGGAACCCTGTGCTAGTGTACATCTATTGTTGATATTGGTGGTGGTCTGACCTGCTGAAGTTGTAGAATCTCGGAGCTGTCAGTGTGCAGGTCCAGAGAGGGGTTGATGGCACACACCATGAAGGCCACCTCCATGTTCCTGTTACACTTCATATAGGAGCCCTTTAGGTACAGCCAGCTCTGGGGAAGGGCGGGAGAGGTGGGGGTTAGGGCTGAGAGGTGTTGTGTTTTACTCTGTGCTTACAAATTCAAGGTGAGAGAAGTGTGTGTGTGTGTGTAGAACAGCTGTTATATGTAGCTATATTAAAAAAGTATGTGAGAGTGCATGTTATTATAATGAAATGTAATGTTTCTGCAGGGGATGGAAGTATCTCTGTACCTTACTTACCCTCTCACCGACACCGGCAGCAACTGTCTGCCCCCTCCGGTCCTCGTTGCCCTTTCCGTGCCAGGTGACCTCTGCAGTCTCCTCTCCGTTCTTACCAAAGATGACCCAGGCGTGGTCCTCGGACAGGGCCAGGTGCACGTCCCGCAGCCCCAGCACCTGGCATGCCGCCACCACCGCAAACGCCACCCCCGAGCTGTCCAGCTTTGTGCCTGTTCAAAATGACAAAAAATGATAAATTATTAGTAGCTTTACCCCTCGTTCAGACAACTGATTGGTGTGAGTATGGACACACTGCAATGACACAGAAACATGTTTGTCCAAGAAATACAGCTGCTGGGCCACAAATGCAATACAGCTAAACATCCAACATATGAGATTGTATCAATATTATACATCACATTCAATTAATGTAGTTGTACTCCCATATAACCCGTCCCTGCACCCAATGACCCCTACCAGTGATGAGACTGAAGAGGGACTGGATGTGGGCGCGGTCCTTAAAGTAGGAGCGGCTCAGGCTGTTCCAGATGACGTCAGACACTTTCTTCACAAGTTCCCTGCTGGACTCGCCGGCAGGCCTGCGGTACTGGGACAGATCCACCGCGCCCCGGATCTGGGCTGCGAAGCGCTCATGCAGGGCCGATAGCATCCCTAACTCCACTGTTGGAAAGCAGGAGTTTGGGCAGTCTGGCTCCAGCGGCTCAAAGCGCACCCCCGGGACATTTATTGGTATGACCCGGTTGACAGCCAGGAAGTGTTCTACAAAGCCCAGGACCAATGAGAGAAGGGCTAGGTCTGGTTCGGGTTTATGGAGCTCCGCTTCGAACAGCGCAACCACACCACCAATCCCCTTCAGGGGAAAGTGCTTCTTCTGGGCTGAGTGTAGCCCCATGTTGACCCCTCTCCTCTGCCACAGCTAGCTGTCACTCACTAGGCTGGTGTGTCTTCTCCACTCTCAGCTGTAGTGATGTCATAGGGGCTGGATGAGAGCAATGTGGAAATCAGTACCAGCACACACTTTGAAATCACGTGTGCAGTATTTTTTCCTTAAAATTCAATGGCATTTTTCACCTCATGGAAAAACATTTAATAGACTAGGTTGCCTTAGTGGGCGTGGCATTTATCCACGTATCCATTCATTACGCAAAATGTGTTTAAAATGGTCAACTAATACCGGGAAGAAATATTGATATCTGATACAAAACTGGGATGATTAAGAATAAGGTTTTCAAATAATAACAAATCCAGATTATTATAGCTAACAAACTTTTCAAAGAGCTGGTAGTGCATTCAGATTTCTATCACCTGAAGCACGAGCACAAGATACTTGCCGAGCTCTCGCACGTGTTTAGCTACATGGTTCTGCGCATGCTTCAGGTGATAAAATCTGAACGCAATACCAGTTATAAAGTTTGTAATTATACTTTCCTGTGGTTATATTGTCTCACATTACTACCGCCAAAATGACCAACCGTACAGATAACCGGTAAAGTACATTAAAATATAATTGTATTCAACATTCTGGCTTGTAGAGGTGTTGAGAGTTAACTTTCCTGATTCAAACGCTCATTCTGGCACCTTAGAGGATGCTGCCCTGCTATGTAACGTTACATAGGCATAGACATGGAACACTGGTCACTTTAATCATGTTTACATACTGTTTTACCCATTTCATATGTATATACTTTATTCTAGTCCATCCTATTCAACTATTGCTGTATAAATACTATTATATCCACGTATTCTTCAGATATACTATATATTCTATCCACACACGGTCCATAATGTCTATACATCCAATCACACACACACACACCTCTGGTATTGTTATCTATTACTGCATTGTTGGAGCTAGGAACACAAGCATTTTGCTACATCCGTAATAACATTTGTTAAACACGTGTATGCAACCAATAAAATGTCATTTGATTTCTGCCTGGCGTAGAATTTAATGCAATTCAACGTCGGGTTTCCAGGCAACTAACTACAGTAGCTAGGTAGGTTAGATAGTTTGCTGAAACTGAAAGGTTTCAACAACCCACACAAGACCGGAAAATTAAAAACAAGCTAGCTAACGTTACCTAGCTTATTATTAAGATTCAGTTCTGGTCAACACCAAACATGCAGGTGGAGGAAATGTATTGAAGCTAAAACAGGCAGATGCAAATGACAACAAATATGCTAGCTGAGCTAGCAAACTATGCTAGCAGTAATCATGCCAAAATGTAAAACTACATGAACACAACTTGTGTATTTCAATCAACTTAAACATTCCCAAACTCATAGCCCGCTCATTAAATTTTTACAAGAAACCTAATACGTACCCGTTTGTTCAAAGCTGCACCCACATGTTTTTGTTTGTGCCTTGCTTTTGCCGCGCAGTTCTGACTGTGTTGGTCTGTTCAAATGTGTCAGAACTCGAAGATTTGGCGCGCTTGCTCAATCTTACATTGAGTCGCGCTCAATGTAAGATTAGTTCAGAGTATCCTCATATCTACGAAGCTGCACGCCCAGTTTACACGTGTTTGAACAAGCGCCCTTGTTTCTGGGTTAGTGCTATCAAAGACTATGGATAGACTGACAAGATATATAGCTCTCCGCCCTAACAATGGAGTCGTTGTCCATGGCACGCCGGGCTGTCTAGCGCCCACGTATCCTTTTTTTGGATTGGTGGACACATCTCATTATTGTAATCCTTTTTGAATATTCGATGAGGGTTGATGACGTCAACCGCCTGTATTCAATGGAGAGAGAGATGCTTTGCTACTAGCCTCATGTCATGAATATCCATAGCAATCTCCAGACAACTCCAAGACGTCTTTTTTCTCAAAGTTGCCGGAATGTCACGTGTCCTACTTATATCAGTACACTCCTAACAACTTAAGCATTACGAAACTTCTATTCGATCAAATTAACCTCACCTAGGAAGTAAGCCATTCATTTTTTGTTGTTGACTAAAGTCGACTCTCTCGTTGACCTCCATACAAAAACTCCTTGCTTGGTGTGCGAAACAACGAAAATACGCCACCTATTGGAGGGAGACAGATTTTCCGCCGAGTTGGGTCTCTCTTCCTCTTCCTCTCTGGTGCTAGCCAGAATATATCCCATAGAAAATTATAGAGGCCTCTAGTGGCCAAAAAAGGCAGTTTTAGCATGGGAAGCGCCATTGAGGGCTTCCACCATTTTAAAATAGTCAAAGTAGTCAAGTGAGTGGGGATTCCTATGGGTTGTAGCCTCTATAGAGGCCCACGGTGGAGGAGTCATAATACCCATGAAACCTAGGAGTCAAACAGGGAAATGGTTTCAATCATTTTTCCCATAGGGAATTTTAGAAACTGGATTTTAGGCTGTGTTTCGTGTAGGCTTACTCTGGGGTGACGTTTTGATAATCATGTAAATCTCTCTCAGACAAGGTGACTTTTATCAATATATTCGGTTCCGTTTACCCTCGATTTGAAAATGCTAATTAGCATCAAAGTAGAAATGCAAAACCACAAATCCATGCACGTCATCTAACAGAAACCTTTGCTAACAGGTATTGTGTCAATTTAAAACTTGCACAAGACAGTTCTCAGAATTGTCCATTTAAAGAAATGTTGCCAATTTATTCATTACTACATTTAGCTAACATTAGATAGTTAATCCAGAGATTCTTACCTTTGCCTCCATTCGGCAGTCTCCTCCAGATAATCGTGGAATTTGTAGTTCTTTATGATTGCCACATTAGCAGCTAATCAGCGTTTCATTTTTGGGGGGTAAATACAGGCGAATATATTGATCAAATTCACCTTGTCCTAAAGAGATTTACACGGTTATCAAAACTTCACGCCAGGATAAGCCTACATGAAACACAGCCCTTATTTTAAGGGATTCTAAAATCCCCTATGGGAAAAATTAATGGTGGAAAAAAAATTGGAACCATTTACCTGTTTGACCGCTAGGCTTTACGGGCATTATGACTCATACTGTGGTACTCTATGGAGCTGCCCATGCTGTCACAGATGCTATAATGGCACAGAGATAAAGATGAGACCTATATCTATCTCTATGGGACGTCCCGACCCCAAACCCTAACCTTAACCATTTTACATTTCAACTTCAATGGGGTAGGGACGTCCCAAGGATCCAGGATAGCATGGACATTGTGTCTGGTCTTGAACTTCCTTATCGACTGAACAGATGCATTTATGGAGATGTAGTTCAACATTGCACCATTGTTGCCAAAACATCCTAATAAGGATCACCGGCAGAGGGCAACATTATAACGAGATATTGATACATTGTTACAAAATGGGAACGTGATAAACATTACATAATGAAAAAGAGGCGTGTACACCCCCCATGTGAAATGGAATGGTCTCGCAAAGCAATGTTTTTTTTTTTTTTTTTACGTAATAGGCCTAACATATTTCAATGGAATGTTTTTAGATTATTGTATGTAGAAAGATTGATCCTAACACATGCATACACTGGGCTTCTTTTTATTATAGCCTAAGTAAAAAAAAAATAGGGTAATGTTTGCATAATAAAATGTGGTTTGTCTTTTGCCATGAATAGGCTATGCATATACAGTGCATTCGGAAAGTATTCAGACCCATTTACTTTTTCCACATTTTGTCATGTTACAGCCTTATTCTAAAATTGATTAAATTCTTTCCCCCCCCTCCTCAATCTACACACAATACCACAATGACTAAGCAAAAACACGATTTTAGAAATGCTTGCAAATGTATTAAAAATAAAAAACTGATATTACATTTATGTATGTATTCAGACCCTTTACTCAGTACAGTCGTGGTCAAAAGTTTTGAGAATGACACAAGTATTGGTCTTCACAAATTTGCTGCTTCAGTGTTATGATATATTTTTGTCAGATGTTACTATGGTATACTGAAGTATAATTACAAGCATTCCATAAGTGTCAAAGGCTTTTATTGACAATTACATTAAGTTTATGCAAAGAGTCAATATTTGCAGTGTTGACCCTTCTTTTTCAAGACCTCTGCAATCCGCCCTGGAATGCTGTCAATTAACTTCTGGGCCACATCCTGACTGATGGCAGCCCATTCTTGCATAATCAATGCTTGGAGTTTGTCAGAATTTGTGGGTTTTTGTTTGTCCACCCGCCTCTTGAGGATCGACCACAAGTTCTCAATGGTATTAAGGTCTGGGGAGTTTCCTGGCCATGGACCCAAAATGTCGATGTTTTGTTCCCCGAGCCACTTAGTTATCACTTTTGCCTTATGGCAAGGTGCTCCATCATGCTGGAAAAGGCATTGGTTGTCACCAAACTGTTCTTGGATGGTTGGGAGAAGTTGCTTTCGGAGGATGTGTTGGTACCATTCTTTATTCATGGCTGTGTTCTTAGGCAAAATTGTGAGTGAGCCCACTCCCTTGGCTGAGAAGCAACCCCACACATGAATGGTCTCAGGATGCTTTACTGTTGACATGACACAGGACTGATGGTAGCGCTCACCTTGTCTTCTCCGGACAAGGTGTTTTCCGGATGCCCCAAACAATCGGAAAGGGGATTAATCAGAGAAAATGACTTTACCCCAGTCCTCAGCAGTCCAATCCCTGTACCTTTTGCAGAATATCAGTCTGTCCCTGATGTTTTTCCTGGAGAGAAGTGGCTTATTTGCTGCCTTTCTTGACACCAGGCCATCCTCCAAAAGTCTTTGCCTCACTGTGCGTGCAGATGCACTCACACCTGCCTGCTGCCATTCCTGAGCAAGCTCTGCACTGGTGGTGCCCCGATCCCACAGCTGAATCAACTTTAGGAGACGGTCCTGGCGCTTGCTGGACTTTCTTGGGTGCCCTGAAGCCTTCTTCACAACAATTGAACCTCTCTCCTTGAAGTTCTTGATGATCCGATAAATGGTTGATTTAGGTACAATCTTACTAGCAGCAATATCCTTGCCTGTGAAGCCCTTTTTGTGCAAAGCAATGATGACGGCACGTGTTTCCTTGCATGTAACCATGGTTAACAGAGGAAGAACAATGATTTCAAGCACCACCCTCGTTTTAAAGCTTCAAGTTTGTTATTCTAACTCAATCAGCATGACAGAGTGATCTCCAGCCTTGTCCTCGTCAACACTCTCACCTGTGTTAACGAGAGAATCACTGACATGATGCCAGCTGGTCCTTTTGTGGCAGGGCTGAAATGCAGTGGAAATGTTTTTTGGGATTAAGTTCATTTTCATGGCAAAGAGGGACTTTGCAATTAATTGCAATTCATCTGATCACTCTTCATGACATTCTGGAGTATATGCAAATTGCCATCATAAAAACTGAGGCAGTAGACTTTGTGAAAATTAGTATTTGTGTCATTCTCAAAACTTTTGACCACGACCGTACTTTGTTGAAGCGCCTTTGGCAGCGATTACAGCCTCAAGTCTTCTTGGGTATGACGCTACAAGCTTTGCACACCTGTATTTGGGGAGTTTCTCCCATTCTTCTCTGCAGATCCTCTCAAGCTCTGTCAGATTGGATGGGGAGCGTCGCTGCACAGCTATTTTCAGGTCTCTCCAGAGATGTTCAATCGGGTTCAAGTCCGGGCTCTGGCTGGGCCACTCAAGGACATTCAGAGACTTGTCCCGAAGCCACTCCTGCGTTGTCTTGGCTGTGTGCTTAGGGTCGTTGTCCTGTTGGAAGGTGAACCTTCGCGCCAGTCTGAGGTCCTGAGTGCTCTGGAGCAGGTTTTCATCAATGATCTCTCTGTACTTTGCTCCGTTCATCTTTCCCTCGATCCTGACTAGTGTCCAAGTACCTGCCACTGAAAAACATCCCCACAGCATGATGCTGCCACCACCATGCTTCACCGTAGGGATGGTGCCAGGTTTCCTCCAGACGTGACGCTTGGCATTCAGGCCAAAGAGTTCAGTCTTGGTTTCATCAGACCAGATAATCTTTTTTCTCATGGTCTGAGAGTCCTTTACGTGCCGTTTGGCAAACTGCAAGTGGGCTGTCATGTGCCTTTTACTGAGGAGTGGCTTCCTTCTGGCCACTCTACCATAAAGACCTTATTGGTGGAGTGCTGCAGAGATGGTTGTCCTTCTGGAAGGTTCTCCCATCTCCACAGAGGAACTCTTGAGCTCTGTCAGAGTGACCATCGGGTTCTTGGTCACTTCCCTAACCAAGGCCCTTCTCCCCCAATTGCTCAGTTTGGCCGGGTGGCCAGCTCTAGGAAGAGTCTTAGTGATTCCAAACTTCTTCCATTTAAGAATGATGGAGGCCACTTTGTTCTTGGGGACCTTCAATGCTGCAGACATTTTTTGGTACCCTTCCCCAGATCTGTGCCTCGACACAATCCTGTCTCGGAGCTCTACGGACAATTCCTTCCACCTCATGATTTGGTTTTTGCTCTGACATGCACTGTCTACTGTGGGACCTTATATAGACAGGTGTGTGCCTTTCCAAATCATGTCCAATCAATTGAATTTACCACAGGTGGACTCCAATCAAGTTGTAGAAACATCTCAAGGATGATCAATAGAAACAGGATGCACCTGAGCTCAATTTAGAGTCTCAAAGCAAAGGGTCTGAATACTTATGTAAATATGGTATTTCTGTTTTTTATTTTATTTATCTAAAAACCTGTCCAAAATAAGCCCAATGCATTTCGCCTGCCTTCCTGCCTTTGGGACAACAATTCCCATTGTTAGGACGGAGACATGAGCATCTCCTCATTATATACAGAA